GGGCCGTTAGCGTTGCAAATTGTAGGTTGCAGGAATTACCACCAGAGGGAATGCAGGCAGTCGAAATCTTTTGCAAAAGGGGGGATTTTGCAAAAGGAGGGGGTTGCAAAAGCAGGGATCTTCACTGTACCAGATAGACTCCTGGGAGAAATTCCCCCAATTGGTTAGGATGGACACCACAACTAGTGTCGACACGCGGCAAACGACGCCGCTGAGACCAATCACAAGTGCATGTCAAGGTCATCACACATTGGTGAAGAGAATCGCGATGCTGTTTTGATAACATGTTGGTCACAAGCGAACAATGGATGATAACAAGTGCAAGCCTAACTCGTTGTTGAGCTCTGTGTTCTGTTTGCTACCATTGAGAGCATGTGTTGGTGATTCTGGCTCTGTCGATTCTCCCTGGCATTGAACCCCTCTCTCTGGGTAGGGACCTCTAGAATGTTGATCATCGATGGCGCCATTGACGGAAATTCGAATCAGCCCATCGGATGCAAGTGTCAGTCAAGCAGGTCGAGGCATCAGCCGTTTTTGCTCCATCGACAAATCACACAGCGAACAGACCTGTCAGGTACGCATAAAATGGCAGATCCCCAATTTGTGCAACATCCACAGGATGAGGGTCGAACCGTTCGTCTGCGACTCTGGCGTCGGATGCCGGAGCCAGACGAGGGTCCCGGTTGCGGCAAAGTGGGCTGGTGGGGGGGCGGGCCCTCCTTGTCCGAAACGCGGTAGACGATGCCGACTGACGCCGAGCCACACGAGCCTCACCGAAGCCAGGAAACCGCTGCTCCAGCGGGAAGCTCGACTCCATTCAAGGGGATAGGAACTACCTAGATCGCCCCGTTGTTTGTCTGTTTCTTTTTGCAACCTTAGGTTGGCAGCAAAAGGCAGTCATGCGACGATCGTAACTCATTGGCAGGAAGGGGAAAGGAGCCAGTGACAGCCAGCAGCGGTACTTTGATCATACATTGAAGCAGCTAGAGGTTACGAGGTACCCTCCCATCACCAACAACAAATACATAACAACACATTTTCCAACCATCAGTGGCTTTGACACAGAGCCGATTGGCCACTATCATCGCCGTACTTGTCGATCTCCCGGGCATTAACCTTCAAAGCCAAGACGAGGCAAAGCTGGAAGCGAGCTCCAACCAAGATCCAGATCCGTCGTAAACACGAGCGGCCGAACAAGGTTTTTTTTCCTCAAATCCTCCACTCTAGCCGGCCCTTCTCCTCCAGTGAAACGTCGATGCCAGTGCCTTTTCCATCTCAATGCTTGAGTCATTATTCCGCAGCAAATACACTACAAAAGAGCCCCGGGTCAGAGATTTCTAAACACACCGCCAGATGTGGGCGAGATCCCTCCTGCGTTGTGCAGGTGGGGACCATGCGATAACCCTCAGAAGCTGAACTTTTGGACCAGACGGCGCCCCTCCGAATATTCAGACGTGGAAGTCTCTTGGGAGGCTTTGATAAACTCCAATATCACGTCATGTATGTTATCGGCGGGATTCGTGGTGCTACGGTATGTAATGTATGATTTTTCCTGCCTCTACTGTTGCCCCATCGTTGCCGTTCTCATCAGCCCTATGAGAAAAAAAAACACGAACTCTTCAAGTTGCTGCATGGACGCAAATCGAAAAAAGGACATTAGCCGCTCCCGTTCAGTGGGTCACCGGCAGACTCCCAGGGCTACGTTACAGGATTGCGGACCATTACATTTTCGGCCCTTCTTTTACGGCATTTGCCCCTGCATTGCACTACAGCATTGTCCCTAGTATCTACATGGGAATCCGGGCAGTTATCTCCTTGCACTCAAAGGGGATTCTGCAGAGTGAGAGAGGGGGGAGGGATATCACCTATGCTCCGAGTACACTATCTCACTATCTACTATGTATACTAGTAGTCTAAAGGCACCAATCAATCACTTCCCTGAATTTGGAATAAAGACCTCTCGGGCTGTTTGTGGCGTCGATTATACACCAAGTGGAGGAGGGTCTGCTGGGAATGTCTTTGCCGTCGCTTATCGAGCAGCTCCCTTCCTATAACCGGCTCACAGATTTGCGATCTAGACACAATATGACACCCAATTCATATTGTCAAAGAAGAAATCGTAACATGCCATGATTTAGGCAGATCGTCCAGTGTATCATTGCCACTGCACAGTATCGACCGATGCTCCCAACCTCATCATAAGAACCGGAGTTTACATACCACCGATTATCGCACGTGCAAAGGCTGTGATTTGTACATATGTAGTAGCTGTTCATAGCAAAGACGTGGTGTTCGACTACCGACGGACCAAGGTTCGAGCCCATCGTCGGGATGTCGAGGAGGCAACCGTCACCGCGGCGCGGAAATCGACCCGCTTTTTCCATTGCGATAAGCTCGAGTCCAGCCTTTGTCAGGGACCATTCATCGAGACATGTGAAAACGGCGTGTCTTTCAGCAACAAAACAACCGCAGATAATGGGTTGAGCCAGCCACTTAGCTCCTCTCCCCTTGATTTTGTTGCCGGTCTGAACCAGTCAAGGTTGATGCATCAACCTTTGTGTTGTACTTACCACGTACTGCGTAGCTGTATTCATTCGAAACCCGGGATCACTCCGGCAGCTGGAAATCGTCCGGAACATGTGCAGCTCTTCCAACCGCCTATCCCTTTAACGGTGAAAATGGTCCATTTTGTGCCAAGACCAAATCTGGCCAATCGGCTGGTCTTATTTTATCCACCTTTACATCTGTGCCCATGCAGCTACCTCGCTTTCACCAGCTTTTGCAGCACTTTTGTCACTGCAGAAAATGTGAGGGCAGGTATGGAGCAGTCAGGGGTATACTCGACCAATGCGCTCTCAGGATTTGCCGGCTAGCGCTGCTTGGCTGCATCAACAAAGTCGCTAAGTACAGCAAGTCTCCAAAGTCTTGGCACAAAATGGACCATTTTCACCGTTAAAGGGATTGGTCCTCCCATCACATGTTGGAATGATAAAACAACAGGGACCCAGCCTCGACATCCACCCAAGAAAAACAGATTCAACGAGCCAGTGTTATCTCCGGTCCGCCCTTCAACTTGACAGCAACTGCATAGAAATGTTCTGGAAGCCCATCTTACCAACACACACACACACACAAATACTGCACCCAAGGGCGGCTTGGCGTGCGATATTGCAAATCCGTTAGCGGCGATGCTCTTCGAGATACGACATGTGAACTTTCACTTTTCACCTTGAGAATGTGATGGCATGCGACTTATGAGGAGCGATACTATGCTGTTACGTTATCAGCTTTCGAGTATTCTATCGCTTTCCTTATCGATCGTTAGACCAAGATTCTGGACCAGTTCACGTGGTGGCAAAACGGACTGCATTTGAAATTCATGGAGGTTTACAGGCGAAGAGAGTGTGTCTTTTAACCGAAACTCGTTCGGGCTGGAATTGGGAGCGGCGTATAAAGAGAGTCCATGGAGGGTTGCAAGCAGAGAAACTTTCCTCGAGAGGCGGCGACTGATACGAACTACTCAGCGGCTAGAGGAAAGTGGATGATACATATGAGGGTAGCCTATCATTCTCTTTGCTTCCTCTTTTCACCGTGATGTTGGGTGGCGAAGATTACCCATGGTGGTGAGTGACATCGTTTTGGCTGTTGGGATGCGATCAACTCTGTATGTAACTGCTCAGCCACCGTCGACTCGTTGAATGAGAGATCATCCCATCCATATCTGTGAAACCGAGCAGTGAGGCAGGATGTCCTAACATTAATGCGCCGTCATATTCCTTTGGTTTGTCGGTTGGTCGACGAGACTCAAGATTTACACTGGCATGTTGGAAAAAAAAAAAAAAATTTTTAAAAAAAAAAAATTTATAAGAAACCGGTCTATGACATCGATACTGCACGGCATAACAACTACCACGCAAACCCCCTTAACCGAAAGACACTACGACTATCTTATGGACAGAGCATTATTGGGATTTGCCTACTTCACAATGGCATGGTATTTCGGATGTTCAGTTTCCTTACGTTCTAAGGCGGGAGATGCGACACATCACAAATGCTCTTGAGGGATCATCGCCCATCGATTCTGGCTTTGATCCGCGAAAATGGTGCTCCGGCCTTTTCTCATGTTTCAAGATAAGATACTACTGTGCGTAAGTCGGAGTATAACCACATTTGTAGCCTGACTATGGGGGTAAAGCCCTTGGGCGAGACTGATCTTCCTCGGGTCACTCAGCTACCAGGATGATTATGCCCGTCATATATCGTGACACATACTATCCTCTCCGTGCACCCTTACTTTCAGTGTAGTTTGGTCAACATTGCGCGGCAGGAATTGCTACAATCTGCCTGAAAGCTACAAACAGCTACACATATAGAAAATGCTTTTCATCGAAGTCATACAACAGGATTAACTTGGCCTCCTTGCTGACCGGCACATGTGAGTGGTATATATGACCTTTTGCATACAACGCATTAGTACTGTTTGATCTTGTGTGCGCTCCGTGACTTGTTTGCTGAAGTGCTGGTGCTATTTCTGTTAACAACATTGTAGGTAATGCTGTTTGTTGACCGCCGAGATTGCATCCTTGAGAGATGGGAGACGTTCAGGTGGTGAATGAAGCAAACAAGAATTCACGGTATATCATTTCTCTTACGTCCTCATTCAAGCACATTGGAGGTAGGATGATCCTAATATTCTGCATTAGGGTCCAATTCGGTCCAACGTCTTACTGCTTGCTTTCCAAACACGTGCCGCTGCGCAGTCTGATGAGACCAAACATCGCCCTTCTCGCCTTTCACTCAATCCAAATATACCTCAACCTGGAACCTCACTGATTGCTGATCCTCCGTCATGATGAAAAGCCCAAAGACGCCCAAAAGAGATGTAGAAACGTAGAAACAAGAAAGCAAACCCAATTCCATGCATGTCATCGTTAGAAAAGAAAACGCCGAGATAAAAAGAACGGGGGAAGATAGCGCAAGAAAAGTCGTAAAAACCCAATGAACGTAGCAACCCTGGTTTGCCCAAGTAGGGCTAGTACGCTCATGTGGCTTATGCTGTGGTCCTCTTCATATGCTTGTGCACGCGGCTGCGTTCAGGAGCTCAGAAGGAGTCGTCATCGTAGATCGCCTGTCGTAACCTCGCTGCTTAGGTATATCCACTTTTTCTTTACTCGATCATCTTAACGTAGTTGCTGGGAAATGTGCCATGTCTTGTGCCGATCATGCCAGTCCTGAGAAACACGTTAGTACGATAATGCCAATGTCATTAATATGCCACGATGTGTACTCACCACCAGTCATTGTCGCTGTCGGTTTTTTTGAGGATAGTGATGATCTCGCCCTTTTGGAAGCCCAAGTCTCCAGGTTGGTCCGCATTGAACGTGTAAAGAGCGACAGCCTCGTTCTTCTTCATCAAGGCTTGTTTGCTCGCGTAGTTCGGCTTCGGTGCAGCCGGCCGCCCCGGGCCAACCTTCTTGTCGGCGGCCGCCTGCTGGGCCGCTGCCGCGCCGTAACCACCGCCGAATCCACCTCCATTGGTGTCATTCCGGCCGTACTGTACGGATGCCCTGTTATTCGAGAAGCCACGAGGCTGCTGGTCGTACACATCATCCTGCCACGTGGACGCGCGCTTGGGTCGGCCAAACTCGTCGTGTGCTTGTCCTCCCGATCCACCCGATGCCCCATAACCGGAATCGCGAGTTTGGCCCTCGCCGTAGGCATTCCCTGTCCTGTCGCCCCATACCACGCTGTCATGGGTGTTGTCGTAGACGGGCTGGTCGTTATACATCCGGTCATCGAAAGACCCCGAGGACATGCCAGCAAAAATCCGTGAGTTGAGTATGCTGAGGAGAGGAGCGGCTTGCGGCGGGGGGCGCTCGGCTCCCGAAAGGAGCTCCTTGGCGGAAACCTGACGACCATAGAGCTTTGCATTGGCGTCTTTTCGCTCGATTATCATAGAACCTTCGAGAGACACGCCAGCAAACAAGCCCTTGGTCTTGGAATAACTGAAGATGCCCGCTACGCTTCTCAGCGAAGCGGCTCCGGCGGCCTCGGCATTTCTACCGACAGGCCCGGCCGCGACCGAAACGTTACCACCAAGTGTAAGTGACCCAGCCTGGGCGAAGGTTTTTACGGCGCTCGCGTCGTTGAGAATGAAGACGAAATCTGTAAGCTCGAAACCGATCTGACCGCCGAAGCCGGCACCACCCGTAGCAATGGCGGTGGGTGCAGACCAGCTGCCGTCGGGGAGGCGGGCGACTACCAGACCGCTACCGAAACGGGCAGATCCGAGGAAACCAGCTTTGATGACGGTGAGTATAGCAAGACCCTAGGAGAACATTAACCACCTGGTCGCTTTCGTTGAGGTTGCAGATGCTGTTTCGTACCTTGGCATTCGCGAGCACAGATGGCGGTATCACCTTGTCGGGACCAAAGGCTTGTTTGGGCTCGATGAAGGACGCGAGGATTTTACCGCACTTCTTACATTCCGCTGGTTACAGACATGTTAGGTTGTCGGATTCGGCGAAGCGAAGGGGAGTTGCGGGGTCGGGCTCTGGACAGCACGGGAACCCCGGGGACACAAACTCACACGAAAGTGACGACGGAAGAGGGTTGTTGATACCCATCTTGAAGTGTCGAAGCGGAACTCCCTATAGCGGACTGGCGCGGGTCTTGAAGGGCGAGGGCGTGTAGAGCGGCTGCGGTGGGAATGCCGTGGAAATGCGACAGCGACAGCAAAATATTAGAAAGAAAGAAAGAGATGGAGTTCGTCAGTCAATTCTCGGGACACTGGCCGATCAATGCCTGCAGGCACACTGGCAGGCAAGCAAGTAAGCAGATCAGCCCAGTCAATTTCTTGTGTAAATGCGAGGTTGGTACCTGGGCGTCCCCACAACGGCGGTTTGTCAAGATGCTGGGGAGATCCTTGGGGTCACTTGTTGTTCGTGATGAACGATCTTGTTCCCGGAGGATAAGCTTTTGTTCCTGCTCTTTTGTTGGTGTAATTGTCCGTTGAGAGTTTTTTTTTTTCTCTCTTCTTCACAGATCGGAGTAACTGATGAGCGAGGCTAAACAGTGGCATGGAATTTATCGATCACAGCCAACATTGGATCCGATGTGGCGGGTGAAAGGGAAGTACTTCCATGGAAATGGAAGCTGGAGCTCGTGCCGCGCGTCATGTGAGAACTGTAGAGGTAGCACTGGACCCTCGATCACTGGAGCCGCTGGGATGGGCTTGGGCAAGCACTGCCGTGGGCTGTGCAGTAGTGTACACCACTGTAGAGGTACCTCTACCTAGGTACTTTACTCCGTCCCTGCGCCTTCCACGTTGAATACCCGGGCCTTGTCCAGCGGGCAGAGCAGAGCGGGCGTTCGTCGTTAGGTGACTGACTGACGGGACCCAAAGTTGCAGTGGCCCGACCACTAGCACAATGAAAGGCTCCAGCAGGCTCCGCTCCCCCCGAAAAGGACCCCGCATTGACCATGCAAGTGCTTTACGCGCAGCCACACGTAAATGGCAGAAACTGACATCATTCGCGACTAGGAGGCCGTAGCTGTGGCTGGTGTATGCATCAAACAAACTGCAGTGAGCCGGCCGCCCCCATCATGATGGATGCATGATCCCGGTGTCCTTTCGTTGTGACCCTGAACTAACTGAGTGCATCTGGAACCTGCTGCAACCTACCCCCTTTCGATATCCCCATAGCACTCGGCAATAGGAACACCACGGCGTCACTCCGAACAACGGACGCTGCAAGACACCGAAGCCGACCCCCGCGCGCGCGACAAAATAACACGTTATAACATCTACGAAAATACGAAATTCGGGCCATATTAGCGAGTTCCGATTAACCCGATACTCAAAACTGACAGTCAGTGAACCTCCTACACGGCCGCTGAGCGAGTCGCAACACACGACTACGACCACAACACAACCCCCCCATTACCATTATCAAAATGTCCGCAAACTACGAGCGCGAGCGCCAAAACAATGCGCGCCTCGACGAACTAGCCTCCAAGGTTTCTGCCCTTCGAGGTGTAACGATTGACATTTACGACCAGGCGCGCAACCACGAAGTTATTGACCAAACGGTACGGTTCCTTTGATTTTACCCTGCATAAAATAATAAAACTAACAAGTCCCACCAACAACAAACAGACTGATACCTTCTCCTCCATGGGCTCTCAACTCAAAGGCTCCGCCACCCGTCTAGGCCGCATGGCCGCATCGGGGAACAAGGTCGCCATCCTCAAGCTCTCGGGTATTCTTATTGGGAGCTTCCTGGTCATTTACTATCTTTATCGACTTTTTGTTGGTTAAATGATTCGAAAAAGTCACGACGTGGGAGAGGGCTAAACTCGTTTGAGTATTGGGTCTATTGGGTCTATTGAACTTCGACATGCGGATACATGCCCGGAAGCGAAAGGAAGGGAGGTTCTCTTCATCGGGTTCACTACAAGAACACAGGGCGAAGGATGTAGAGGGCGGAACGGTTCGATTAACGACAAATATCAGGAATGATAAGACGGATGCGTGCGAAGCCGGACATCAAGACAGGATGGAGTTTGTCCGGATAGCTTGTTGGATGTTGGAGTTCTGGCACAGGCGATGTGCAGTCCGCTTGCTCCAGAAAAGCCGCTACTAGTATTGCGCAGAGGAGGTGCAATGTAGGGTGGGGCAATGGATGGGAGGGCAGCAGGTCACGCAGGACCGTAGGTCTGTGTTTTGGTGGATTCTGAACGAAGTGTGGATTTTGGTTTACAGACTGGGCTTAATGTTTTGTCTCGACAATAGGCGGGTAGATGCAAAGGCATAGCAATGGCGTTGACGGTTCGGTTTTGTTTGTTTATTTGGGATTTGGTTACTGCGTGCCTTCAGTTACGTTGTCATTGATATGTCGTGACATATAAGCCAGACATCGACATTTCTCAGTCCCATCCTTCATTTTTTTCATTTTCAAACTTCAAGGACACCGAAAGGACATCAATGAGGGCAACACGCACCTTACGAAAAATAGGAGGATCCTACATGAAAGTGCATTACTTTTGCCCTACCAACGAACAATAACCTGTTGTCTATAATGTGAATATGCCAAACCAAAACATGACTTGCTGATGTAAGCATGACTGCGTTGTTCATCATTCCCCTATTTGTCTTGCATAAACCATCATTTGCCTAACTCTTAACTAGATCAGACTCCCACAGCATAACTATGACATGGTGCTCGTGGACAGCATCCCGTTTCCGGTTAGGTGGTATAGAAGAAAAAACAAGTTCGGACGCTTGATGGGTCTGGTTTGGTATAAGCTTGTCCGAGCTATTTCTCACATCACCTGCCGGTTGATTATATATGTACATGGTCGGCATCAGGCTCGATGACAACAGCAAAAGACCCAGTACACTGCACTCAGTTACCTCTGAACCCCATATCAGAGATCCCTGAATTGCCGTTCTAAGGTTTTTTATTGCCAGACGTTTGAGAACAGGTCGTCACTGCCACCAAACCCGGTAGCCGGCTTGGATCCGCTCGGAGCAGCTGGTGTGGTAGTGCTGCTCATCCAGCCCCCAAACTCCTCATCGGCCGCCACCTTTGGTGCTGGCGCAAAGCCGCCCGAAGCGCTGGGGACAATAGGTTGGCTTGCGAAGGAGCCGCCGGTAGTGGAGGTGGTGGTGGTGCTGTTGCCCCATCCAAAATCGTTAGAAAGAGGGATAGAGGTAACAGGTGCTGGCTTGGGCGGTTCAGGAGCCGCAGGCTTGGGGGGCTCAGGGACGGAGGCCCACTCGTTGGAACCCCATACACCTGCATCTGACCAGGCGTTAGACGTCGCAATAGAGGCAAGAGGGTTTGGTGTTGTTGAAGTAGCGGCTGCAGGGGCCGGCGTGGTTGCGGCGGGCTTGGAAAGGTTAAATGCGGAGCTGAAGTCAGATGAAGGCTTCGGGGCGGCGGCCGAGGGAGGAGCGGTAGTAGTAGTAGCTGTTGTGGAAAAGTCAAACAGGTCACCGAGGGCGGAGGAAGCGGGCGCGGGCTTAGAGGCTGGCGCAGGAGAAGGGGTTGATGAGAAGCCCAGTGGGCTGCTGATGGACTGCTTGGATTGGTGGGAGGATGTGGCGGGCTTGGAGTCGAAGAAGCTGCCACCGCTTAGGCCGGAAAAGGCATTGTTGCTAGTCTGGGACGAGGGTCGGGGAGATCCAAAGCTACCGAGGCTAGCAAAGGCATCGGTTTGGGCGGGCTTGGGGGAGGGTTGACTGTTGAAACTGAGGCTATTGAAAGCATCATTAAGCCCACTAAAAGCATTTTGGGTCTGGGACATGCTTGGGGAGGACATGCCGCTCATTCCGCTAAAGGACCCTGAGTGAGAGTGTGAGGGCGCGGCTTGCTGCTGTGGACGAGGTGCACTGGCATAAAGAGAGAGGATAGACTGCTTGAGATCGGGACGCGACTGGTTGGTACCACCCGAAGTACCCGTCGTACTAGCGGGCCTTGGGGGCGCTGCAGTTTCCGTGCCGAAGAAATCCAGTCCCAAAAGCGAAGCATTTGAGCTCGTAGCCTTGGGCGGGGCAGGCTCGGCCTTCGGGGGCACCTTTGACGCTGTCGGTCCGGTGGTGCTGGCTCTAACCGGAATCGGGTCGGCACCAATAAGGTCGGGTACGGGAGCCGGGGCCGGAATAGGGGCGGGGACAGATCGTGAGGCCGCAGTCGGAGTGCTGGACTGGCCGCGAAGAGATCCGTTTCTCTCCAGAGTCTGCTTCTCCTTCACCACACTCAGCGGGACATCATCGTCACCCTCAGCATCTAGTGTCGAGGGATCTGGCATCGGGCCATCCATTACCCATCTCTTGAGCTCGTATTTGGTGCGAATAAAGTTCTCGATTTTCGATTCGGAGGGGACGTGGCCCTGAGCCAGCTTGGCCTCCCAGTACTTGTTGGCGCGAGCATTTCCCCAGTTCAAGACACTTTGTAGCTGCTCGTCAGTCCAAGCATCGAGGTCGACGGACTTGACACGGCTGATGTGTGTACCCATTCCACGGTGAATGCCCGAGCAGCGGATGCAAATAAAGACGCCGAGGTTCCAGCTGGCCCATCGTGGATCTGTGTGTATGCGACATTATCAATAGCCTGGCCTGGTAATGACGATGGTCGGATTCCCAGCAGAAACTTACGCTTGTTGCGCTTGCAGTCAGCGCACACCTTGTTGGCCTCGAGTTTCAGGAGCGACTTGATCGTCTGCTGGTTTTTGGCTGCCCGTTCGGCAGCGGGGTTCGGCGGGCGTCGAGACATGGCGATGTGTTCGCAATAAACAGTTGCTTTGCCGTGGGTTTCTGGATGGGAGAAGGAATCCGGGCCGGCTGGGATTCGGAGGACAGGTTGCTGTCGAGTCGTTGAAATGTAGTCGGATTGGGTGGGCTGTTCAACGACCTACAGAAAAGAATGGCTGGCCCGGACATATCAATGCAGAGACTCAGGAGTGTCCTCCACTGCAATGCGCCCAGGCCCCGTCAATGATGGCCGGGGACCGCCACTATCAAGGTCCAACAGGGGTCAGCTGGCGCCGTTTAAACAACACCGCCCTTTGATCGAGCGTTGCGTGTTATTGGCACACGAAGCAAGCCACTTGTGGCTTGAATAACACAAATACACTAAGTATAGAGGTGCTACTTTTGTATCTTGACAGATACTGTGTATATCATCCTCCCTCGAGTTTATGGCTGTGGTAAGCAGCACTGCAGCGTTGTAGTCCCGCATGGAACAGTCTGGGCGGGTATTATAGACCTATATACCTATCGGACATCGGTAGTTAAATCTACGGAGGCTTGTCACCGTCTTATGAGCAAGAGTGATCGATACCTTGGGATGTCGAAAGCCACAGCCATGAGTGACATCAATGCTTTGTTTTTCCATACTGTAACGGGATCGAGTCTGTGACGCAAGACTCCGATCCCAACTTACAGCGAGAGGTTACTAGTGTAATAACACTACATACCCTGTCATTTCTGGGGCAACTTCAAGCAGATAAATCCATATTGGTTCTATTTCATTCGCATGTGATTTGTAATTCTAAACCTCAAAAGACAATTCTAAGGTGTGAATGTCAATGATTTGGTCGTCGATAAGAACATACGAACACCTGAGGCTATCCAACATCCAGCAACAGTTGACCTTCATGTGTTACTATCTCCAAGCCGCCAACCTTCTCCGCATTCTGCGCACTTTGTCCACCTTCACACAGAGGCGACGCATACCGCAACACGCATCATTCAGAACCGGAAACAACATAATCCTAAAGTCTTCCATGCCTACGATTCCCTTTCTGGGCAGCTTCTTCGGTTCATCCTCCTCGTCATCATCCCAAAAAATGCCCGAGAACTATCCCGTTCAAAAGTCCGCCGACGAGTGGCGTGCGGTTCTCAGCCCTCGTGAGTTGCCTCCCCAAATCGTAACCCATATCAGCACGACTTTCATCTCACCAGCCCCCACTTCCCTCAAATCTAATCTCAATCATCACATCATTAATACTTACCATAAAAAAAAACAGAACAATTTCGCATCCTTCGCGAGAAGGGCACAGAACCTGCCGGCACTGGCAAGTTCGACAAGCACTACCCCTCCGCAGGCGTCTACACCTGCGCCGGGTGCCACGCGCCCCTGTACAAGGCCTCGCACAAGTTCAACTCGGGCTGCGGCTGGCCGGCCTACTTCGACACCATTCCCGGGGCCGTGACGCGGCACGAGGATCGCACCTTTGGCATGACGCGGACCGAGATCGTTTGCAGCAACTGCGGCGGACACCTGGGCCACGTCTTCAAGGGGGAAGGGTTCAATACGCCGACGGACGAGCGTCATTGTGTGAACAGTATTTCTTTGTCATTCAGTGAGGAGGATTCGGCTGCTGAGAAGAAGGGGGACGGGGAGCGTAAGTGAGGTGAGGTAAGGTCTGAGTGATCGAGATAGTTTAGGGATGTATGTAGGTAGTGGAGAAAAGATATCAGATTGCATTCAAAGCCTTCACTCGAGGTGAAACGATACTGGAATTGGGTAAACTTCACATCTGCAAGAAGCATCGAGAGATAAGTTGTATGATGGAACCCACAATGAAGAAAAAAAAGAAGAAGAAGAAGAAGAGAAAGAAGAAAAAGAAAGATATACCCTGCAGGGGACGAGGTTACGGGCTGTAATCTTTGGGCCACAGGCCAGATGAAGAGTTGGGATGGAAGACGGGCGGGAGAGAAGCATGTCAAACTTGACTCGCGTTAAGCAGCAGGTTCTCATAAGGCTCGAGTCAGTTGATCTAAGCTTAACTTGGGTTGACGTCTACTCTACACTATAAGTCGAGGCGGTACCTTTCGTTCAGCTACGCCTGCCCTGAACTCGTTTATGACGATTGCCCAGACAGAACCCCATTCAGAGTACCATACTATACAGGATGCGATCCATTCCGCCGCAGAAGTCCGTTCAAGTGGCAACAGCTAGCCTAGGGAGAATCAAATCATTCGACCGTCCGATTGTTCAACAAGATCACAGGAATCCACTAGCAGATACACTTTCGCCCCAGATGCCCGTAGTAGATGGTGGACTTTGAGTGGTTGCTGTGAGCGAAGCAAACTGCTTGGGCAACTCAAAATGACTTCTTGGCCGTAAAGATGAAAAGACGGCCGATCTGCTGGAGAGAATAGGAGAAGGCGTAGCCAAAGGAAAAGTCCCTGCTGGGGCGGGAGGTATCATTATCGACTGAGGTGTACTTTGGATCATAGGCCTTCCTGAAGCAAAAGGCACGTTGGGGGGGAAATGCGATCCTACTCCTGGTTTGGGCAATCGTCGAAGCGTACCGGTCCCGACTGGTTGACCTCTCATCCTCCTCTTAGTAGCGGCTTCTACTTTGTGCAGGTCTCGGTAACACACCCTTGCATGTCTCATCCAGATCCTGACTTTCTCTTCAAGGTCGCTCACCAAGTCACTCTCCTCTTTACCCCGTCTCATGTGTTCATTCCATATCCTAGTGGCTTCTGTCAAGCCAGCCAGATAGTGTTTGCTGAACTGTGAAAGACGGACTCGGGACCTGCGTCGCAGCTGCTCGACAGTGGAGCCGCGAGTTGCATTGACGGTGCTTGAACTTGGTCCCGAAGTTTGCCTGGCAATTTTCAGTTGTGTTGGCAATGTGGGTGCTACTTCCCCTGCCGTAGAAGATGGGAGCCTTCTCATCCTAATTCGATCGATTGGGTTTGATTTCAGTTTGCTGATTTTGTAGACACCTTCTTCAAGCATCCCAGAAACTGCAATAGTGCTTGCCGAGCGTTGAAGGAGACGTCCGGGAGCCCATTCTTGTGGAGGTTGAAGATATAGAGGTTGGCGTAGGTACTGGATTGATTGGGAACTCTTAGTCAGCTGGTTTGTAATGCTCACTGAATGGACTAGGTGCGGATTGTTGGGATCTATCAGCCGGCCCGGGCGCGCGTTGGTGATGTATCTTCGGAGCCGTCTGGTGGATGACTTGGCCACAGTCAGAGGATTGATTTGAGCAATGGAGGGAAGACCCTGCTGTTCTCTTCTTATCCAGTAACCGTGTCCGAAGCCATGCCTGCTGGAAGCCATAGTCACTTCCCACCGCTTCATTTCGTTGAGGACGTCTTCAAAATCAGAAGTACTTTTCATCGAGAACAAAAGGGACGCCTGTCTCATTGACGTTCATTGTGGTCAGTCTTGTCGGATTGTACCATGTCAAGGTTGCCAACCACTCACCCTTTCTGGCCCCACGGGATACCAAAACATGAAAGCACGCTCAGAAGGTGAACATGCGGCGGTACACTGCGAAGGGGGGTCCATGGCTTTGGCAGCTGGGGTGAAGTCTTCCAATTCCAATTTCACCTAGGGCGCCAAGTTTAAAAGTTGCACCAGAACGAAAGAGACACGGATGATATGAGACTGACCAGCTCGTCCGCTTTGTCCTTGATGTGTATCATGAGCTGATGATGACAAATGGGTATCTGGGAGTTTAGCCCAGAATTGTAGGCCATCCCGCGCGATCGATCGAATTGGCTTTTGAGGACCAGTTGGGGATCCTTGAAATTGTTGTGGCGCTGGTTGATGAAAACATCTTCAAGCTCAAACCGACGCAAAACGGGGCTGATGGTTACCACTGCTTGCCCCTGCTTCTTCGGCTTCTTGCTCTTCGTGGGCGCCATTCCCAGCAACTCTGAAAGTGGTCAAGGCGACAACTTGAACAGGAGGGACTTGATAGGACTGGAAGTACCTGCAGTTCAATCAGATGTCAACTACAGGCACAGTCGTGGAGAGAATCAAAGCAAAAGACTGCGTGGAGGATGCTCGAGGGAAAAAAAAAAAAACGATGACAGAAGAGAAGGCGCTGTGAGTTCAATTCAGTCCTCCTCCTGCTTCGAGTTTTGGAAGAGGAAGAGTTTTAGAGAGACGGGAAGGTGCAGTGCTACAGGTACCTTGATCACCGCTCCATTCCTCCTGTGAGGGGATGCATGTCGCAGAGGAAGGTGCTCTTGGGCATTAATGGCACCGATTCTGGGGTCATTCCTTCCCATAGAGGTAGTTACCTCAATGTAAACGTGCGAGACCAGCTTCAACGAAGTTCTGGCTGATAGAAGAACACTTCAGTTCAGTTCGCAAAACGGGCCCCCCAGTATATAGTAGTATGATAAAGTCTTGATGTTTATGGTGAGAGTTGATTAACTCGAGACATCCACTTTGGAGACTCCAGTGTCTCCTCGAGATCCATTGTTTTCTGTGCGAGTGTCATTGACCCATGTTGGGGGAGCACTTGGAACGAAGCGACGCCGAAATATTTGGACGGTGTTCAGGTGTCTGTCAGTGAGAACCTTGGAGGCCAAGCAGATGGAGCTCCCCGTCGCGAGCAGAGCTGCTAATATGGCCCGAGCGCGATGTGCGTCAAGCGGGGCAGAGGTGTCTTGACATTGGCCAGTGCGCTGCAGGGAATGACCGTTAGCTCTCTGTGACAGTGGAAAAAACCGACGCCATGCCGTCAATCCCTCCCGCGATTTCAGAAAGTGGAAAGTTCGCAACCAAGTGGCAGACCAGCCTCGCGTCGCATTCCCTGGACCATCGCGACAGTTTCATATTTTCGAGTTCTACTCCAACATATCGAGACACCGACACGTGCATTACAGCTACGAAATCCAATACCCCGACATCATTACGTTACATTCCACCCGAATGAAACAGTTTCCAATTGGCGCTCATCCCAACAATCGCAATCGCCATCGCAATCGAAGCCTTCCTGGCTCTCCCTTGAAGCCCTCAGTGGGAGCCGTACTGCGGCTCGATCCTCCAGAATGGCTCCTCCGAAACCCCAACCCATGCCCGAGCATACTGTCGACCGTACGCCCGAATATGAAAAGTTCATCGAAGATCTGCGTGTCTTCCACGAGAAGCGCGGGACCAACTTCGACCCTGAACCCAAGATGGGCAACCTGACAGTCGACCTGCTCAAGCTCTTCAAGCACATTGTCGATCACGGCGGATACGATAAGGTCTCGGACGAGAAGCTCATGTGGCGGAAAATGTGCGAGGGTCTTGGTCTCATGAGGCACAATGCGCCTGCCGATGCTTATACTTTGAAACAAATATTCTACAAGAACTTGGCCGCCTACGAGATCAAGACGGTCCACAATAAGGAACCACCTCCACCCGAGATTCTTGAGTTTACTACTGCCAAAGGAGGATCACTCCTAACTAGAACCCTTGAAAACTTTACCGCAAGGAGTTTGAAAGGTGATAAGGAAGATTCAGGCGACGACGGCACTCCGAGTAGGGAGCGGAGTACTGTTGACACTCCCAACTCAGCTCGCGCGTCCCGGGGTCTCAGAGAAGCGCCTGCCCCGAGGGTGATTTTCCATCCGGACACAAACTCGACGCGGCAAACACGACATGCCGGTTCTGCGCAACAACAATCCGCAGCCAATCCTTCTTCCAACTCCAATCCACAAAACAACCAACAACCCCCGTCGCATTCGCAATCTCACTCCAGTACCCCCATACCCTCTCACGGCCCGCCTCACGCCCATCAAAACCGAGGAAGCGCGTCAGTTATGTACAACCCAGGTCCAGACCACAGTCACCACCTGGTGCAGAGTTACCAACCTGCGCCGCTGCAGCCGATGCAGCTGCGCATCGTCGACACGCCCACGAGCAATCCCGAGTTATTCAACAAGAGGCGGCGCCTTTTAAGGCAACCTGGCCCATCTGGCGCTCCCGGTGCTCTCAGTACTTCGGCACTGGTACGCGCTGCCCTTCCACCAGGTAAGTCTTGTCGCGACCGCTCCCTTGGCCCCATATGCTCACCAGACGTAGGTAGCCTCGATGGCCCGAATATTTATGAGCGCTGTCTCCTAGCTCTCCGATCCGGTATCCGTGCGGAGCAGGCCTTTGGACTCAACCATCTTGTCAAGATTTCATTTGAGCGTGGTGATAAGTACAAGTTTGCTCAATTTAGTGGACTGGCCGAAGGGTTGACCGAGTTTGCTCTGGGCGTAGGCAGCTTATTCTACAACATCGAATGGGTCATATCGAATGACCCTGATGTCGACGACGGCGACATCGGCGAGCTCGACGGTATTAACGGTACCTCGGATATCCTAGAACGCATTGCGGAGCTCAAGCGGAAAGATGTCCAAGACAACTTTCAGCCTTCAGAGTTTACCGACCACATGACACTTGTTACCGAGGCCGTTCTTACCATTCGGAACATGGTGATGCTGCCGGATAACGCCTGGTTCATGGCGGATTACCCACCGATAAAGGATTTACTCTGCATCCTTCTTCACCTTCCGGACATGGATCTCACCGTGGAGCTCAAGCATTTTGCGCTGGACATTGCCGAACAAATTACACCCAACTTGGTGCTGGAATCAGACGATCCCTTGTATCAAACCCTGCTTGGCCAGCTCAAGTCTAACGACCGTGGCACAATTCTCACCGCTTTGCGAGCTATTGGGCGTATCTCAATGAACCACGCCACGGAAACCAACAAGCTTCATAATGTCCCGGTCTCTGTCTTACAGAACCTTATGGACTGGCTTCTACTCAACGACGACGAGCTGGTTGATGCCTGCCTTGACTTCCTGTACCAGTATACTGCTGTTGTCCCTAACTTGGATACCTTGATTAAGGGTACCAACGTGGAGCACCTAGTCACCCATCTCGTCCGGCTATTGTCTCACGGGGCCAAGCGCCACCACAAGGATATTGTTGTAAGCGAGGCTCGGATTGTGTACGACGCGCCTTCCGAGCAGGTCGTGTCTATTCCTCCCGATCTTCTCGAGCGGCTGTTGGCTATGGAAGAACCGGAGCGCACACACCAGTGGGTGCGATGCACATTCGAGGAAGATCCTGATGCACAGGTGACACAGATCGCGATCTGGCAGGCCTATAACGCAGCATTCCTCGAGCCGCTAAAACGTACCGGACGAAGCATGATCAACGCAGCCGAATTCATCAGAAATATTAGCTCTGTGTATCATACCGCTGGTGCGCAAGTATTCCGTGAACAGGGACCTACTGGGGAGGTTCAGAGCCGCTTCATTATTAGGGGAATCAGACCTCGTGCTTTCCCCATTAGTCCCGAAAACCGTGGCTACCTGGGCTGTCAATGGACACGACAGCCCACCAGCGACGAGCAGCAGCAGCAGCAACAACAACAACAGCAGCAACAGGTTGTGTGCGGTGCCTGGCACCTTACCACCGAATCGATGTGGAACCACATCCTCACACACCATCTCGGCGAAGCCCCCGGCACCGATAACAAATTCTCCAACAAAGAAGGCACTTACTCCTGCCACTGGGACAGCTGTCGCAGGTACCCGGTCCCGACCAAGCTCAAGCTGATGCAGCTTATGATGCACATCAAGACCCACCTCAAGGCCGAAGAGGCTCGCCACAACGCCTTATACCCCACCCTGCAACCTCCCCCTACCCCTGCGGCTGGCGGCGCAATAGAGCCTTTCCCCGGTGGTGGTGCTGGTGGCATGACCACCCCCGGCGGCGGTCCTGTGCAGGTGGCGTCTTCACCGAAGAGATCTAGGACGAGGGTGATCAAGCCAGCCGGCACTATTTCGCTGACGTTTGAGGAGACGGCCAGCGTGCGGGACGAGAGGAACCCGAACATGCCGCCGCAGGCGGCGGGGATCCCGCTTAGCGCGGTGCTGATTCTGAGGAATATCGCCAGGAACGTCGTTAAGACCGACGCTGAGGAGCGGTTGAGGAAACAGAGTCGCAAGCGGTTGCGTACCGCTGGTGAGGATGATGGCGGTGATGATAGTGAGGGCAAGGAGGAGGAGGAGGGAGCGTCGGCGTTGGTATCGACATCATCATCATCATACCCTGGACTGGTGGTGTCGTCGGATGCGGGGTGGAACGAAAGGCTGTTCCGGCCTGTGATGCCGAGGCTCTGGGAGGTATTTTGCGACAATAGGCTGTTGGCGCCATACATTACCAGCTTGTTTAAGCTGCTGGAGCCTGTTGAGTAGGCCTTGCTATGCCTCCCGTGGACTTGGTCTGGCCGATACTTTCTTGTCGGTTGGTGCCAGATAGATCTCTGTTACTTTTTCGTTGATGGACAGTGAGACAAAGACAGTAGCAGTGATGTGCATTGTTTTAGCTATTCATTCTACATGCCAGATTTCATGGCTATTTTGGTTGTTGGAATGCCTTGGTCATTAATTGGTGAATGAGACAAAAGACCATGATAGTGGCATCAGAGAAGAAAGCCTAGAAGGGGAGTTGAAAGTCCTGACTACCAGCTGCGCTGCGCTATGAGGTTCATTGCTCTCTTTGCATTCAGGGCTCCATTTTTTTCAAGTCTCGGCGACCCAGCGGCGCCAATTCAAGAATTATCATGAATGAGAGGTTTTACGCTACCGACACGAATTAACGAGTGGTTGAAGGCGACCAGGACGACCAAGAAGATACCCATCCAAGACAATATGTTCGGTTGACTAGTAATGATGTGGATGAGATATGTCACCAGGATGCTATGCTGGGAAGATTTGATCAATGTTTTCAAGCTGTCATCATCTGCGCAAAAAAGCTGTCCAGAATGAGTTGACGACATGGATTGGCGCAAGGTGAGGGGGTGAGGTTGAAAATGGGTGTCGAGGTAGGGATCGATGCGCAATGTTGCTGGGCATCAATAACACCTTGAGCTCAACCTATGAAAACAAAGACAAAGAAGAAGAAGGAGAGAGAAAAAAAAAAAAAAAAAAAAAAAAACCCAGAGGGCAGCAAACTTCACTAAAGCGGATACATGTACATCTCTGTATGATATAACTTATCAGCATTGTACCTTAGTCCTACAACACTTGCGCTCGGTGGGTGAGAGAGGAATTGGATCAGTTGAATACGCAGAGATCAGTAGCGAATGAGAGTAGAGGAATGAGCAATTGAAGCATCGAATGAAAAAACCAAGTCCCTAAAGAGCTACTGTTTTTGACGACCTTTTTGTCGTGAAAGTAACAAGCCGAAATAGCGATGACAATGCCAACCAAGCATTATTCACCGGTTCACCGCTCACCGTTTTCGTTGTACACTATGTTTGCGGCGGGCGGGCCCCTCAGCCCTACGGCAAGGTGCAACACCATCGTTCTAGGCTGTGTGCGCCAAAACCCACTTCACGATCTTCCTCTTTTTTTAGGACCCACGTTTGCTGAGCGCTGGTAGGGCTGGGTATTCGGGTCGCGGATCTCGGGGCGGCGCGACTAGCCAAATGAAAGCAGCCATTTCGCCTCTTTTCAGGGTCCGGGGGTAGCAGCAAATCATCGTGAACTCCGTGCAAGGTCCGTGTGAGTGGAGGGGAGGAGCGGGAGAAGTGGACAGGTTTCGCGTGACGCGATTGGGAAATGGCACCTAACCCACAGAAAAATCATCGTGAACCCCGAATCGGGCCGGAACTTACCTTTTGACGTGTTTGGACCCCCTCCCCTCCCCTGATACCAGCCTGACCCGGAAAGGCGAAACGACACGACACAAGACGAGCCGAGCCATGCCAGTACTGCTGGCTGCCACCAAACGGCGCGATTTGTGATCGCCGCTCCCGCACCATATGCCCATCATGCAAGCGCGGGACCGACAGACAACCAGGATCGTGAACTATACCATCCAATTTGTGCCAAGCATCGTGAAGCGAGGAAGGGCAACTTGTAAGGGGGTGGCCCGAGCGCGCCGTGCGGTGGCAGGGCCGTTAGGATGGACTGGGCGGCTCCTCCCAGGCGTCCAACAAGTGGCGAGTACCGTTTGAAGCTATCGTGAAGTGTTGGGGGCGCATGGCATTGGCGGTAAAGAAGCACTGCGTGCTATGTTTCACGATCTTTTCAACCATCCTCCCCGGTTTCCCGACTGGTTGGGACCGACGATGGACTGCACGACATTCTCAAACGCTGTGGCGACGATGCGGCTGAAAACAAAACGACGACATGCGATATCTTCCGATTCAGTACAGCGGAAAAGCACAAATAATCTTCGAAGCTGCAAGGTCAACAACAACAATCTGAATGGAGGAATCCAGCTATGCAACTCCGATGAGAACAGAAACCACTTGGATGGAGCGAAGCCATTAACTGGTCGGGCGTCGACAATCAGGCAACAATTCCGAACGAGTCAACGACAATGATATCGCTGTTACAATGTCAAGCTTGTCTAGGCTCATCTTTATCTCGGAATGCCTTCATCAAGGTTACCGATGAAAACACCAACCGCCCTATGCGGCACTCCTCCAAGCATTCGGGCTTGTGCTTGCTCGAATTGCGGTAGGACATGTCATACCCAAGTGCGGAAGGATGCAAGTTGGTCGCACTGCGGAGTGGTCTCGACTTCCTTGGGTCTGCAAGTTGAAAGTTTGAACACGGATTCCATAGTGTAGGTACACTCGAAACTTCTGCCAACTCAAGTATCGAGGGAAGGCCATGCACGTAAAGCATCCGGTCAATCTGCCACTGACCGCAACGAATGCCAGCCGCGTCATTGGCCTTGAATGATGGAAGGAACCCGGTGTGGTACCTGACATGATGATGGCTGTGAATTTTCCGATCGACAAGGCGGCGCATCTTTCTGCTGGAAATAGGAGAGTGCGGATTTGCTCCGGACCGCAAGAACGAGGATAGGGGCATGCGTTCATCAACGAATCAGACCGTCATAAGATGCAACCGCCCAAGCTTGGCTCTTTGAGTTTCGACTAGATATGCTCCCTTCTGATACATATTCGGCGTGCCCGGTGTGTACACATCGACGCAGTAGTCTTGGTCCCAGTGGCATGATACTGGTTTTGACTAGTGGTGCCGTCCAGCGGGAACTTTTTCGACTTCGCCTCAACGTCAATCGATGCCGTCGCTTGTGGCACATGACCAGCAAGTTCTTCTCCCGTTTTGCGTCTGAAACTGGTCCCGTTACCCACATACACTAGTATGCATGGCGTAGTGATATCCAGGGGTTTTGAAGATGATAGCCGAACACGGTCAAACATAGGTATACACCACACAAAAGTCCAGTATAAATCCTGGCTTTTGCAGAACGCCCTCTCTTTTGCAGGTTCTCGGACTGACGGAATTAGTTGCAGAAGCAGGGGTTTCTACTGTAGTGTACTGTAGAGAGGGAGAGGTGTGTAGGTAAGGGTGGTATCCGGCTTTTGACTTTTGTGACGTCTACTTCGGTATTCCGGCATTGATCCGGCCGCTGCTGGTTGGCCACTTTTGACATCAGCAATAGCCCACAGGATCAGAGAAATTGACTATCATCAGGCTTGGGCGACGACATTCCGTAGCAGTCAAGACTCATGGCGCTGCCTGGCTTGCGTATTCTAGACTCGACAGCTGTGCCGCAATTGCGTAAGACGACGAGGTGGGAAAGTGCTTGATACTAGTGGAATAGAAACTGCTCGAAAAGCGGGGGCATGGATGACAGTTGTCGATGGCTGGGACTGCTGCCCCTGGTGAGAAACCCGAGACGTAACTTAGTTGAAGGTTCTGTTTGGCGAATGACTGCAAATTTGGTGACCCAGCGAGGCGTCCTTTCGAAACGATCTAACGCCCAACTGCGGATTGCAATCGGGACCTGGCTTGCTTAATTGTGCGTGGAAGGTACATCTTGCGTTGCTGGCATGAACAACTTGCAACTCCATTGGAAGGCACTGTTATTACTGTAAGGTACGTGGCCGGGTTTATGCAAATCCCAACGATGCCCGGTTCATGATAGCGGTGAGCCCTAGTCTCCATGCCGCGGCCAAAGGGTTATCGGACTAGGGATTTGTATTTCTGCCAAAAAAAAAAAAAAAAAAAAAAGAGAAGAAGAAAACAAGAGAAGAAAAGGCCCCTTCGGATATCTAATTCCATGCGATTGAGCTACCTGTATTGTTGCTTGTGGTAGCAAGGGAATGTGGGGTTTGGGCAGAGGAAGATATGAGCCTGATACCTAGTATGCCAACAGTGGACGGATGTGGTGTAAAACCTGAAGCCAGCAGAGGCGCCATAACTCGGTGGATGGAATCCCGATGTCGAAAAGTGCACCCCCACTCTGACTAATGTTCCTATTTCTAACCCCCCCCCCCTTGTCCCCCACGTCGGTACGTAGGTACTTTGGCCAGAAGTACATACAGAGCAACCCTGACAGGGAACGTAGACTAGGTATGTAACCCCCCGAGCACCCTAAAATCTTCCGTTAGTTGCGCGCCTGCAAGCTCGACAGATTTGGAGCTCGAGAATTATGGGCGGCGGGATGGGGGCTCGCAGTCGTCGGGTTTCTAGACCCCGGCCGTAAAAGCGACCTCTGAAAGTGCACCGAACAGTCAAAACTTGGGCAGCCTTCCATCATTGTTTTTCATCATCAAATAAAGAAGCTGCGAGTAGTCGACCACTCGATAAGCTGTAGCTAACGACCTATTATGTTGTTATCATATGGACAACAGCATCATAACAAAGCTATCTCGGACAATAAAGTCACCTACAAGGCATCAAGACCAAGTTACCCTGACCGGAAACCGGCATCAAAATTGGTCTAGTGTAGGAGTAGTGAAGAGCGGTAAAATCTCCCATTTCCACTTCTCAGGCGACTATACAAGTGCCACAGCGGAGTGGATGAGAATCAGGATCTCATGAGTGTTACCGTTTCGGGTTAGATCACTGGACCACCGTGGAGAAGTGAGGCCATCGCTCGATTGTTGAGACCTAGGAGTGCTAGGGAACCTAACCTCACCTGCTCATCCGCACAGCGCCATCATTTCTTGTTTAGTGTTTTTGGGCGTGGACCCGTCGGTATTCGCGACCAATTAGCCTAATCAAATACCCATGTTTCCATTCATGAGGGCAGTCGTGTCGGTTAGAGAAGGAAATGAACGAGTTGATGGGTTGAAGCGTACTTAGACATGCCCCTTGGATAGTGTACACTGTAGCAATCGGTCGAAACAGAATTTGAAGATTCATATAGTACATGGATTGGGGCTAAAAATGCTACTCGTCTAGGCTAGAAACGCCTCGCAACCCAGGCTTCGCCTTCTACTATCAGGTCAATTCGCGAAAAAGAGTTAGGACTTCGGGTGCACGCCAAATTAGCCAACGGACCAAAGTACCGAAAGTGAGACCAAGCTCACGTCACGTGCTAAGCACCTATCAGGGACACCGAGAGAATTAAGGTTCTTCCTTGCCACTCGCAAAAACTGTACGCGACGCTTTTATGTGTGTATCAAGTGTGTACGGTACCACTACGCTGGGGGATTTCGCAAACTGACCCCGCCAAACCCTAGGCAAGGCCTGGAGGCAGGAGGCGCTTCTTCTAACCCAGATGAGTAAGGTACTACCTACTACGCAGTAGGTAATGTACGTGTTTAGTGTATACACTAGTTACACAATATGTACACTAGAGTGCCAGCCTTGCACGACGGTCAAGAGGGACCCGTTCAACCCCACAGTTTCGTACCCCTCCCCCACTCTTGTTCCTCCGGCTCACTCCCGGTCATCGCTAAGACCAAACTGAACTCCAATTCTCCAAAAAAAGCAAAAGATCCCAACGAGATGGGACACCCGCGGCACCACAATCAGCGCGCTATCGAGAAGGTCTTGGGTTTCCAGGCACGCTGCACAATCAGGCATTCTTCGGTAAAAACTGTGATAGTCTTGTGACCTGTTGCGTACGATCCTAATTTTCGGATCCCCCCGATCCTAGGAGGCTTCCACCAGCTTCCGTTGAGCTTTTGCCTGGGAGTTGTCTCACCGCTAGCCAGCAACGTGTCCTCCCGTCACAGTGTTTTGGTATCCCAGGCACTTCTTCAAGACTACTTGTACTCGATGCAAATAGAGAAGAAACGGCATAGAAGCTTATCGCCTACGGACCTGAGGTAGTTAGTCTCTAGAGCAATTCAATTCCATCCGCTCCGGCACAAATTACACAGTAGGTACTTATGTATATGTTATGTCTATGTAGCCGTCTGTGGGCTCCATTCGTCCAACCTCCCATGTTGCTTCATTCCCGCGTCAAGCCCGTTGACCTAAAGGTATCAGAGTGAAAATTGTTCTTGTCACTCGACCAGCTTGTAAGTTTAGTGTACTTTGTAGTGCAGTGTAGTGTACCAACAGAGTTAGAGGTTTCTACACCCCTGGTTTGAAGAATGGCAATGTGGAATGAGGTGCAGAAACTGCAAAGGTGGAAGTGCTAGCTTAGCAACTTCCTCTTCTTTGACGGTTTCTCCTTCTCAGTCGCGGCAACTAAGAATTACCTACCTCTATTCTCCATCTGATTTAGGTACGTATTTCCCTTGGAGTCTGAGGAGGGTGGGTCGGTGTTGCGGCATGATTCAGTTCACCGTCGATCCCCGACCCTTTGATAGCCGTCCTCGCAACAACAAACATCATTCGGGTTCGAAATCCTTGGTTGCGTTGTACACAGCAAATTGGAGAAGGATCCAGACCGACGTTTGGCTTCGGAGGTTCGCAAAGGGTTCAAACTAGTGGAAGAGCTCAGCAGCAGTGCTGCCACATAGAACCACAGCATCTCCAAGTGTGACTGGGCGCACTGACGATCGACAGAGAATAGACAAGTGCAGCAACCCAAACGCACCAGCAAAAACTAGCACAAGAAGATCTCGACTCGCCTCCGCCCCTCCCCTCCCCCTCCCCTCCCCTTCTCTCCCGCTCCTGGGATTGCTTGGCTTCCGTCCCCTGGCCCTTGTCAAACCCTTGCAGCCTTCCCCGTCCGTTACCCATATTTACGAGAATTACCCATCCATCCTTGGCCACCACCACCTGGCATAGAGACCCGCCTGGACTTTGCCTCATTCCGTCTCCGGTTTTCCTAGTGTTTTGGGCTTCACGTATCCGTCACAACTCCTATCCATCCATCTCCGCCCTTCAGGCGACGTTTTTTTTTTCGTTTTAAAAGACTCCGAGCTCCTCCTCTCTTGCTCTCTCCTCTTGCTTCCTGATCAAACAATTTTGTTGTCGCTATTGAGGAGCCCTGGTCCCTTCGTCAAACGACCCCTTCACGCACTGGTCATTCACTTTGATACCCAAACTTCCATCCCGTCTTCCGCTCCCGCAGCGTTGTCCTCCTGCTGTTGTTTGTTTGTTCGAGAACCCTGGAAACTTCGCCAGTTCTCTGTCCGTCATCACTCCACACACTATCAAAATGGCCGCCGCTACTCGCTCCGTCCGCATGGCCTCGCGCCTCACCTTCTCCCGCCCTTCGGCTCTTTTTGCCCAGAAGGCCTCGGTTGCCCAACGCGCCGCCTTCTCGGTTTCCACTCGCAACCTCAAGTCTGAGGTCGTCAAGGAGACGGAGGTTCCCGTCTCTATCTACTCTGGCGACGCAAAGGGAGCCGCCTCCTCCAACACTGGGGATCACTTCAGCATTCCCGTAAAGCCTCGCCAGCAGGTTGCGGAGAGCGAGCCCGATGACCACGTGCAGCCCTTGGAGGATAAGGTCTATCGTCAGATGCCTCGCACTCTTCAAAAGATGAGCGTCATGGGCAAGGTTATTATCATTACTGGGTGAGCTTCTTTTTTCTCCGGATCACCATTTTAGATCAACTGCTAACACATTATTAGTGGTGCCCGTGGTCTCGGTAACTACATGGCTCGCGCTTGCGCCGAGGCTGGTGCCAAGGCCATTGTTATTTTCGATGCCAACCAGGACCTCGGCGACGAGTCTGCTGCTGAGCTTCACCAGAAGACCGGCCTTCCCGTCTCATTCTTCAAGGTAGATGTTCGTGATGGCAGCGCCATCAACGCTGCCGTCCAGAACGTTGTTGACCTCTATGGCGCTCCCGACGTCCTGGTTAACTCGGCCGGTATCGCCGACTCGAACATTCCTGCCGAGAAGTACGATGCTGCCATGTTCCGTCGTCTCATTGACATCAACCTCAACGGCTCTTTCCTGATGTCCCAGGCCGTCGGCCGCGCCATGATGGCCGCTGGCAAGCCCGGCTCTATTATCCTTGTTGCTTCGATGTCCGGCACCATCGTCAACTACCCTCAGGAACAGTCGTGCTACAACGCCTCCAAGGCTGGTGTCATCCAGCTCGGCAAGTCTCTTGCTGCCGAGTGGGCCAAGTACAACATCCGTGTTAACTGCATTTCCCCCGGTTACATGGATACCGCCCTGAACAAGGTCCCTGCCCTTGACGCCCAGAAGAAGATCTGGAAGTCGCTGACTCCCCAGGAGCGTTTGGGTGCCGTTGACGATCTCAACGGCCTCTGCGTCTTCCTTGCGTCTGACGCTTCCAGCTTCATGACCGGCTCCAATGTCATCATTGACGGTGGCTACACTCTTTACTAAGCTGGTCGCCTATGGGATATTTGGTTTGGGGGGATACCCTGGAGACGGACTGTTTTTTCGGCTTTGACACCCCAAGACTGATCGTGCATGGAACTTCGAGCTCCTGCACACATAAGCCGCGGACGGATTTCAGCTTTCACGACAAAGGGACGACGCCTTTTTCTGATTTTGGTGGATCTTTCACAGTTGGTATGGCGGCTTTTCTTTTCATCTCTACTAGACGGGCAACGGGGGCTTCTCGCTTTTATTTCAGCGCAGCGGATCTGGCTTGCTGAGAATTTTCGAGACGAAAAGACACAGGAAAGACGGGATGGCGTTTGGGGACATGTATGAATGATTTACTCTTTTTTTTTTCTTTTTCTTTTTTTTTTTTTACGGCGATGTCTCCTCGAGTTGCTCTGCTTTGCCTTTGACGCTCAAAGAAAGTCATAACAAAATAGGGGGTGAACGGGGAAAGGGCTTTTACATAATTGAATCGAGCATAGTCTCTTTCGATGAGAGTTAGACGATATGATTCTTGGCATCAACATTGATGATTGCTTATTCAACTTGATATGTTACTGCTTGAAGCCGTCCCCATCCCACAACCGCGATACACGAGCCACGAGAATCAGAGCCGCTAAGCACCGCCATCATTTGATGGTTGACAGCTTGAATACGACACACTATCAAGGACTTGATCCAAACTAACGTGCACAGGTGTAACTTTTCTTTTGAATCGTGCTCCTGTGGCTCTTTTCTTTGAGTTACTAATAGGTAGGTGCTCCTTTCATGCTCTCCATCGACATGACGTCACAAAGTGGATCTTGCCAGACGATGTGGTCCCTGGCCCCGACCCCAAGAAGTCGAACGGAGAGCGGAAGGAGGAGGGGACTAAGAGGCCAGGGGGCCGGGGGGACGGGGGCTTGACTACCTATGCGTACACCACACGGGGCATGTGGTTACCCAAGAGACTACTACTGATCTCGAGTCAGTAATGGTGATTGTGAAGAGATGGATGGGGATTGAGTGGATGTGCTGTATACTGATACTGGCTAATGGGTTCACTGCCATTGAATGCCTTGTGTGATATTGTGTGATATCGTGACGGGATGGCAGTGGAAAATCGAAAAGAAAGCGGTGTACTGAGGCCTGGAGGGGTTTTCAACTTTAGAGAAGGATTGAACGGAGGGAGAGAAGGAAGGTTAAAGTGTGAGAACGAGCAGACTTGGGAAGTTCTGTGATGTGGTTGGTGATGATGACTTTGACCGAGATCTGGAGTCCCGGTGTTGATTTGAATGGCAAATTTCTTTTCTTTTTTTTTTTTTTTTCTCTTTTTCCGGCCTGTAGGATGTAGCTTACATCGAGGAGCCTCTATTGGTGGCATACCTTTGTCGGGATTCCTCAGAAGTCAAAAGTAACGCTCTTCAACCTGACACATCATGAATGTCGCATCAAGAGGAAACGGATATCAGGGTCAAGTGTCTCAACATCCACTTCAAGTAATACTTCTGTATCATCCAGCCTAGCCATCGTTCATGTCTCCCTCATCCCGTTCCAAGCGTGCACTTTGTCCCTGACGTCCTTTCCCTGCCAGTGTGAGAAACGCCAACAACGTCCTTACCTAATAAACACACTGTGAGCCCTTGAAGTGAAAACCTTGCCCCATCCATCTTGGTGCAGCAGTTCAAATTCTTCTTCCATGTTGTATAATTGCCATAAATATCATCCATAACCAAGAAGAAAATGTCCCGCCTCTTGACAATTCCCAGTTTCCCAACCCGAATTCCATAATAACCCGTAAAGAAGAAAAAGACTTCAGTTACCTGTGTATATCGAAAGGCCGTTGCCGTTTCGAGGAAACCAGCAAACATACAACATCCGTCGCCCTCCGGCTCGCTGTGCTATGCCTACTTCGCTGTGATTTTGGCTTGTTTGCTTGCATGCTTTGCATTTCGTATTCCGCTCGCTGTGCAACGGTTCGTTTTTTTTTCCCCTGTGTAGAGGTGTGTATACGTGGGTGCTCTGGGTTCGCTTCGCTCGTTCGGGCAATATATCCCTCGTTCGTGATAAAAGAAGAAAAAAAAAATACTTAGAAGAATTGGCGTTTAAGGATCGAAGTACATTTGTTATGTGTCGGGTACCCACAGATCTCTCAAACCAAGAAAGAAATTCCAGCAGATGCAAAATCAAGACCTGCCCGGCCACGTAAAGGTAGAGATCGGGTTCATAACCACACCTAATCCACAAATCTCTGCTGCAGAAGAGAATTGCTTTAGAACCCAGAAAGAGGGGAAAAAAAGAAAAGCAAAGAACAAAAAGGGGGATGCGAAAACAATAACGCTCCAGGGGAATATCTCTCGTGCGTGCGTGTACAGCACATAACGCCTAGAAGAATCATACACTACTGCCCTTTCCGGGCCTTTTCTTGGGCTCGGGCTTCCCTTGCTGCTCGGACTAGGGGCGCCAGTGTTGATAGGTCGACGCACTTGTTCATGAAATCGTGCTGTTACTGGAGTTAGCTCGAGTGCCCGGCGGGAATATCACCATCTCCTTGAGACTGGTAGCGTAATGTAGCCGGCGAAGAGCCGCAAACAGAGGGCCATTCAAAGTGCAGGGGCGAACCAAGACTTACCCTTAGTAGATCATGAGCGCTGGCCCTCTTCTCCGGGTCCACCTTGAGGGCAAAGTAGAGGAAGTCGCGGAAAACCGGTGAGAGTGACTGCTCATCCTTGATGTGCGGCGTGCCGTTGGTCGCAATGAGCCAAAGCGCTCGAAGAGGCGACTCGGTCAGGTAGGGAGGCTCTCCTTCAATCATCTCGATGGCCATGATGCCCAATGACCAGATATCCACCTTGCGGCCGTACTCTTTACGTGTCACAACCTCGGGCGCCATCCAATAAGGCGTGCCAACCATTGTCGTACGCTTACTTTGAGCTTCGTTGATTGTAGCACAGAATCCGAAATCGGCTATGATGGAAGAACAAGGGTTAAAATCGGGTCACAGCACCAGATGGGCGTTGAGGGTTTGAAGATGGAGGGAAAATGAACAGGAAAATGCTCAAGAGGTTTGAACTTTCCGAGACTGCCCAAAAAGCCCGAAGGGGAAAACTTACTGAGCTTGATATTGCCTTCCATGCTAAGGAGAATGTTGTCTGACTTGATATCTCTGTGTATGACACCCTTGGAGTGCAGATGTTGAAGGCCCCTGAGGGTTTCTCGGCAAACTGACGCGATCTGCCCTTCAGTCATGATGTTGAACGTGACAACATCCGTCAAGCTACCACCCTCCATGTATTCCATGACTACCCACAATTCCCCAGCACATAGGTAACTGTCAATAAAGTTGACAATATTGGGGTGTGAGCTCTCCTTCATAACCAAAATCTCATTGATGATGAGATCCTTCTTTGGCTGTTGCTCAAGGTTCATCTGCTTGATAGCCACCAGCCTGTTGCTTCCCCTTTCATGGCCAGTATACACACCACCAGAGGCACCCTGACCAATTTTGGTAAACCCACGATAAATCTCTCTCGGATCCCCGTCGGAGCATATCCTCTTTAGGGAAGCCACGACATCAATCGCGTTACTTTGCCGCGGTCTGTGACGGGGTCTCGCGCTAGCTTGGGGAGCCGCCCCTTGAGTCTGTGGCATACGAGGAGCCCCATTGATGTCTGGCTGCCGGGGGTGTTGGTGTTGTGAGGTGGGCGGAGTTGGTTGTTGTCTCTTGCTTGCAGCTCGGCTCAGTTGACCACTCATTGCTGCTTGGGCTTGGGCCATGGCCTGTTCTTGCTGGTGTTGCAACAATTGCTGCTGATAAGCCACAGTCTGGTTCGCCGCGGCGATCGGATGCAGTGGGGACGCCTGCACGGGAGAGAACGGGGCAGCGCCGTTTGTTCGGGAATTCGATCTGGACCTGCTCCTGTGCTCCTCCTGGTACATATGCTGGACATTATCCTTGGGAGGGAGGTACGGCATCGGGGCCTCATCACCGGGCGGTGGCATGCCAATTCCTGAATCCTTGGCTGGCAATGAGGCTGGCGGCACCAGCGGTCGTGTGGATATTGCTGGTGGCTTCGGTGCCGGTCTGCTGGGGATCAAGTTGATATCCTTTGCTGGAAGAGGGCCAGGGCCCTTGGGAACCGGCGGCGGCGCACGAGGGTTCTCAAAGCTGCCTTCATGACCAACTTGGGGGAACCTAGGACTAGCGGGTGGACTAATCATTGGCGACATGGGACCATGAGCGTAGCCAACGCCTGTTTGCAGTACGAGCGGAGCGGTGCCGGTCACGGGCGGGCTGCGAAAATCTGTCGCTCGTGCATCGTGGAACTTCTCTAGCTGTTGATCTTCCTGTGGCTTCTCGGTTGTCTCCTTGTAAAATGTGAGGACATCGACCAGTATTTGTGGGTGTTCTCTTCTGTCCTTCTCGGTGATTCCACTCTCGCTTATCAAACGCTGCCACTCTTTTGGCAAACCCTATCAACGTGTTAGTCCATCCATCACATTCAAACTGGTTGACATCGCATGGCAACATACTGTGAACTGGCCAGTATTGCTATCATATCCGACATGTGTGACGTGAACGGGGTTCTCTGGCGCCGAAATCAATGGCTTTTTCGGAGACCCAACTAAGCTGTTCATGAAGCCGGAGAAGCCCGACTTCTTCCTTAGCATACCGGGCACCCTGGACTCTTTACCATCACCGGAGTGTCTCTTGTTACTCGAAGAGCTGCTCTCTGACTTGGACGGCTTTTCGCTTGGCGGAAGTTGTTCAGCCGACGAGAAACTCGCCGAGTGGCGGAATGAAGATGCGCCCATGGTCTTGTTTGATATGGTGGATTTGGGCGACTTTGACGGTTTTGAAGATCTCGCAGCCTTGGAGTCCGTGTTTGAGCGCGATAGAGCAGGCGGGGGAGGAGGAGGAGGAGCGACACGACGAGGAGAAATGTTGTTGGAGTGCGCAATCGTGGTCGTGGACGTGGGCGTGGGCGCGGCGGATAATTTTGTTGCCTCGATTCGACTGAGAATGGCGTTGCCGTCGAATGGAGCGCCAATCAGTTCATCCGTGGATAATTTGTTTTGATCGAAGGATCCAATGCAGGAGTCTAGTGGGTCGTACTGCTTGGATGTGTCCTTGTTCCTGGAGCTAGTAACGGTGGTGCTGGCGACAGCGCTGGGATAAGGCGGCGATTGAGATTGGGGTTGCGACGATGAGGCCGGCGAGAGGATAAAGCGGTTGGTTGGTATTGTCTGCGTCGGATTGTAAGGGCGATTTGCGGATTGAGAGCGAGTGGTGTGGGAGCGTGGCAGAGAGAGGTTGCTGGCTTTGGTGTGGGCGGGCGCGTTTGAAGGGACGGAGACTGGGACGGATACGGTCCTGGCCAGAGAAGGGCTTTGGTTGTAGTTGGGGCCCTGGCGCAGGCTGGAGGCGCTCCGTTTGCTGTCTAGAGATTGGGCGTCAATACGGAGCGATTCGACATTGAAAGAGGAGCTAGTGCGGTGATTTGCGGATGGCGGGCGTTGCTTCTTTGTGAGTCTTTTGCGACTATGCGAAGTGGAGGAGGACGAGGTGGGCGAGAGGAGGGAGAGCTGGCCGTCCATGGTCACTGCGAGAGAAACCCAACCCTAGCGTCGGGGAGGGCACGAGGGCTACGAGATGGGGTAACTAAGAATAAGAAAAGACAAGGAAGATGTTCAACGTACGGTACTGGCGGACGGTTTGGCTGGGGGCCGGGTCAACCAAAAGTAGGCGAGACTTGGGAGAAGAGACGGGAATTGGGGGGGTGGCAGCAGTTATTGAGGCGGGCGGGATAAGTTGGCAGGCCAGAATCGCAGACACAGAACGGACAAGAGCAAAAAGTCGACAATTGAAGGGGGACGGGATCCTGGAAGCTTGATGCCGGTCGAAAATTGCGCTTTGGTTTGTGGTGGGATTGTGTACAAGTTGAAGGTACAAGGTAGGAAAAAAAAGACAGACCCCGGACCGGCGATGCTGGGTTTGGCGGGGACTGGGTACGTTGAAGAAGGGGTGATGCTTTCTGTTGTTACTGCTGTGTGGGAACTCGGACTAGGCTGGCGCTTTTCACTCTTCCGCTTGTTTTCTCTAGACTATCTGAATGACGATTTATTTTTGATGGATCTCGAAGCTTTTTAGTATGCTTATCAGAAGGTCAGGGTCCGGCTACCTTTTGAGAGTGGTGACCAGACGTTAGCTTGTGGACGGCACCCAATTGATGATTGAGGTCGGGCATAGTCCAAGCAGTATGGTGCTGGTGCTACAAGTGCGCAGACTGGAGAGGGATTGGATGACTTGGATAAAGTGGGTGACTGGTTGGGCGGCGCGGGGGATTGCTTGCTTTGGGCAGGGTGTGTCCAATTGTGGTCCAACTTTGTACGAGTCGGTGTCGATGTGTGGCCGTTGACAGTTTGTGGGTTGTCGAATTTCACGAATCTCGTCAAACTCGTTATCGACTTATTGTTGGCCGGGCTCAAACAAGTGAACCCAAGATGGCGGACTGGTGTCGGGTATGCGCGGCGCTGCTGCTGCTGCTGCTGCTGCTGCTACTACTACTGCTGCTGTCGTCTGAAGTTGTCTGGCTGTCGTCCGGTGTTGCTGACGGTCGGACGGCGGGCGGGGCGGGGATACTCGGCCTGCAGATGCCAAATGAGAATTGGAGACAAGGAAGGACGCAACGAAAGTTCAGGGAAGCATATGATTGTCTAGGACTGCTTCGTGACTGCTGTCGGGCGGCTGTTGCTTTCTGCATCTGCTGCACTGCACACTTACAAGAGGCCCGGCAGCACATGCACTTTTCGGCTTCTAGACAGACAGCGGGAGTGTGTCCGCCTTCTGGGAAGCAACTGAAGTCTGCACCTCAGTCCCCTCTACCAGACAGGGCAGGTGGGGACGGGTGGGGACGGGAGAGTGGGACTAGACTGCCTGGTGCAGTGCCATTGCAGTTGACGAGAGCCACTTTTGACCACTGCTGCCACTGCTACCACTACAATACCACGACAAGGCGCCTGTGAGAGGCTTCAAGTTCACTTCACCTGCCCACTTTTTGTTCAACCGCCGGCGGCAACGGAACGGCGATGGCGGGGACACTCTGCACGGGAGACTGACAGGGACCAGGGCGCCACCACCTCTTCAACCTCTTCCCTCGTTTCCTCTTGACTTTGGCATCATGTCGTCGAGGTTGCTTCCAACACCCGCTCTGGACCTTATTCGAATGTATGTAGACGTCAACTCGAGGGCATTCCAGGTTCCGACCCTGGACTGGCCTGGCATCTTGGAGAACGAGTCTGCGTGCAACCTCTGCGGCTTTCTGTTCGACAGTACAGTATATACCTCTATCTACATACAACACAGCCACAATCTTTGCTTGCCCGCGTCAATCACGGCCGGGACAACCCCTCCTCCTACGCACAGTGAGGTGTGAGGTGCTCATGCTCCTCGCGTGTTCAAGCTCGGCGCGATAGGACCGTGCTATGCATTCGCATAATTGATCTTTTTGAAAACGACAAATCGCCATCACGCTCATCCGCCAAGATTTAGTCCCTCGGTACGTATCAGATACGGGGCAGCTTACGTCCAAGGGGCGCCCCAAGGTGGAGGCTATCAGGCTGTTGACACGGCCGTCCTCTCGGCAACCGTGATTAAATGCCCCGGGCTTGTGGGGTAGATATGGCCAAACGGGCGGAGTCGAAACGCCCGTCTTGGTCCTTGGATTTCCGCGTCCCAGTCCCTGGCGTTTGGCGTCCACTCGTTTTTCTTGCCTCTATGGCCCGGCCAGGGCGTCATGTCTAGGACGACTGGGGCGCACCGGCTTGAAGCGATGAGCGTTGTGAAAATCAAAGGCCGGCCGGCCTGTGGGGCCGCAGCAGGCCTTCCGCGCGCGAAATGTCGTTCTCAAGGGGTTGATCAACTTCCTTCGATATCGAGACTCAGCAGTCTTTGGACAAGCGCTCCTGGCCCTGTATACTAGTGTCTGCAGTGAGCCTTGTGTTTCGCAAGATTGTGGGACGCGGTCTGTGGTATGTGGATGGGTTTGACAGCCCAGCAAACGCCGCCTCCTGCTTCGCCGTATAGCTACGTACAGTTCGTCGTGAATGCCACTCATTTGCTACCGATTGGCCGCCAGATATGAACGGCAGGCTAGTCACTCACGCTCTCCAGATCCCTATTCATGGAGTTGGGAATAGCGCCAGGTTTCGTGATGCGATCTATCCAGGCTAGTCGTATAAGGGGTTAAGCCAGCAACTCAAGCAAGACGGTGATGATTTTCTGTTTTGGGCAATCGCGTTATGAGGCCCCGTGGTCGCCTTTTGTCAACTTGTTGCGCTCGGACGTTGGACAATGCTGGATCACAAAGCCGCTCTTTGCTAACAGCTTGTCTGCTACTGCTTATGCGTTGAACCACACACCACCTCAGCTGGAGGAAATTAGGATACCGCAAGGTTGACGGCGAAACATGCCTTAAATGGTAGGTATCCGGCATCGAAACTGTTTGAGAGAACGCTGCGGAGGACGGCAATACTACGAGAACTTGATAGAAATGGTTAGCGCCTCGCACTTTGAAAACACCAGAGCCTCCATAACAAGATCCGCTTCGTCTTACGCTTTCTAGCAGGCAAGTTGACCACGCACCCGCCACTGCACCCAGCCAGCCATACAGAATTCTTTGATTGCACAACAAACAGACAAAACCTCCACATACAAGTAAGCCAACATATAAGCACAACTCAAAGCTTGTATGTGTGTGTCTCCTCGGTGAAACGAGGTTTCTCCTTCTCCTCTTCTCCAAAACCTTGTCGGCAGATGGAATTTGCACGCGGTGACAGGTCTCATCATGAGGTGCACAATGCCGTAGGAGCAACTCGCTATACGAGTTTTTGCCGTTTTCTGTCACCCTTTTATCGAAGAACAAGGGGAAACGAGCATATTCTACAAGAGCCGTAGCTCGGGAAGAGAGTGACAACCCGACAGCCTACTAGTCCATGGAGCGCCAATCTTATACAATACCTCGTTTTGCGAATCAACACCATTCGCAACACATGTTCAGCCAGATACTCATCGACAAGGCTCGTTGCTAGAGTCGGCACTCATCTTTCAAGACAGTCATCGAGGATGTACCTGCTTCATTCACAGTAAGTAGGTAACTACCTGAGCCTGTGTCTTTAGCCTAGCACCTATCGCGCTTGTCATGCAGATACCACCTCGAGCTCGAAAGGCATGTGTGCTGCAACTGTCGGTGTGGTACCTACGCAAAAGGCGTTTCTGCAGGGTGCCTGTAGGTAGGTTGATATGCTTACATACTGTACGTACCTTTTTCTGCAGGACCTATGTCGAGCTCCATGCTTGGGATACCACGATGCCATGGATGGCCCTTCTTCTGCCGAGGACTCTGGACCTCGTTCACTGGACACCTTTCGTCTCTATATAGTGTACCTACACGAGCCGCATCCAAGATCGGGACCATTCGCCTCCTGCGTGCAGAAACAGACCCGGCACCCTTTTTGCCGTGCCGCGCACCATGCATCTTGGCTGGTCTTCCAGAAACCTGACAGAAGCCTGCTTCAATCGATATGAACAAGGGATCGCGGACGAGAAGATTGCAGGAGGCGTGATAATCCCCGAGAACCTCATCCCTGGCTAAGTTCGTCTCCCGCCTTGACTTTTACAACGATAATCCGACATCAAAGCCGACTCAAGGGGTCGTGTTATACTTCAATCATTGCCTAAACATGCAATTTCCTCGGGCCTGCCGAGACGGTCTGTACCTATCTTCTCGTTCTCTCAAGCCCCCGCCCCTACCGAAGAATGCCCGCGAAGATCCTCGAAGATAGCGTCAAGGGTAACCATCTACATCGGACTCTGTACCGGAACGTTTACTCAATGGTGCGTTCAAAACACTGACGCCAGATGCAAATATACATATCATGTTTTCTCCGCCATGGCGGACTCGGGAAGCATGTTGTACCTGCAGGAGCCATGATTTGGACTTGCACCGTCCCTTGATTGAATCAGTGCAAGCTATGTACTCGGGACGAAAACGACAGGCAGGGGAAGGAGGGGGGCTTGTGTCTTGGATAGGTACACAGAAAAGCAAACCGTCGTCGACTTAAAGCTACAGATACGCAAACTCTGCGCCAGTCAACATGAAGCGATACGTTTTTGTCAAACGTTGTCACAATAACTTGAGACATTGTTCCAGACAACACTTTCGAGTCGGCGTGCTTAGGCATACATACGCCCATTCTCAAGGCGAATGTGCACACCCGGGTGCTCGCCTACTGCAGTCTCATCTCGCACGTTAACTCGATACCAAGTCGTAGTTTTCTTAGTCATCTCGGTTCTCACCTTATCTTAACTGCGAGCCAGCGAGGGTACCTCTGATGATTGGGCCCAGTTGAACGGGAAAGGCGCGGGATGTTTTATATCAAACCAGTCACCTACTGAGTTGGCATCCCCTCTACCTCATTTATGGGTCGAGTCTTACAATCTACCTCTAGACAAACATGAATGGATGGGCGGAGAGAAAAGGGTCTAGAATAAGGAGAAGGCGTTCGCTACCTTACTCCCAACACTAGCAATGGTAGTGTGTACTCCCGCCACGTGGGCTTTAGGTATAGTACACCCACGTACATCATGTCGATCTATTGTTGGGAAGGATCATTCAAGGCACATGAAAAGATATCAAGAACTAGGTACGCTAGGATATCCCTCTCCCTCAAGAACCTAGCCCAATCACGCACTAACTCGCAGAACATCAACTTCAACCCTGTCTCTGAATATAAAACAGGAACCATCTACTTACATAGAGAATGCCCTAAGCCGCTGCAAACCGCTGCAAACCAGTCACAGGAACTGTATGGACCAGGTCGATCGGGTTCTCGGACTGTGAATGAGCCAGAATACGCCATGCCAAAGACACTGGACAACGAACTCAGATGATGGAAGGACTCTTAGGCACCGGATAACGGGACCTTGCAGCGTGTAGCCGAGAGGTGTCACAAGTACACAACGTAGCAGAGGGCTTGGTATGTGGATTCGAGATATCTATCTCCTGTATTTGCTTTGGGAAAGTGAACGGAACTGGGAAGCTTCGAAGAAAACCACGGGATATTTCAGGACTGGAAGGATTGGGAATTAGGGAAACGGGAGCGACTGGAGACATGCATGTGAGTACCCGCCCGTGGTGTGTCTCGTTCGCTCACTCTCTCTCAAGCTTCACTTTCATCATTTTACCAACCTCTGCCTCCCAGTGCATTCTTGAGACAGACTGAGATTACACACATGTATATGTATATATGGTATGTATGATTGCGTTGTTCCCTTATTGCGGCTCGTCTCTTTTTGAGAGGTTGGTTCTAGGTGATCGTCCTGACCTATAATCAATGACGAGTAGTAAACTTTTGATTATCAAAGGTCAAGAGACTCAAAAGGGTCGTTATCACATTCGAGATTTTCATATTTCACTAATATGATAGGGCATGTTTACAAATCTGAACAGTTGTCTCAATGCTTCTCTTTACCTGTCTCTTCGCCTCCCTCTTCACTTTCCCTCTATTACCCAACGGGCCCATCCTGACTCCTGTCTAGTGGGCAAAAACAGGACGAAAAGGTTTAGAAATGATGAACCTCGGTCACCGTTGGCAGGCAGTGGTTAAGTGATGGAGATACGAATATAATCACGAGGAGCAGCCTTGGGATAGGGTCAAAGTCGATACAGAAGTTTGTAATAGGAGCATGAGATATAACAACAACCTGAATTCATCTACGCTACGGTTCAAAACTCGGGATGTTTCGCGACTTGCGCAGCTGGGTTGGTAATGACTGTTGAAGTGGAATGCGTCTACGCAACGAAACTCAGCGGAAAAGTAGAGAAAGGATTACAAGTTGTCTTCGTCGATCTGCGACGGTGATGGGAAGTTGTAGTGTCCTGACCTCTTTTTCTGTTGCAGATTTCCATTCGATTTCATGAGATCCGTGTGGGTATTGGGCGTTCTTTGGACTTCGCCTGGTCAGGAACTCAGCGTAGAGCTCCACTAGGGAGAACATTGTCGTCTCTTCTTATGCCGGCTTCGACCGTCGAGACTCATAAACATGGTTCATTTGGCTCGTCGTTGATTGTTCACACCACATGTTGGTGTAGTAACTTCCACGTTATTTTATCCGTGTAGCCGAGCTTTCCGCCAAGGAGAATCATGATCTGTTCTTTTGTTTCCGATGAACCTTTCAGTAAAAGCCGTTGTTAGAGTCAGAACACGTGTCGTGGAGGCTGAGTGCCGGATCTTAATTATATAAGCGGCCGTGCTGTTGAGAGGAGAGCTTGAGACGCTATCATGTTTTTCGAGAACAACTGCGGGGTCTCTTCTTACTCTTTGGCAGGTGACGAGATGAAAAATGATAGAGGAATATGGGATCAGAAGGCTACTTGATATTCACAGGGTCGCTGAAGACATGGAAGGTGATTATCGACGCGGAACAGCAGAGTGAAGGGCCACGGCTGTACGAAGAACGGATAGAGTCCAGGGAGTTGTACCGGCCAGTATGCCTCTTCTTGTTCAATGGTCACATTGTTTTGATGCAATATATACACGTGAATGGTGTTGACAAGAAGCCGTGGAGGGTACAGATGACTCGGTGTGATATGCCTTGCCTCTTTCAGCACGATCATCCAGAAGGGCGGAAAACGTTTGGACTTGGATCATGGATAGGAGTTCCGCATCAGCGCCCATGGCGTTGTCTGTACCGCGTGAACACTTTGTATAGTCGCATTTAAGATTTGTCCTTGAATGCAGCCAAGTGTTCTTCTCGGTCCTCACTCATAGTTTGTTACTCCTCCATGCTTTATTCCCGCTCACAAGCTCCAGCCCTGAGGGTGTCAGGTCACAGATATGACCAGGCAAATGCGATCAGGAAATGGTACGACTGTTGATTCTCCCAACTGATCCGATCCGAATGAGCTAGAACCATTTCTTGAGGCAAGGGTTGGAGGTGAGTTGATCAAAAGGATACGTGTTGGGTGTTGGAGAGGAGACCAGACTGGAATCATCGAGAAACTGCTGGAATGCTCCAGCTAAGTAGGACATTGCACAAGTGACGACGGCTGCAGAGAATTCGTGGCCAGTGAGACGCATCGTGAAGATGTGCTGTATGCAAACTGCAAACCTAAAAGTTACACGCACAGGTTCCCATCCTGAGGTTGACTGCCGTCCTGGTGTTGATGATTGATCAGGAGGAGTTGTACTGTGTATTGATGCCATGGAGCCCCTATTTCCCTTGCCAGGACGGCCCGGCAGGAGTTCCTGGACGGGAATCGGCAGCTGTTGTTGATGCGAGCTGCTTTTGGACAATTGCCCCACATTTTTCTGCAGCCAGCAGCGAGCCAGTCTGGCGGGCCTGGTCGTCAAAGCTCGGCCCAGCTGCCCAATGAGGGCTTATTGTAGTTGAATTTCGAAACACCATTGGTCCGGTCTTTTGGGTGGATCTACTTTTTATGCGTGTTGTACCTATGGAAGCCACAAGAGGACTCGGAACGGTTCGCATAGGCTATCTCTAGGGACCTGCCACTTCGCCCACCTAAACTGGCCCAGCAGTCGTGGAGGGGACGCGAGGGGAACTGGCCAGACAATTTTTTTTTTGGAGACGTTGAACACGTTGTAGCGTATCAGGGAGCTTCCAGGACAACCCCATTCTGGACACAATTCCCACTTCATCGGCCCCACGACCAGGTATACCTAGAGGTACCTACCTACCTTGGTCCCACGTTACCTTCAGTTATGTACTAGTAGCCTCCACGACCCAGCTTCCGTTAAGTTGTCGACTACGGCACGGGCAATTGTGGCCTCTTCAGCTTCGGTCCGCTATAACCTCTCTTGTTCGCCGCCCTTTGGCTCGTCGCCGTCCCGAACCTTTCTTTAAACCTTTCCCCCCCATCCGCTCCATTCACTCCTCTTCCCCTCCCCCTCTTAGAGACTCCTCCAGATCCTCCCATCGAGGTTTCCCTTCTTCTCCTCCATTACCCCAGGATTGATCGCCAGTCCTGTGCACCATGCTATAGAGAGACCAACAACAAGCTTGCCACCTGTTGTCATCCGAGTCTCCTCGCCCGTTTCCTCCCTCAGCCTCGTCTTCTTATCTGTCCTGCATTGGATTAGCTTTTCTACCCTTCGGTATTGCGCAGGCACTGCCGAACCTTTTCGACCACCTCACCACGCACACACACATTCCGACTTTATAAGCTTCGAGCTGCTAGGTGGTCCTTTCTCCCAACACAACCTATTTTTAATCAACGTCACTACAGTACTTCCCGGCGCTGTGAGTTACACCACCCACCTACTTGAACCCCCGCAACCGAGCCACTTACTTCAGCCTGCTTCCCTTGCTCTATCCTGCACCGCCCTCCCTGTCCCCTTTCCCCTTCACACTCTTCACGAGAAAACGGTTCTTCTGGAATGTTTCAGGCCGCGGAAACCACCAACGCTGCAGTTCCTGTCTCGGACTCAACATCCCGGATATCGACCCCTAATCTGCCACAGCTCCCAAGCTCCCCCTACCTCTACTCTAGCACAGCCATCTAACCACAATTCCCGTGTCAGATAACGAGACGCGCCTGTTCCGTATCCCCAGCTCGTTGGTACGTTATCGCCTTGTATCATCATTACCATCATAATGGCCGACTCGACCGAGCAGTCAGCTGCCGCGCAGCTCTTGCAACAGCATCTGGAGACAGCTTCCAACGCCGGCTCCTCCCACCGCGTCCTTGTCGAGGAGGTTGAGGACGAGGATCTTCACAAGCCTGTCTCTAGCTCGGAGACTCCCGCGGCGCCCAAGCCCAAGCCCAAGACCCTCGACACGCAATCCCGCGAGCTGTTCCCCGAGCTGGGCGGGCCCAAGCCCAAAGCGAGTGTTGTTGCCCCCATCTGGGGTGCCAAGAGCAACACCAATGGGAGCACCAATGGCGCCGCTCCGGCCAACGGCACCCCGCAGACTTCGGCACCGCCTTCCGGTGTTAGCACCCCGATCGGCTCCGGAAGGCAAGGGCCCGGGCCACATCCGTTGAGCATTCCGGGCCGCAATGTCGAAACCATGTTGCTTGACCCGCCCCACATCCTTCCCAGGACTCAGCTCAAGCGTCCTCTTCCCGATATCCTGAAGGACTTGAACCGTAAGGCGCGCGCCAACGTGACCATGCACGCTCTGGGTAACGGTCAGCTCAGGTTCGACGCTGTTGGCCCCCAAGAGCACGCCACCCAGGCGCTCAAGGACTTGGTTAACCAAATCGGCACCAAGGTTAGTTTTACCCTGACCCTTTGTCGATGGAATCCTGCATCATGGAGCTAATTCCCTCTTTCCCAGCAAAACATCACCGTTCAGATTCCCTCGTCGGCGAGGGCGCACATTATCGGCAAGGGCGGTTCCACCATCAAGGCTATTCAGGAGAAGACCGGAGCGAGAATCCAGCTACCAAAGGCCGACGAGTCCCAGCCTCCTGCAGACGAGGACGATGATACCATGATCAACGTTCACATCGAGGGTAACGCCTTTTCTGCTGCAGCGGCTCAGCAGGAAATTGATAGGATTGCCGGTGAGCGCGCCGCCAACGTCCAGACCAAGTTGCGTAATATCCCCGCCGAGTTCTACCCTTTCATTGCCGGACCCAAGAACAACCTGGTGCACAAGCTCGAAGAAGACATGGGAGTTCAGATTCGCGTTCCTCCCCTTCAGGGCCGGTCCCTGCAACCCCCCAGTATCCCTGCTCCTGGGCAACGCCCCATCTTTGCGCCTGCTCCTCAGGACTACAACATTCAGCTCGCCGGTGAGCGTACCGCTGTTCAAAATGCGAGGGCCGCCATTGAACGACGTGCCGAGGAGCTTCGCCGTCAGCTTGCTCTGGAGCAGCTGTCGATCCAGCGTGGCCGTCACCAGTTTATCATCGGAGACAGGGGTGTGCCTGTTGACCAGTTCTTTGAGGACACCGGTTGCGCCATCATTCTCCCTAACGATGAAGATGATGACATGGTAACCATTATTGGACCTCAAGACCACGTTCAGGCTGGTCTCGAGAGGGCCATGGACCTCGCTATGAACATGCAGTGCTCCAACATCGACATTTCCAGATTCCACCGCCAGGCTCCTGGAGGCGCTGCGGCTCATGCCCGCAACGTGACCCGCTATCTTCGTCAGCGGAAGGCCATTGAGCAGCTCGAGAGGCAACACAATGTCCAGGTGAACACTCCTTTCTCGAACGAGGGTGCTCTGCCTTGGGAGCTTTATGCTCGTGATGGCAAGAACGCCATTAGGGCCCAGTCCGAAATCAAGGGTCTTGTGGACAGCCACCCTCCCGCTCGTATCCAGGCTGTTCAGGTTGATCCTTTCTTCCACACTTACATCCGCAAGGACATCACTCCCCGTGTCAGACAGGAATACAGGGTGCAGTTGGTTGTCCCCGAGGCTACTGAGGCCAACGCCCCTGTTCTCTTGGTATATGAAGGACCTTCTAGCCCGACTAGCTACGAGATTCCTCGCGGCCAGCCTAGCCAGTCCGAGGTTAGCGAGATGCAGAAGTGGCTGCAGGACGCCCGCCAGCATATCCTCGGCCTTGTTAACCAACAAGAGGAGATCATCCATGCCTCCCTGGACGTTCCCCAGAAGTACCACGACAAGCTTAGGAAGTTTATTCGGAAGGAGCAGGATGAGCGTAGAAGCCAGGAGAAGATCCCCGCTCGCGTCTCTAACATTGGCACCACAGTCAACATCAAGGGCCCTCGTTCGGCTGTCGAAAACCTTGCTTCCAAGTGCGAGGCCTTTATCGAGCAAGAGAAGGCCGACGAGAAGGAGCGTGGCTTCACGTTGGAGTTTGAATTCCCGCAGAAGTTTGCTAACCACCTGATTGGCAAGGGCGGTAGCAACATCCGTGAGCTCCGTGAGAAGTTCGATGTTGATATTCAGGTTCAGGATGGCAAGGTCGAACTTAAGGGTCCCAAGGCTAAGGCTGAGGCAGCCAAGACCCACATCCTTGCTTTGGGCCGTCAACTCCAGGATGAGGCCACTCACATCCTCAAGATCGACCCGCAGTTCCATCGGGCCCTGATCGGTGCTCAGGGTGCACAGATCAACCGACTGCAGACTCGCTATAAGGTCTTGATCTTCTTCCCTCGCACTCAGAAGGCTTCCAACGACGACGAGTCTGTTGCCGAGGCTTCTGATGCCGGCAAGCCGCGCCGCCAACAGGCTGCTGACGAAGTCATCGTGCGGGGACCTAAGCGTGGTGCTGACGAGGCTCGTGACGAGTTGCTTTCTTTGTTGCAGTATCTGAAGGATACTTCCTACACTGCTACCGTCACTGTTCAGCAGAAGCAGATTCCCTCGCTCATTGGCTCTGGCGGTGCTGCTCTCGATGCGCTCCGCAATGAGACCAAAGCTGTCATCGACATCCCCAGCGCTCGTGACACCGCCGACGGCCTTGTTGAGATTCAGATCAAGGGCACTAAAGAGGCCGTTGCTGCTGCTAAGAAGGCCTTGGAAGCAAAGAAGGCCGTTTTCGAGGATACCGTTGTCAAGACTATCGAAGTCGACAGGAAGTATCACAGAAGCCTCATTGGCGCAGGTGGTAGGTTACTGTCACTCGTCAAGCGCATGCTGCGAAATATGTACTAACTTGGCTCTCCGCAGGCTCCACCATCCGTGACATTGTTGTCAAGGCCGGCGGCTCCGACGATCGTCGCGAGATTGCTCGCGCTGTCCAGTTCCCCAAGCAGGACAACAGCGATAATACCATTAAGATTGAGGGTCGCACCTCGGTTGTCGACAACATTATCCAGCAAATCGAGGCTATCGTTGCGGAGCGCCAAAACCAGGTTACCGAGGTCATTGAGGTCCCTGTTGAGAAGCACAGATCTCTCATTGGCCGTGGTGGCGATGTCAAGCGCGGTCTCGAGTCACAGTTCAAGGTCTCCATCGACGTCCCTCGCCAAGGCAGCGGCCAGACCGGCATCAAGATTGTCGGCCAGTCTGCCGATGTTGAGAAGGCCAAGGCTCACATCCAGTCCTTGACGAAGGATCAGCCCGGCGAGACTCTTCAGGTGCCCCGCGCTCTTCACCATTCGGTCTCCAACAACGGCCAGATTTTCAGGAGGCTGAAGAGCGATCACCATGTCACCGTCGACCACGCGGGCCATTCCATTCCCGCCAAGCCCGCTGCCCCTGCGAGCATCCGTGCAAATGGCGGTTCTCTTCCCTTGATTACTGATGATGAGGAGTCGACTGCCGATGCGCACTCCTGGACTGTTGTTGACCAGACCTCGACCGAGGAGGGCGACATCCCCTGGGTTATTCGCGGCTCTCCAGAAAACATTGAGAAGGCCAAGAAGGTCATCGAGACTGCGATTGAGCAGGCTAAGAAGGAGGATGCTATTGGCTACCTTATCTTGCCCGATCCTAGGACCTATCGCTACGTGATCGGCCAGGGTGGCGCCAAGGTCAACCAGATTCGCAAGCAGAGCGGCTGCAAGATTACCGTCCCCCGCGACCAAGCCAAGGGTGAGGCTATTGAGGTTGTTGGTACCAAGGAGGGTGTTGAGAAGGCCAAGGACTTGATCCTTGCTGCCGTCAAAGAAGGCCAGAATGCCAGCAGGTCGCCAAGAGAGTAAAGTTCTCGTTTGTGAAGGCTTTCGTTCGGGTATGGTCGGTGAAGTCGCGGTTTATGCTGCAACATAGGTGACGGTTAGTTGAGGGGCACTTGAAAAGGACCCATATAGGACGCATGATGGGAGGCTTTGCGCTCTGCCAAGCGATATGCCGCTGGTCCTGAAACTTCTTTTCTTTATATCATGGGAGGATGGATGACTTTTTATGGCCACTAAAATTTTCTGGGAAATGGTTCAGAAAAAAAGAGATGTCTGACGCAGGTTGAAGGACGTAATGAGGAACAAGAATTGAATCTTCACGTTTCACTGGTTAGGAAACGAGAATGGAAAATGACCCGACTTCCACTGACGTGTGCAGTGTTTATGCTTCTTATTGTCGTCCATGTTTTGACATTCCTTGCAGATCGAGTCAGACAAGCACGCTTTATTGCATGGTGGTAACTTGCGAGCTGTATTATGTACAACTATCAACCATCATGATATATACCTAGCGAGAAAAAGTGGATGTGACTGTGTCAAGTATGGCTACCGCCACACGCCGTAGTTATCTCTCCCTTCAAATTCCCCGCCTCAGAAGCTTTTGATATCCCGCCACTTTCCCGAGTAGTAAATCTAGAACGAAAGTCGGTGTAAACATTGGTACACATTCTATCTATCAGTAAATCTGGGCCCTCTTGAAGTGAGCCCGTTGACCGCCACAACAATTAATCACTGACAGGTCCCATAAACTCCATCGACGTCCTCATCAACCACGCTTCTGATTTCCACACCCACCCACGCAGCCAGTCAACCTCGCCCATCTTTCCATCCATTTTTCTCCTGCATCCATCCCTCGCTCCGCTCTGTCTTAGAAGAACTTGACACCCAACGAATCCTCGCCACTCTGAAAGATCTGCGCCTTCCCTCTCTTGACTACCGTACCCAGCGCTTTGACCAGCACATCCCCATCCATCCCCCAAATCTCGGTCCCCCTCGTCCCCTCTCCCTCCCTCAGCTCGTAAACAGTCAAGACGGACCCCCTCTGCCCCGTCTCCTCCACCCATGCTTCAATCAGCGATCCCCATTCCTCTGGTGTCCGCCAGTAGATGAATGCCTCCCCTCCCTCTCCCGCTTCCCCTCCTCCTCCTCTTGCCGTCGTTGTCATGGTCCCATCTTTTTTGGTCTGGCCAAGAGGAAGAACATATTCGGCCCGTCCATCTTTTCTCAGAAAATCCACTACCCGTCTGATATCCCCCGGCGCCAAGCGGCGGTTGATACGCGGGTTGTGGAAGGGAATGGCGTCAGGGTTCAGGGAGAGGCGAAAGAGGCGGTGATGGCGGCAGTAGGCGAGTAAGAGGGAGGACCATTTGGTGAGTTGGGCGTGGTGGGTCGTCAGGTTGGTTTGGCGGGTGAAGAAGGGGGGGAAGAAGAATTCGCGCGGGAAGGGGAAGGTGTCGTTGGGGAGGAGAGTGCCTGCTGTTGTCTTTGGGTTGCTGTTGTTGGGGGTGCTGGAGTCTGAGGGGGCGGGAGGTGTTGTTGACATTATTGGATTTGGATTTTGGGGGGGGTTAAGTTGAGGACCGGTTGAGGCTGGCCCTACTTGTTTTGGTTGATTGAGGTTGACTGAATGTTGGTAGGTTGTATACAGCTGATATTTTGGGTTGGTTATGATGACGGATCATCAGATACGACGACTCAGACAGAAAAAGCGCAGCGGCGATAAGGCTGATAGCGAGAAGATTAAGAATGAGTTCGAGGGTTGATAGTGGTGATCTGTGTGTGAGGTGAGATGTGAAAGTTTCCAGCTTCCTGGGTCGCCGTCCGGTCTGGGGAAGTCGAAGCTCGTGGTTAGTGGGGGTACTGTACCTTCGGGCCGCATCATCAGTGGGGCTGCCAAGCTGTGAGCTTAAATCAGCCCCCTGGTCTGGTTAGGGGGTTCCCGTATATGTAGCATAGTATTCTTGTGGGACGTCGACGTCGTTCAGTCTTGGATACTTCTTTAACTCGAGCGCCTATAGCATAACATGATGGGGATGCCCTCCAAGCTTTCAACGTCTATATTACATGGGGGATCACGCAGAGGCTCACACAAAGCTCAACCGCAGCCATGAAGTGGCATTACTCGAAAACAAGCACCTCAATTCCAACGCCTGGCTCACCCAAAGGTATCCGGAATCCAGCTCGTGTCCAGCAAGCAATGCTGATAATAACTCGACAGTAATAGCCCCATACAATCGATACTTTTCCAGAAATGTTTCTCATCTTCCAATCCAATCCAATCCAATCCAACATAACATTTTGAATATGAGCAGTTGAAAAGAAACAGCTTGGTTTTTGTTTTCGTTTCGTCAACTCAGACATCGGCCATCGGGGTATCTTCATCTTCCATCTCCTGGTCGTCAATCCCCAACTCCTGTTCGAGCTCGTCTGCTACAAAAGTCTCGTACTCCTCCAGGCTTCGCTGGACGTGCATCTTGAACTTGATGACATCGTTGAGCATACGCATGGTCTCCGTGTGGAGCTCTTCGCGAAGTGCGTTGGCTCGGAGCGTGAGTTGCTCATACCTATTGTCCACTTGTCAGCACAGCTGGTTTTATTCCTGAAAGAGTCATGGCAAACCTACTCAATGTTGGTATTCATTTCCCTCTGCTCCATAAGCTGCACAGACTCGGACAATTGTGCTCGCATCTTGGCGAGCTCTTTCTCCATCTTCTCAATCTGTGCATCTGAAGCCATTTTCTGGGCGTTGGTGACCTAGACTCATTGTTAGCATGAGCGATACCGAGCACGTACGACACTCAGCCATCAATCACCTCTTTAGTCTTCTCATACTCCTCCTCTGCCGCCCGCACCCGATGCCCGAGAGCTTCGACCTCATTACGCTTATCTTCGATCGCCTCCTTAGCGCGATCGAGCAAGTCATGGTCTTCCATCATGACATCCATGGCTACCTTTCTCCTCTCCGAGACCTCCTTCCTGAGTGCCAGGAAGGTGTTCTTAACTTGGCCTCGGAGATCCAGATTCAGGATATGCGCAGGCTGGTATCCCGTCGTGGAGTCGGCCAGCAACCTCTCATTCTCCACGCCGCCCAGTGGCTGCCCGTTTGGCCCCAATACACCTTGCATCGATGAAGCAAAGTTGGGCGTCCCCTCGTTTACAGTTACCTGCAGTTCAAGATTCTTCCCCTTAGCATTGACTGCCGTGGCTGGGATCAGTCCGATCTGGTAGGCGACCGTGTTGTACTTTTCAACCAGCCGCTCGAGCTCGTCCAGACGCTGGCTCGCCTCCATCTCGCGCTCGGCGACCTTTTTTTTGACGTCTTCGAGCCTCTGGGAAGCGGACTCGATGCTCCTTTGAAGACGTTCCCGCTCTGAGGTCATGCGGTCAATATCCTGCATGCTGATCCCCTGGTCGTCCACCGATTTTTGCATTTGTCGCCGCTCCTCCTCGGCCTCCTTCAGCTCCACGTGCAACTTGCCCAGCTCCTCCCTGAGAACCTGGATACGGTTTTCGTACTTTTCTGTCCGTTGCATGGCTAGGGTGTTGTACTCTTCAAACTTGATCTTGTCCTCCTCCATAATCTTAAAGTGGTTGTCCAAGATGGCCGGGTCGGGTGTCGACTTTTCGAGCTCCTGAATCTCCTTTAGCAGGCGGGCGTTTTCCCCTTCGAGAATCTCCAGTTCCTGGATGTACTTTGCGTTTGACCGTTCAAAAGCCTCCGCCATTCCCTGCACATGCGGCTGTAGTGCCCTCTCCACGTCTTCATCCCCTGCTTCGTCATCCATATTGAGCCAATCCTGGTATGCGCTGGTGAGGAAATCAAAGATGATCTGGTCGCCCGCAATGTCGACCCCGGCTTCCATACAGGCGTCGTCGTACTGGTGTCGGGCATATCCTTCGAGCATCTGTGCCAACTGCATCATCCAGTGCAGTAATCCCAAGAACGTGCTCCAATTCTGACCTCCGACCGCGGCGATTTGGCTCTTGGTGATGCTCTTCTCGTATGGGTATCGCAGTTGTTTGAGTAATGGTGGTACCTCCTGGTCGATATTCTTCTGAAACCGGTAACTCGGGTCTATCCTGTGGTAAAGCCATTGAAACAAGTAGTTGAAGTCCTTCTGTGTCGGCGACTTTGTGAAGTTGTCGGACAGCTTGTGGTTCATCTCCATCTCGAAATTGTTCTTGGCGAGGTACTCGAGCAACTCCTGGCCAATGCGATTTTGGAATTGACGGTCCTTGAGGGGGCGCGGATCGCGAGGCACGCCGGCGGGCTGGGGCGCTTGCTGGAAGAAGCTCATATGCCCACCAGCTAAGGGACCTCCGCCGACGGCCGACGGTCGTGCGCTCGGGCGATAGACGCTGCTTCGCCGGTCGAGTTCTTGCGATGATCGAGGGATACCGGAACTGCCTGGGGTGCCATAGGGCTTGAACTGCGACGTGTTCATGTTATGAACCGACGCGCGCTTTACCGAGCCCAGGCCAATGTCGGAAGATCGCTGGAACAGAGGTTGGCTCGGTCGCGGGAGGGCCAGAGATTGCCTCCCCGACAGAGAGCGGCCATGGCCCGTCCCCATTGTGCCGATGGTGCTTTGTCGCTTAAGTGTGGAGGGTGGTGCCGGAATGCCCGAGGTGAGGTTGACGCCATGGAGAGTCTACAGAGAGAGCAGAGTCAATATCGTGCATGGTCGCGTCGGATGGGGAGAGGCTTCGACCGAGGAAACACGCCGCGAAGAAGTCACGGGGGGAAGTCGCACCTCCCTTGGCCGTCGGACACTCCAAAGGCCTGCGTTGCTGTCTTGCGACATGACGGCAAAGGCCTCGTCAATATGCGCCTCCCGTTTGCCGTCCTAGTCGCGTGGTTTCCGTGATAATATATAAGCAAACGAATAAAAGAGCACTACACTACGTGGAACTCTGTCGGATCGATGTCGGCGGTAATTCTCGTGATGGTGATTGTTTCGGATAGCTTTGTAGAGCTAAGGTATGCGCTCGAGTTAATGTGGGTACGTGTTCGCGGCTCTGACAGAAATCAATGCATAACCGCAGTCGCGGATTTCGTCGTGTCGTAGCGATAAAAGTACGTGTACGGCCAGCAACCTAATGCAGGCCAGCATAGGTATGTAGGTAGGTAGGTAGGTAGGTAGGTAAATTAAGACACCGTAGTGTAGACGGGACTATACTTAGGTAGGTTGTCGACTTCTGCGGATGGTGGGGGAGGTTGCTCCGTCAGGAAGAGTAAACAAAAGAAAGGCGACGTGGGTGGGGCTGTGGAAATCATTGGGCTGAACACCTCAGTGCCAAGTGCACTCCAGTTCCCTTCCCGTCCCCAAGCATCGGGACGGGAGGTGAATGAGTGGATCCAAAAGCGACCTTGAGAAGTTGAGGGTGAGTGTTGGTTCGCTTCAGCTGGAGGTCAGTGCTTTTCCAGCTCTGCACTCCCGTCACTGAGCCAGTCACTGCAATGGATGTTCAGCTGCGCTCTACTATTACTCTAGGCCTGTCGGAGGAAAAGGAGAATCAGGGGGGAGATAGTGATCTATCTGATCAGCATTCTTCCAGGAATGTACTGGGAGTGAAAGTGATGCAAAGCTGTTAAGGTGCTATTAGCAGTCTACGTCTACCTAGTGCACAATCAGGGCCCCGGTCCCGTGAACCTCGGCTTCAGGACTCCATCCAGCGGTCCAGCCATCCCCCGAACCGCTGCCAGTCAGTTCGTTTCCACTTCATCTATCGCATTCAGCCTCCCGTCCTTCGATAATCATTCCATCAACGGAACCGCCGCCGTCTGCCATCGCGTCGCGATTGTTCCGCTGTCTGCTTCTCTCCTCTCGTCTGCCCAGTCTCAACAAGGGAACGCCATCTGCCGCATTTCTAACAAACAACATCAGTCATGGCCATCCGCGAGGACCTGGTCGCTTCGGCGGCGCAGTGTATGTTCTGCCCCTGTCTTGTCCCCTGCTACCTCCTCTACATTGCCAGGCCAGAATCTCACCCGACAACAACACCACAGTTCTTCAAGACCCCAGTGTCGCCGCCTCGCCAATCGAGAAGCGGATAGCCTTTCTCCAAGCAAAGAACCTCACCCAGGAAGAAGTCAGCGCTGCTCTCGCCCGCGCCGAATCAGGAGGTCCACCGCCACCGTACGCCCAGTCGCCCGCCTATGCGCAGTCGGCCGGACCCGTCGCAGCACAGGGTGGCTCTCCGCAGTACTATGGCTATCCCCCATACGCATGGCCGCAATCGAATACCGACGGTGCCAGGCGGGACTGGAGGGACCTGTTCATCTTGGCGACCGTAGTCGGAGGCGCGTCGTACGGCCTATACAATCTCGGCAAGGTAGGCCGCCGAACACCGTGCAATGTACGTCAAGGGAGATACTAACCGTTCGGCAGCGCTATGTGTATCCTTTGATTGCTCCTCCCACGCCGGAGCGTCTCGAGCAGGACAAGAAGTCCATCGACGAACAGTTCGACAAAACATTCCAACTGGTCGAGCAGCTGGCCAAGGATACCGAAATCCTCAAGGCCTCGGAGCAGGAAAGAACAGAGAGGCTCGACAATGCCCTCGAGGAGCTGGAGACTGTCGTCAGGGATCTCAAGGCAGCCAACAGACGCAGGGATGACGAAGCACAGAGAGTACGGGACGATGTGCAAAATCTCAGGGATTCGATTCCAAGGGCACTCAACAACCAGAAGGACTTGACCGACAACAGGCTGCGCGAACTCAACACCGAACTCAAGAGCCTCAAGACCCTCATCTCGCAACGCATGAACCCAACCGCCACCTCGACGAGCGTCAACAACTACCTTCGCCCCAATACTAACGGAAACGCCACTCCTTCTTCAGCCCCTGCTACGCCAGCCCTCGGCGGTGAAAATGGAGACTTAAACAGCAGAGCCGCGAGTGCGCAGGATGAGCAATCCAGATACCAGCAGGAACAGCAGTTCGCTCAACCTGCCGCCCCCAAGCCTTCGCCTTTCAGCAGCGGAATCGCCTCCGCAGGCAAGCCGACTATCCCCGCTTGGCAGTTGGCCATGGCCAACAAAACCGCGTCGGCTTCGACGGTCGGAGTCACGAACGGTACTACAAACGATGGCTCAAGCAGCAACGGAGGCGACGAAGCCGCTTAAAAAGCTGTTCTCCAGTCAGGCACAATGATAAAATAGCACCGGAACTGGGAAACCTGGATACATTAATCGGCATGAACATAAGGCCAAAGTGAGCGATTCCCTCTGGTTTTCTGTATAGTAATAAAGCTCCTGTACGTTGTTCAAGCAGGACAATACACAGGAGCACTTGTGAAGCATGGGACAACCTCATTCAGTCCCCTTTTCATGATAGCGCGTTTGTCTTTCTGCAAGGTCTTTTAAGCGCGGATGTTGCATGGCATTTCTCTAGAGCATGATATCAAAAGCTACCATTTTCACATCTTATAAGGTTAGGCCGTGAATTGATCTGAGACATCCCGTACACCTGACCGCCCAGTATTTCTGCCTCACTACTTTGACCGCTGCTATGGCATTGCCGAGACAAATTTTTGGTTATTGTCCTCAGCCACCAAAAAAACTGGAGGGGAGGGGCAAAAAAAAAAAAAAAATGCCATGATCGAATAGAGATGCGCAAACGGTCAAAGAGGGAGACAACTGGCTTTGGTTATGTCGCCCTCTATTCAGAACTTTCAGCCACATCGGTACAGTCAGAACACCGCGGCCTCTGTAGAGAACTAAAGGATACATTGTAGTGTAGGTATTGATGTCGCTGCCAAATCATTACCTCAGCGTAGCACTTGCGTACCCGAGAGGTCGGATGCGGAATATTCTCTGTTAAGACAACCCGGGTTCAAGGTACATACACCTTCGTGCCATGGTTCAGTTTCCAATCGCATCTTAATAGTCCTCGTGGCTATTACCTGTTCGGGCAATGCTTGCTTGGAACCAAACATTGACCCCACCCATCATCCCTTTCTTCCTGTGCCAATGTTCTCATAGCGCCTTCGTCTCGCCCAAACCCGAAGGAGATATTGGCCACAAACGGGATGCAAGTCAAGTCCGTCGCTCTGGAGACGTACTGTTTCTGCATTGCTGTTCTTCGCTTAGCTCTGGCAACTCGCTCTTTTTCTTAACCACCTGCCAGATATAATGATAAATGATATTACCACCCCACAGATTCGCTGAGATATTTGCGCTCGCAAGCCTTCCCCAATCTCCACGCGGATGCGCTCAAGAAGACGATTAGGCAAGGAGCGCCAACAGGCCGTTTCAACACAAACGGAATCCCCAGATACCCGAAATGCCCCATTGTTATTATGGATCTCGGGGTCTGATATAAGAAGAGAACTCGCCCCTGTTGATCTGATACCATGACCCCAACACCCAAACCCATCTGTCACCTCTAAACCCACCAAGAAGCCCGCCGCCATGGACAAGACCGCTCTCTTCCTCCAGCTGGTATCCAAGCTCCCGCTGATGGCCCGGGTGGCTCTGCTTCACATGTTGCAAGCCTCGCCGGCGTCAAAATACCAGGATTTGCGGACGGAACTCACTATTGCCATGCTCCGCTCGTTCATGGACGTGCCCAAGCCTAGGAGCATCACTTTTACCCAAAAGATGCTCTCAAGAGTACCCCCGATCCGGGGCACGATATGGGTCAGCAAGTACACTCTGCCCATCCCCACGGAGGAGGATGCGCGCGCCATCCATGACACCTTGAGCAAGGTCATCGACGGGCTTCAAGACCGTGACCAACCGAAGACGGCCAGGATCCAAGTACCAGAAGTTCTTCCGGTGGAGGCGGAGTGGACAGCACACAGGCCGGGTGTGCCCAAAGATGCGAAGCTGCCCGATATCCCAGAACGGGAGAAGTATGACGAGATGATGAAAGACGTAAAAGCCCCAACCACGATACTCTACTTTCACGGCGGCGCCTACTGGCTCATGGACCCGGCCACACACAGGCCTACGTGCAGAGAGCTAGCCAAGCGGACCGGCGGTAGGTGTTACTCGGTGCGTTACCGGCTGGCGCCACAGAACCCGTTCCCGGCCGCGGTCATGGACGCACTAGTCTCGTACCTCGGCCTGCTCTACCCACCGCCCGAGGCGTTCCACGAGCCCGTGAAGCCAGAGCACATCGTCATCGCCGGCGACAGCGCAGGCGGCAATCTCTCGCTCGCGCTCCTCCAGCTCATCATGCAACTGCAACGCTCCGGCACCACCGTGTTCTGGCTCGGCCATGAGCGCTCCATTCCCCTACCCGCCGGCGTCGCCGTCAACTCGCCCTGGATAGAAATCACCCACAGCTCGCCGTCGTGTGTCACCAACGGTGCCTTCGACTACCTCCCCGGCCTCGAGGCGCAGGACAAGGCCGAGAAGTTGCGCGCGCCGTGCTCGGCCTGGCCCGCGAATCCGCCGCGCATGAGCATGTACGTCGCCGACGATTACATCATGCACCCGCTTGTGTCGCTTTTGCTGGCACCCAGCTGGCGTGGTGCGCCGCCAACATACATTTGCACGGGTTGGGAGATGTTGTCGGACGAGGACAAGTTCACGGCAGCAAGGTTTCATGCCGAGGGGGTTTCTGTGACGTTTGAGGAGTATGAGGGCATGCCGCATTGCTTTGCCATGGTGTTGAAAAACTTGAAGGAGGCGGATAGGTGTATGGAAGGATGGTCGAGGTTTATCGCAAGGGTCACGAATTCGACTGCCTCTGAGGGAGGGGTTGATGGTGCTGATGATAAGCGGAGCGCGATGAGGAGCACGTTTACCACGATCAAGTCGGGGACGCTGGAGGAGAAGGAGCTGGATCCTATGACGCTAAGCCCCTATACGGAGGAGGAGATTAGAGAAAAGATGAGGAGGAGGATAGGGTTAAAATGTGTGCCGGCCACGGAGGGAGATCTCGCAAAACTATGAATGTCGGGTTGGTAGATTATCGTGTGTGGTTATTGGGCATAAGGCTCAGCAGTGTGACTAGGGCGTCGGCGATCGGTGTTGACATTATACACATAAAAGGGGCTTGGATCTTGTTGACCATATGGATCATGCATGCATGTTATCTTATGATAGTTCTGAATGAAATGTTCTGCGACTTGTTTTTCATACACTTGGCTGACCAACGTCTTCCGAGATGTCTCGTAGCGGGCAAGTGTTAGTGGTATACTCATCACTTACCGGGATCTCCAGGCGAACCCCACTATCAACATCTTCCACTTAAAGTAACTTTCTATCAACAGAACAAAGCCCGTCACTACCTTATCTAAGCGCCCAGTGGAAATGCCAAGGGTCGAGACTTAAACTATGGAGTTCGGCCGAGTTGTAGCGGACATCAAATCATGAAGAAGCAGGAACAAATTCCGTCGTATATACGGCGAGATGTTACCCCAATTACCCCCAAAAGACGCGTACAATACAGGTATTGCGTAGCCACACAATGCTCGCCACCTTTGCCACATGAGGCAGCCCTTCCGTTTGTCTTTCTTAACCTGACCCCCTCTCCAACGGGTATATTTGATTCGCTTCCTGTCTTCATCATCAAACAACAAGCGCCTATTTCCTTCGAGTTTATCTATTAGTTCCGACCAAATCAGGAGCCACTTTGAATCACCCCACCCGGCCAAATCATCACTACATCAAGCACAACCAGTTTCTCTACCTCCGACACTCGAGTCGATTGAGTTAACAACAACCCATCCAAACCTCAAAACACCCTCAACATTTTCGCCCTGTTTTCCCTACTCTCCAACTCCAAACACATCACCAAAATGTCTTCTTCCGACACCACCACCTCCAACATCCCAAACGCCTCCATGCCCGCTCAGGACAAGAAAGAGTATGAGCATGAGTCTTCCTCCCACCAAAGGCCCACCGGCGCTGGAGTGAACACCGGAGCAGGCAGCAGCAGGCCCAAGACCGAGGCTGAGTTGGAGGCTGATCGGCTTTATGAGGAGAGGATGGAGGAGGAGTATGCCAAGCGGGACGGAGGTGCTTGATTGAGCTCACGAGGGTGGCTTGAAGGGAACTGGCTTTTTTTTTTGTCTGCCCGTTCTTGTTTGATTCCTCTTGTCCTTGACGACTCCATTGGGCTTTGGAGTATTCTCTCGGGGAGAGGGGAACTCCGATTGCTGGTTTAGGTGTGAATGCCAAGGAACAGGAGGGAAGTGGAATGGCTCCAAGAGAATCTGGAGCCTGATAGAGTAGGAAATTAAGAAGAGGATCTGGGACCGAGGGAATTGGAGAAGGAGGGTAACTTGTAAGATATAGTTTTGGGAAGGTTAGCAGGTGTCCGAAAGGCTCCCCTCTGTAACATAGTTTGAATTTGGCCTTGACCACCACTAATTACCATCACTAATGTATTATCGCGTGTACTGTCGTTTTCTGATATGCCTACGTAAAACGGTGATTGCCTCTTTCCAAGCCTGAAACTATCAATTTATATCCTCACAACTCGCCCATTCCTAGTATACAAAGCCTGAAAGCCTCGCTTGTCTAAAGGGATCACGAGATTGTTGCTTACACGTAATCATGCCATATCTTGAATTAGCCTTCAGCAGACCACCACTCCGCAGGAAATGGTTATGTTGAAAAAAACGCAGCTTGGATAGCCATCCGAATCTGTACCAAACCAAGACCACACAGACCAAAGTCAACGACAACACCCGAAACAAAAAAAACCCGGAATCACGGAGAGTAGAGGGGTTACAGATAGCCTTTCACATCTCCATCGCCACCATTTCAGTAGCCTTGTTCTTGTTTGGGTACTTCAAGACTTGTTTAGTGTTGGAGCAGTGGAACGGACAGAGGGTGGTGCGGAAGGGAGTGAGAGCGAGAGTGCAGATGGTGGTGGTGGGCGGAATTGCAGCAGGGACGGCGATGGGGTTGGTCGGGGGGTTTGATGGGTTACTTGTTGGTGGTGGTGGTGATGAGTAGCAAAAGGGTAGGTAGCGAGTAAGGGGGGAGTGAGTGATGGTGGTTTTGGTCGTGGTTGTGGCTACAGTGATGATGGGGTGAGTTCGCGTGGAGGTGGAGGAAGGTCAAATGAGCAGACTGTGGATGGTGTCTAAGTGACGACCAGGGGAAACGTGAATCTCTAAAAAAAAAAAAAAAAAAAAAAAAAAAAAAAAAAAAAAAAAAAAAAAAAAAAAAATAGAGACAGGCGAAAGCACGGGACCACGACATGATGGACTGAACACTAATTATTTCTAGCTTGACTACTGATATCATGCTTCGTCAGCAAGGAAAAGCGTGGTTTATTGGGATACAATGAGATAGATACCATTCCGCTCAAAGCCGTATGCAATCCTAAACCCGTTGACTCAAAGTCATGTGGTCCAATTCGAGACCGACCCTTGGTATAGATCAAAAAGCCGACAAAACTCCGGGTCCCCTCACTATCCTACTAGTTACTGTGAATTCCAAGCGCACCTCCGTGGTTCTATGACATCCAACAATGGACTGCCCATTCGCATACCAGCATGAATATTCTCATTGAGTGCGTCAACCGAGTGACCCATGCTACCAGAAGGAAAGAGTAACCGGCCACGCTCTCGACCCGTCCAGGACCTAGAAGCCCGTTTTCCCAACGCTGTAAATGCTCCGGTATCTTGTAAACTCCTAGCCAGTATTCGTGATGTGTTCCCACGCTTGATTGTAAACGAGCCAATGGAGGCAGGACCGTCCAACGTTTGTTCAACTTTGAGATCCGAATAAAACCCGTATTGCGAGGAAGAAGAAAATGCCATCCATCGTGGGATGCCACCTGAGAAATCGAGACAAGTGTACTCGTGAAGACGTAGTTCTGAATCAAGAGAAAACTTTCTCTTTGCAGTCATGAGCATGTAAGCGAGCCACTCCTACAGTGTGGCAGCTGCTTTTCGTGCCTTTTCCTCTTCACAGTCCTTCTCGCACCTCGCCATTGCTTCGGGACTTAGGTGCTTTTTCAGAACACTCTTGAACTCCTTCTCATCAACCACGGCACCATAGCCAGAGCACTTTGCTTTCTTCTGCAGATCGGAGCACAAGGCGTCCATGTCAATCTCTTGGTTTTGTACACTGGAGCAACCGCGCAATTTGTCCCTGTTGAACTTGTTAATGAAAGTTGCATTTTCGAGGCCTCTCTCGGTTTGGTCATACCAGATCTTGTTGCAATCAAGTTGCTCTCTGACTCCATCATCCGATGCGTTGACCTCATCGATCTGAGCGATGAGATCCTTCTTCGGTGGTTGTGATTCTGCTTCGGGTTGTGGTGGCAGCAGTCCTGGAGCTGTTGGCGGCAGATTATACGGTGCCAGGAAATCCGCATCGAATGCATCATTGGTCAACCAATCGTCAAATCCATTGTTGAGGACGTTGTTCTGAGGCTCTCGGTAATCTCCGAAGAGCTGCGGATCAAACTGGAAATTGTCTTGAGGCAACCAGTTGAGAGTGTTGTCAACACCAAAAGTATTAAAGTCTAGAAAGTGTTGGTAAGTTCTGGCCTATAAAATCAGAGCGAACATTGAAGACTGGTGAATGCTTACCTGGCTGCCCTGAACCAATGACGCCTGGTTGCTCTTCTCCGATTGTGGCCATCGTATCTACAGACTTCAATCCGACGGGTGAATGAGTTAGAGGCTCTGGGGAGGTGCCACACGACGAGCTAGCGCCACCCATGTTCGAAGCGCAAGAGGATGGGGAACTCGTTGATGTGCCGGCCCCCGCATTGTACTGAGAATCTGTTCCCCTGGTCGAAAAGTTCGCTCCCTCACCTCTTGCGGACTGAGGTGTGAAGAGATCGGCCGAGTAATGGGCCAAGTCTTCCTTGGTTTGTGTATCAAGGCCTATTTGGCCGTAATTGGGTGTAGTACCGGTGCTGACGCCATTCGTGGGTTGCTCCAGCCGACCTGTTGAAGACAAAGGGGGCGACACAGGGTTTCCCTTCTTGGTTTGATTTGCAGATTGTGGTCCAGGAAGAGGACCGCCAAACTTGGGGAATTCAAACTGGAAGTTGACATCATTGAGGTTGTTGACAAAGGAGTTGCCGAACGGCATAGCCCGAGGTGATACCATCGGGGGTCGAGCTGTCATCAACGATAGACGCTTCTTGTACTCGTTCAGTTCGTTACTCATCTTCTCCATTTTCTTGCGAAGAATCTCGTTCTCATGGTTGGCAGTCTCGGAGATCTTCTTCAACTCCTCGACCTTGGTTTCAAGGTCCTTCAAGTGCTTTTCTTTGCGTTCTCTGAACGCTCGTTGAGCTGCTCGATTCTGGGCCTTGCGTTTCTGTTTGTTGTCACGTTAGTAGTCAATCCTTACTAAGACTTGAAAGGATCCATCGACCGAGGCAGGCTTACCGAGCTGGGCTCAGTGGTAAGAGGCTTCCTGCCGGGCTTTTTGGCAACTTTTCCCTCGCCCTCTCTCCTCTTTGGTTCGCTATTCTCCTCCTCGTCGTCATCCGGATGACTGCGCTTGTCGGGGGACTCCACATCGGCGGAGCCCGACTTGGAATCACTTGGAGCATTGGACCGATCGTCCGTCATGTGGGATTGATCACCAGTGTCGAAGTTGAAATCGAAGTTGGGATCATGTTGTCCATCAAGGCCGTAGTCGTAACCGAAATTCGGGGTGTGCTGGAAACCCATAGGGTCGAGTCCTTGGGCAGATGTTCCGTTGTACATTGCGGATAGACCAGAGAGGTCGGCTTGTGTGTTGATGGGCTTGTTGGAATTGAGGGCGGCAAACAACAGGCTTTGTTGCTGCGGGGTGAGGACGAGATTGTGAAGAGGGTTCTGAGTCGACGTCATTTTTGGTTGTCCTGTGTTGGAGATGGTGACTAAGAGGTAGAGCAGTCGGTTGAATCGAGGAAAGACCTTGGATGTTGAAAGGATGGGATGAATTCACTCTCGTGATCTGATCGCTCCTAGCGGTCGAAGCCGCACAGGCGGCAATTGTCGAGTATCAAGACCGCGGGTCCAATGGCAATGTGTTTTAGCGGAGAATCCGGGGTACCGGGCCCAAGATGTACGTATGTCCTAGTCGAAAACTGATGTCGGGGTAGATCAGATGCTAGTACTGGTGACGATAGAAAATCTCTTGCGGAGACGATGACGTTTCGACAGCACCGTAGACTGACTTTGATTCAGACGGGGACGAGCCAGCGGCCACGCAACTGGCAGCTTGAAAGGCAGAAAACTCGTTGAGCGTTGCGGGCTAGGACGGAATACCAGACCGGGCAGTTCCAGTTCCTGTCCAGTTCGCTCCCGCTTCTCTAGTTTTCGAGACTCAAGTCTTCTCCCAAGGAAGACGTTCGGTGAGAGGTGATGGGGTTTGCCGGGGGTCAAAACGAGAGGAAGGCAGTAGGATAACTTGAACGGAGACAGAAGAGAGGGGACTTGGTCCGAGTGGCAAGTTACAAAAGACGCGGATGTATTTGCACGGAACAGGTAGAGGTACCAGGGGGAAGTTGTGGCAGAAGGTGTAGAGAAGGGGGGAGAAAATTGCAAGTGCCCGAGTTGTGAGCCGGAAAGGTCAACTGCCTGCTGGAACAGAACTAACCGTTGGCCGAGCCGAGTGGGTGGGATGGCGGCGGACGCTGACTTGAATTGATGGGCAAACCTATCGGCCTGACACCTGACTCACCTGGCACTCAGCCTTTCTGAATCCTGTCAGCAATTGGGTTCAGGAATAAGGTACACGTATGATCCCGCGGGGGGCTCCTTTTCTGCGATTGGAGAGGCGACGGCACAGGCTGCAGAGCAGGTTTGTGTTTCGTTGATTCGCTGATACGATTCAGATCTGAGAAGGGAAGGACTCTTGGGCGGTCTTTGGCGATGGAGGGGACGAGACTGTAAGCGAGACCATCCAAAAGCGGGCGAAAAGAGTGGACGCTCTTCTTTGGTTACAGGGCCAAACTCGTAGAATGCGGGCTACACGGGGCACAATTGGGCGCATGGACGCTTGGGGGTGTCCAAGTGGAGCGTGGAGGGGTTTCAGTCCAAAGTCAATTTGTCAGCGAAAATCAGTCGAAGGGAACGTCTGGATCGTTCCTGGACGGTCGGGTCGGGTGCGCCGTGACCGGCTCTGGCAACTGTCAGCACACCTTGACATGCCGATGACACCCCGAGTCGATTCATTCAACAAAAGGACTGACAGCGAGTTATGTATATCAGATGCGGACAATCTCAATCAGTCGGACCGTTTCCGCAAGAGGTATGTCGGTATCTTTTCCTAAAAGGGATTTCTCTTGTTTCATTGCGTCCTACTACATAGAGGATCACATTGACCGATTTGACGTGAGCGGGCTTCAAGCCAGAGCTGCCAGTGTCAATCTCTTTAACCGTACAAAAAAGCCACTTTTTGTTTGACCTACACGTGTACTATGGTGAGATGGGTAAGTTTAACCCGTGGATCAGGTCGTCGAACACACAGTGCTCACGAAGCTTTGGCTATGGTGGTCCGTGCAAGATACCTGACAAGGGGGTTTTACTTTTGCTCGCAACCGCAGTATGTAGTTCTAGTCGGAGCCTCTCGAGTGCAGCCTGTCCACTTTTCATCGACGTGGAAATACATCAGTTTCCGCGGGTACCCCAAGTGGAGATTCTTGCAGGCAAAACACCGGAGTGGATAAAAAGTGGCCTTTGTTCGACGGTGAAAGAGATGCACTCTCCTCTATCTCCGCATCAACTTCACTTTTACAAACCTTAACCACAGATAGTGTACACTACACGTGTACTGTGCCCAAGTAAACAACGGCCAGGGGCATTTGTTTGGAAAATGGGCGCACTCGGTGTTGTGATTATCACCGTCGCAACTAGCTCGAGTTTGGCATCCTGGTTTGCCACTGAGAGTTCGAGACCCAGTCTCCCCATTGAAGATCCCACGTTGTTTCCGTCTTCCTGTCGGCAGTTCAGACGCCTCGTCGATAGGAAGCCCGCATGGCTTATCTCCGAGTGGCTACAAAATATACAAATCTCAGCTTACGGACAGCTTGCGATCCGGTTTGGATTACCTGGCCAGCCTGGGGCCTGGACACAAAGTCAGGCCATGTTGGACACACATGAGCTTGTCCCGTAGTCAGCTTCGGCTTTCACGGCGGGGAATCTCGAAGAACAATGTCACCACCTATTCATGTGGTTACCGTTTAAAAGTCGGTTGTCGAGTCTTGAATTTTCTTTTGTACCGATGGAAAAAGGCCCGTGCTGCCAGGAATGTCCCCCGGCGGTGGTTGCTGCTCGCTGCAGTGCTTGCATTCATTTCCCCACAGTGGATGCGGCACCACCTCCATGCCACGGGCAAGACGGCAGCGCTACAGCTGCGGCGGGGATTCAAGGGAAGGGATCGATCAGCCTCCCATGGATCGATCCACCAGAAAACTGACATCCTCGACTGTTGCGCCAAACAATCAACACTTCGGCTGCAACCGTGATCACAGCCAACGGCGTAAAGTCGGGATTCTTGGCAGTATCTAATCCACCCCATACACGCGTTTCATCCTTTTTCGAGCAGTATAGTACCCAAGTACCACCGAGTTCATAGCAGACGCTGCCGACGAAATCCCTACAGTAGCCATGGATGTCGCATATGACCACATCCAGGAGGAGACTTTGACCGATGACAACCAGGCCTCCTCGTCATCGGACAAGACGCCTGCTCAACCTCCGACGTTGAACGCCGAGTTTCAAGACGCCTACCGAGCCTTTTCGAACAGTCCCTGGGGTGCCAGAATTGGTGGTTTCCTCGGTAATGTTGTGAAGCAGGTATGTGGTCACCGCCTTTCACGTCACCAACAAAGGCTTCAAGTAGCGCGCCCCCACCGCACTTGACCGACTAACTCTTGTCTCTTTCCAACACTATCCAGGGTGAATCTGTCTACCGCGAAGCCGAAAAGGAACTGTCAGCCGTCAGTCAAGATGCCACGCGCGGTTTCAGCGACCTGCGCACCACCCTCATCAGCCGTACCCGCGCTCTCTCCATAGCCACCACCCAGGCAGCTGCCTCGGCCGCCGCCGCCGCGTCGTCTGGAGTCACGGCAGCTTCATCCTCCTCATCCTCATCCTCCTCCGCTTCCAAAGACGAACAAACAACCCCCACAACCGTCAAGGACCTGTCTGCCGAGGCTTCCTTGAAGCAGCAGCAGGAAGATGACTCTGTCCTTGCCCGGCTGCGTGGCGAGGCCGCCAAGCGTCTCAAGGACCTCCAAAAGGCCGAGGATGCCGCCGATGAGGCCCTCCTTCGCTTCGGCTCCAACCTGCGCGACTTTCTCAAGGACGCCATCAAGATCGCGCCTCCGAGCGAAGAGGAAGCAGCCAAGCGGACCGAGGAGGGCAGGAATAACAACAGCGTGCTTTTTGAGAGCAAGGACGCGCAGGGCAAGCGGGTAATTCACACGTCGCGGTTTGACGCGCAGTTACACGTCATCCACACCACCCTTGAGAGCTTCAGCAAGGAGCCCGCGAGCGGACAGGAGTACGACGCTTGGGTCAAGGAGTTTGATGTCGATCAGAAAACGGAGGCGATCGCGGCGGATCTGGATAAGTACCCGGAGCTTAGGGCAACGATGGAGAAGCTGGTGCCTGATCAGGTGCCGTATGCCGATTTCTGGAAGAGATATTACTTCTTGAGGCACGGCATCGAGACGGCTGAGGCAAGGAGGAGAGATTTGCTCAAGGGTAAGAAAGTCAATTCCTTGTTGAATGGATTTGGATGGATTTTGCGAGGGGTTTGGTTTAACCCCACTGTCTACGAAGGATATGCTAACAAGTGACCCTATAATAGCTGCTTCCGCTGAAGAGGAAGTTGGGTGGGATGAGGACTCCTCTGACGAGGAAAACACTTCGGAGGAGGTGACATCCGGGGACGACAAGGCTGCGCCAGCTACCACCAAGAAGCCGGCCGCGCGGTCTTCTTCCACCGAATCCTCCACTACCATCAACCCACCATCAACTGGCGCGGCTGCTCAGGGCAGCCTAAAGCCCTCGGAACCTAGAAAGTCCAACGACGAGAAGTCACAGGCCGACAGCGAAGCGAGCTATGACGTCGTTGGCGCTGCTTCTGGCGTTCCCAGCCGTGCGCCCAACAGTCCTAATGAGGGTCGCAAGGCCGACGAGAGCAGCGATGAGGAAGACTGGGAGTAAGGATTCGGGGAATGATGTTCATGGGCGAATTGATGGGCGCGTACATGTGCTGGACACAACTGTAATGTTTTACGGGCGATGATAATACTGGCCTGAGTTGGCGTTTTAACTTTGTTGGTTATGGTCCAAGGTTTCGGAGTGATGTGAAGATGATGAGCCCGCATGTTGTCGTCAATATTGAGACCCTGTTTCCGCAAGTATCTTTGCGCAGAGCCTGAGAGAGCAAGTTGATGTTGCTTGCTCCTTCATCTTTCCCTCATGCCCCCTTCTGCTTCTTCCTTCTGACCAGCCCTCTTCTTTGTTCAGCGAACCGGGGTGAGCCAGGAATATGATCATCCTCCCGTCACACTCGCAGCCCTTTCCACCTCCCTCTCAACCTTCAAGTTTGGAGGATCAAAAAACCAATTCACCTCCTCTTCTTGCCCACGACCTTGGTGAACCCATCCTCATCCACCTCAGGCTCGACCTTCTCCTTTGGCTGCTGCGTGGTAGGAACCAACGCCGGCGCCTCGCCCATCTCCTCATCACTGTCGACTTCCTCGTCGTCATCCGTGTCCCAATCGGTGTCGTTATCCTGGTCCTCCGCCTTCTTGAACACCACCTTGTTGCCTCCCTTGCCCTCGAACCGCCTGCGCAGCGCATCCACCTCGTCGAATTTGCCCTTCAGACAGCCCAGGCGCACGCGCAGGATCTGCTCGGCCACCTCGAAAGCCGATTCGTCGTCGACGTTGACCTCAAACTCATCCAGCATTACTTGCAGGAGGACGGTCTCGATGTCGAGCTGGTCGGGTTCTTCTGTTGCTTCTTCATGGTCGTCGGTGGACTTTTGTGTTGTGTTCGAGGGTTGTTGTTGCTTTTCGGACGCAGGAGCGAGCACTTTGTTCAGATCGGGAAAGAGGTCGACAACGGCACCGGCGAACCAGTCGCGTTTGTCGGCCGAGTCGGGACCGCCCCAATTGTTCTGCACGGCGAGGGAGAGAGCGGGCCAGAGATGCAGGGCGATGGCAACGCCTTGTTCGAATTGGGATTGGCAGGTTGCTGTTGGAGCGGGAGAGAGGTTTGTTAGTCACTGTCTCTCTCGTTTTTCTAGACCATTGTCGCAAAGCTTACCTGGGGTGGGGGTGGCCATGATTGCGGTTTGGTTTTTGACGTTGAAAAGTTAAAGCTTTCGGTGCACTGAGAGTCGTGTTCCACGGAGGTGCGATGTGGAAAGCGTAAAGGACCGCGAAGTTGAGAGTGCTGAACTTATTTCAGCCGGCAGGAGGGCAAATGTTGACTTTCCCCCCCCCCCACCTTCAGTCGAGGCCTGACTTTTGAAAAGTTCTTTTTTGCGACGCTCCAGTTGCGGGAAGAGTGGGGCTCGCGGTTTCTGGGGGAGGACTTCAGGGGTTTCCAGGGTTAGGGTCTGTGCTCAAGATGACTTGAGTTCAGTTCCTTGCTTCTATGACGACATTAACATTGAGCTCCCGTTGTACGACGCCTTCAGTTTCCCAATTCCTGCCGAAGCTCATCTTAACGGTGGCAATTGCTTCAGTTCATTGTAGTATGACACTAATTTTATTTCAATCCTTCCATCACACTTTGTTCGATAATGGTCACAAATGACTCAAGGACGTGGGGTGAGAAGCCGCTGCAAATTGAGGCTCGATCATTGATCTTGAGGGTCCATCAGGGTTCTCTTTGATGATGAGAGCTGGGCTCCATCAAAGGTCCGCACATGGTTTCTGGAGTCATACCCTTGCAATAACCGTTTTCGAATTGCTTCTCCGTTTCTCATAGTATCAAACACTATCACACACTTTAAACGTGAAAATTGAGCCGACTCCGTGAAATCCGGGAGCAAAATCTCTACCGATGGCATCAAGTCAAGCCATCATCTTTTGGCAGTCTATCCTAGCACCGTTACCCGAATGAATGTCTTCCCCACCTTTCCCTGCCAAATCGGTTCCTCCCGTCTGTGCTCGCATGAATTTCACTATAAACACCCACCCCACTGGAATTTCAATATCTTTAAGCTTCCTTTCAACTCATACCGATCGCTCTTCACGTTCTCTTACCACATCGACAACCCCCATTTCAATAAATCCAAAGACTCCAGCTTTGAAACTTCTTGGTATAACACGCACATCAAACAACACATCAAGATGTCGACCTCCACCCCCACTTCCACCGCCATAATCGGCTCAACCGGCCTCGTCGGCTCCCACATACTCTCAACCCTTCTCACCTCACCCACCACCTCCTCCCAAGTCCAAACCATCTCCCGCCGCGCGCCCGCCAACCCAACCAACTCCTCTCGCCTTTCTCCCACCGTCAACGCCGATACCTCAACATGGCCTACCCTCCTCTCCTCCCTGGTTCCCTTGCCGACAACCGTCATCTCCTCTCTGGGAACCACTCGCGTCGCGGCAGGTGGCATCGCCAACCAGTGGAAGATTGACCACGACCTCAACGTGGACCTAGCCAAAGCCGCCAAACAAGCGGGTGTCAAGAACTTTGTCTTTATCTCGTCCGCGGGGACTAGGGGCGCTTTGAGCACCAAGGTGCCTTATTCGCAGATGAAGCGCGGGGTGGAGGATACGATTCAGTCTCTGGATTTCGAGCACGGCATCATCCTCAGGCCGGGCTTGATCCTAGGAGAGAGGGAGAAGGCGCAGCATGCGGGTCAGGGATTGTTGTATGGGCTGGTAAGGGGATTGGGGAGGTGGGTTAGCTTGGGCGTGCAGGATCGGTTTGCGCAGGAGGCGGAGGTGATTGCGAGGGCGGCGGTCAAGGCGGCGAAAATGGCGGAGGAGGGGAAGGCGCCGGGGAAGTGGTGGGTGTTGGAACAGGATGAGATTGTCAAGTTGGGGAGGGATGAATGGAAGGAGTAAGGGGGGTGTTTGGGAAGAGATTCATGACGGGATGTGACGTGGGAAAGAAGGGAATCGATCAGCCACAAAAGTCTTCAATAAGTGTCCAGCTTGAAGGGGCTATAGATCATGAAGGTAATACCAGGTGGTGAAGAGGACAGTGGTGCATAAATGAACACAGACCAGGCGTTGAGCACGATGCAAATTTGACTTCAAGCGGGAGTAGTACTTGTGGTCGTTCAAGGGTGTGCTGTTTGTGTAAATTATGATGTTAAACTGATCTCCTCAACCCAGTTCGTATCTCGAGTATCTTGAAACCAAGACTTGAAAGCATCGAGATGAGACGCCTGGATTTCGTTGCTGATATCCCTCAAAATCCCCTCTGATGATTTCGCGCCAGTTTTGCTATAAAAAGAAAAGAAGAAAGAAAAAGAGAGAAAAAAAAGGCAACAAAGACAGTCGAATGAACCCACTAATTATACCACTCGGATACCATGACTCTTTGCGGATTCCCTTCGTAGGAGTTTGCCTACTCCCGTAGCCGTCTCTCTGATTGCGACCGTATAAAAAACCCCATTGTCCCGCGAAGTTCCCTCTCAAACGCCATTTCCAAATGCTTTGTTCGTGTGATTGTTGTATGGATGTAAAAGCCGAAAAAAAAGAAAAAAGAAAAAGAAAAGGTTCCCATGTATGTTTGCGAAATAATAATGGAAGGTAGCCGTGAGGCGAACAGATCCCTCGACTTGCCAGCCGTAACGACCATGTCTGATTCCGCAACTGTTCATTTGCCATTGACCGTCTGAAGGTCTTCTCAAACCGGTAGAGAAACCAAGGAACCCACACGACGTGACGCAAAATCCCCTTTACCGCTTCATGTGGCTGTAATCCTTAAGCAAATGCTCCATGTGCGTATTCGTCGCCTTGCCCGTCCTCCTCTGCGCCCTCTTCTTCTTCTCCGCCTTCGGTGCAGCCGTCATCTTGTCCCTCGGATCCTCGCTCGCCGGCTTCTGCGACGCGGCTTTGAGTCGCTGAACAATCGTATCGGTTCCCGGCACCTCGACCTTCTGCCACATGACCTTTAGCTCCGGATCGACCTCGTGGAACAAGCTGGGATCATCCAGCCAGACATAGCGCGGCGAGCCTTCCTTCTTGACACGGATCACCAGAATCTTGTGCTCCGCCTCGAGCTCGTTGATGGCCTTCTCGCAATCGGGCCAGCCGTCCTTGAGCTCCTTCACACCCACACAGCTCGCGTCTGTCTTCTTCTGTAGGTAGGCCAGCAGCTGCGTCTTGTTTCGGACGCCGGGCACCTTGGGCCGGTGTAGATACGTCCCGCTCTGCCAAGTCTGCTCGCTCAAGTTCGGGTCGGGAATCCACTGAATCTCGCGCGTGCGGCGCATCGCTTCAACAAACTCCTCCTGGTACGACGGGCTCCAGTGCAGGCCCGAAAGGTGGCCCAGGATTTCCAGGTACGTGCGCGGCTCATCTTTGCCGCGCAGCCAGGCGATAGCGTATGTAACCTGTGTGATGATGTTGAGGCCGGTGCCGGTGGCGGCCGGCTGAGAGTACACGATGTTGTGTGCGGGCGTGTCGACGCGGTCTGCCGCCTTGCGAGGGGTGCCGTTGCCGGCAGCGACGGCCGAGGCGACGGAGCCGACCGAGGGCGACGGCGATGGCGGGGCGAGAGCGCGCTTGGTGCCCGCCAGCTTCGAGGAAGCGGCGGACATGCTGCTCATGAACGACGCCTGCTGACGCTCGAGTGAGCTCGACATCGTGGGCAATTCGAATGTCGGTCGGTTCGGCAGGTGACAATAAAGTTTCGGGTCGGTGTTCAGAAGGGGTACCGGTACGAGTGTTGTCGGGGCGTTCAGAGTCGCTTTCGAAGAGGCTTTGTCGGTGGTTCGTAAAGGTAGAGAGGTCTGATGGGCGGTTTTCTGTCGTTGAAAAGGAACAAAAATGACGACTGATTTTCTTGTGCAAGTCGGTCGCAGGATATGGAAATGCAGTGGAATCGTTGACGGACTGCCCATGCGTCGGGAAGGTTTGGAACCTACGGCTGGGGCTGGGGCTGGGGTTGGGGTTCCAGATGCCGCTAGCCACGGCACGGTGATTCGCTATGGGGTACGGGGTACCTAAATTTGAGGGGCGTGTGCAACTGCAGTGGTGCCGCTTCAGCCTTGCAAGTGATACTAAGGTCCCAATTCGCTTGGCGGTTTGCGTTTTGATTCATGACTCTAAGGTACCTCTACTCATTGTTCTTTGCCGAGTTGGTATTTCTTCCCTGAAGAAACCCTAACTTATCGTGGTACACCATCATTACTGAGCAACACGATATGCAAACTCTCATCAAGGTGGATGGAAGACGAAAGAAGTACCTGGTACCTTGCATGTGAGACGCAAAGGCTACAACTCCCAGGCAAGGCTCGTTTCTCGCGGCTTCACCTACAAGAAACTTACATGTGACGAGTATTAGCACTTCAAGTTTACGTGAGCGGGGACATATAGAGATTTGAGTCGAGATGGCGGTTCCAAACATTAATTTGTGCATTCCAATCTACAGCCATTATGTCTCGTTTCAAGATAGGGATAGAAGCATCGATGCTCGTTGTAAGCAAATGCAACTTCTATTAACAGACGAACTCTGGGGGCAGCGTTATGTTCGTAAACGAACCGCTGGCTGACAATAGACGTTCGACAATGTGGACTATGTCAAAGCAGGTGCATCAAAGGGTTTTTCGGTGCTATGTTCATGTACCGTCTCTGTTGCAATTGGGTAGTAACGACCAATGTATGTTGATTTCCATAATGATCCCTCTCTGTTCCCATATATCCTAACACCTAGTTAAAGGGTGAAGTGATCTGTTCTTCTCAGCGAGAGAAGCAATCAGGCTCGCTCAGCACACATCTTCATTTCATGGTGTTTCATGTCCGTCGAGATGGGGTAAAGGATAGCCCGCCGGTAAAGAAAAGAGCTCGATGATGCTTCGGCTTCACTTAGAAAAATAGTTGCGCATGGATCATCGTTGAGGTGTTGCAAACTCTTGATCATGAAAAGTCGTTGAAATGCTTCCCGTAGATTCTTGGTGGCCTCGTGTGTTTGGGGGCAGGGTATCCTGATCCTTTCCCCGGAGTCTGCAACGGAGAAAATATCTCGTATCTTCGGACCCTCGGTGCCTCCCACGGCGTTGTTCGACAGCCGATAGGTCAGTAAGCAACCGGAAGATTTGCGAATGGGTACGTTTAAGCGCTGGGAGCAGTGGCGCCCTGCTGGGCCTGGAGGTACTGGTAGGCAGCGAAGCCAGCAAGACCACCAAGGACGAGGACGGCGTAGAGGCCAATGCCGAGACCGGTGGCAGTGCCAGTCTGAGCAGCGGGAGCAAGAGAACTGGGAAGGGGAGCCTTGGGCTTGGGGTCACCGGCCTGTTGGTTGAAAAGAGCAACACGTCAGTTGAAATTGATCTATCATCACATGCGAATGGCATCCAAAGCCATGTATGTTCTTTCTTACCTGGCGCTTCAAGGTGCCGACAAGGAGGGGCTCCAGGGCTTCGCGGGCCTCGTCAGAGTGACCGACATCCTCGAAAGCCTCGGTCGAGTCCTGGCCAGCGACGTCAAGCAGAACCTCCTCACCACCGCTGTGTATCACGAAAAAAAAACAGGTCAGCACATGTTTCCCCATTCTAGATGCCGAGTGTCCAATGCGGGGAGGCGGAAAGTTGGAGATCGGGGAGGCGTCACTGGAACGTAGGGGACGTGCTATGAGTGCAACACCGGCACAGAAGACGGGACAAACTTACGGGTGCTCGTCGACGAACTTGGTGATGTCGTACACCTTATCGTGGATCACGACATAGAGGTCCTTCTTGGTGTTGTGCTCGGCAACATCCTGGTAGGTGAACTCGGCGGACATCTTGACGGTGTTGTGGGATTTCTTTTTGGACAGGTGGTTGATAGCATCAGCACGGTCTCTGATAACCGATTGACAGGCCAGGAGAGGACCCAATCCGGGCCATTGCGCGCTTCGTGACTTACCCTGTGAATCGGATGAGTGGGAGGACCGAGATGACGCTGGAAGCAATGATCGTGGAGGAAAAGTTAACGCCGGCGACGAGGTGCAAAGAACAGAGAAAGGGGGAAGAGGAAAAAGTCGAGATAAAAAATGGTTTCACGGGGAACTGACTGGATCGACTGGAGGGGACCTGGGGGCATAAGCAACAAGACCTCCACTGCCCTGGCTCCTGGGTACTGCGACGGAGATAGCTTGACAAGCCTAAAATCGAAACAACGCAGCCTTCTGAGGTAGCTAGACCGAATCAGAAACAGGCAAAATACGCAGAGGCGTGTGATTGGCGCAAACATGTGCGCTTCAACAAGACTCCTCCGAGTCAAAATTGTGGCCACTGCGTCAACCCCGACCGGGAACATCCCACGGCACCCACACGGGTATGCGACTCGGTTCCATCGCCCTGTTGCGTCGCGAGCACCTCCCACCTTGTTCAAGTTTTTGTTTTTCCAGCTCCCGTAGCACTCATTCATATGTGTGGCAAGTGTGGTGTAGCACTCGAGACACCCGTCCCCATCTTCGTTATTTAATGCTGGGTGAGGGGGGAATCGCCGAGACAAGTTTCCGTTCTTAGAGCAATGGATGTTGCGGGACCTATTCAACCAATTCCCCACAGCTGTAACATCGGGCAGCGATCACGGACACACCCGAACAGCCGCTGACACAGCAAACATGAGTGAGCTGTGCTCTTCCTTCTTTGGTTCTTCTGTACTGACCTAAATTTGGGTTGGCCACTGCCAGCAGTGCTCGCCCTCTCTCCTTCGTACTACCTAGGCTTATATTACTCAGGTCCATCCTTCCATATACCCATTACCGCCTAGAGCTTCCACCACCGATATCCTGTCCCAGGCGATAGCTGGCGACCTTGTCCCACTCGATTTTCTGTCTCGTCACCGGCAGCTGTCTTCTCAAGCCCTTGAAAGCGCCCTCGCTGAGGCTTGTGAAGCTCTTGTTCAACTCCTCCTGGTACTTCTTCTCGTTCACCGAGATCTCCTTGGCAATGCCGCTGCCGGTGCCCGACGACACGGTCGCGGTGACTGTCTTGTTAGTCAACAAACGCACGTTTCCGTCCTCGTAGTAGTGCACGTCGACCTTGATGGAGCCCTCAATGGAGTTGTTGGATGGGTCGTAGATGTATAGCGAGCGCCAACGTCCGTTCCTGTTACCTCGTGTTAACGCAAAAGGCGGGTAGTATGCGACAAGGCAATCGGCTCCGTTCCGAAGCGACATACCAGAAGTTGTTCGGGCTGTACTTGTTCGCGACAATGACAACCGCGATTTTGGAGTCATTCTCTATCGGGTACGCGCCATAGGCGGCGTTAGGAAAGTGCTCCTTGACGTAGGCTGAAAGCCCCTTGACCGTGGATTTCCTGCAACTGGTATCAGCCCTGCCCTTCGCTCCTCGAATGTTGCGTGGGTTCTTGTTTTCCTTACACCAGGTCGGTCTGTTCGCCTTCTAGGACGTGACTCTGAACATCGCTGGCTTTCTGTAGTCGCTTGGGTTATTGACTTGTTCCATGTGTCGCTGTTTTCCATTGGCTGCTCAGTGGGCTGGCTAACCTGAGTAATGTGGTCGTAGGCGAAGCTCGAGGAGCTCTCGACGTCGTAGTAACGACCATCCTCCAGAGAACTATGGGAGCTAATGATAACAGGTTGGCTACCACCGGGGAGCTTCACCGTCGTGAACTGTTCCTCGTTGTACTTTTGGAACGCCGGTCCAAGCTCGTTCAGCAGATTAGGGGTCGAGCTAGTAAGGGCCTTGATGTCTGAAAGCTCGGAATCGTTAGAAAGTAGGGTCGCGATCCAAGATCGAAGGGGAATATCGTGCCTGCAACAACATCGGCGAGCTGTACGTCAACATGTTAGCATACGCAATTCGGCTCGTTGGTGTCGGTGTAGGATGCGCACCTCGCCAGGGGGAGCTCCCTCAACAAAGGAGTACACAATCTCCTTGTGCGACGCCATGATTCCGTGCTCTAATGGTAATTAAAAGAAAATAGACAGGATTAAAAAGGTTTCTCGGCGTTCTTTACTTGTGGGGGTTGGTAGATTCGTTGTAATTAGTTGGTGAAGCTGGTACCTATCGATCAACGGTACCACGCTGCTAGAGATGATGGAGCTGCGCCTTGGGCATGTCCGCCGCCGTCAGTGGGACGGGAGCATGGAACGAATGGCACCAAACCGCTGCGGGGCCGCCTGAAGTGGGATGTGGATACTACTTGTGAGGCTGACAGCTGTCAAGGGGCTTCACAGCTGGCGAGCTGCATTGTCGTTACAAGTAATATCCTGAATCCGGCTTACTGCTTAACTTTGCGACTTCTGTAAACAAAAGAACACTGCTACGATGACAACAATTGAGTTACAAGATTACGAGTTCAGAGAATGGCAAAGAACTGGCATACATGGCAGGGTTTGGGGTTGTTGAGGGCAGTCGGTTGAGTTGCCTTTAACAGGCATCGTTACAAGATCAAGTATTTGTCGGTATTTACAAGACGGCACCCGCCAGAACCGAACTCGCCTATTATAAACGCCCCGCTACGACTTGCCCATCTTCTTCCTTTTTTCCCGCTCATCATCAAAAGTTCAACACCTTCTTGATGTTGGCATATATCCCTAATGTCATGTCAGCTTATTTCGCTCTTACCAAACTCGTACAAGGAGAACGTTACTCACTCGCAACATCCGGAATGTTAAGGGCCTCGAACATGAGAGGCGTGTGAATGCTCCATCCAGCAACTCGAGCCACAGGAGCTTCGAGTCTAACAAAGGTTTCCGAGTCCTCTTGGATGGCAGCGGCCACCTCGGCACCAATGCCGGCATTGACCATGGATTCATGAACCACGATGCAGCGCCCCGTCTTCCTGACACTCTGGAACACGGTCTCCTTGTCCCATGGATAGACCGTTCGGAGGTCAATCAATTCCACTGAGACACCAAAGTCCTTCTCGGCCTTTTGCAACGCATCCACGCATTTGTATAGGGGTTGACCGTATGAGATGATGGTCACATCCTTTCCTTCCTTCAGCACTTCAGCCTTGGATAATGGTAGCGTATAGGACCCGGTGGGCACCTGCTCAACGGCAGCACGGTAGAGGATCTTGGGTTCCATGAAGACACATGGGTCATTGCTGCGAATGGCGGATAACAGCAAGCCCTTGGCCTGGATGGGTGATCTGGGCATGATCACTCGCAATCCTGGAATATGTGTGAACAAGCTCTCCGGCGACTGTGTGTGGTAGAGACCACCATGACCAACACCTCCGCAGGGCATGCGTACCGTCAAGCCCCCGGCACTCCGCCCGCAGGAACCATCCCTGTATCTGAACTTGGCAGCCTCGTTCACCAGCTGGTCGAAAGCCGGGTATACGTAGTCGGCAAACTGGATCTCGGCAACAGGGCGCATTCCCTCGGCAGCAACGCCAATGGCAAAGCCCATAATACCCTGCTCGCACAACGGAGTGTTGAAGACGCGGTCGGCGCCATATGTGTCGGCAAGCTTTCCCGTGCAGCGGAAGACACCACCAAAGGCGACGTCCTCGCCAAATATCAAGACCGATTCGTCTTGGGCGAGGGCAATAGATAGAGCATCGTTGACAGCTTGGAACATGTTCATGCGCTTTGTTGGGCCATTGCGGACTTCGGGAGACAGCTCAGGGTTGTTGAGCGCCGATTGGGATGTCTGCGCAAGCAATGGAGTTGTCGAATAGTCGGTGGGAAGATTGAGCTTCGCATGAGGCGGGTGCGTCGAGTACGCTCGTTGCGGCGGGAGAGACGGCGCCAGAGTAGCAGCAACGGGGACAGATCGTAGACCGGCCGAAGGACGTTTAGTCAGGCCCTTGGAAAGCGAACGAAGGCATTGCGCCTTGGGCCGGATAGTTGAGCCTCTCATTGTGAACCACAACAAACCGAATTCTGGATGGCAATAATGATCGATGATGAGACGACAATCAGGTCAACACACACCACAACAATTGGAAGAGAAGAGGAGGAGATGGCAGAATTCTCCTCCCGACGGGATACAATTCCCAAAGAAGCGGCATTGTATCAAAACGGGATAACGGTCGGTCGGCTTGCAACGGCTTTGTTAGAGTTATGTCAACAAATGACGAGAAGTGCAGCGCGGGGCCCCATGCCTTCCTTATTAGCGGTGCGGGCCACCCGCTGGAGCACAGGGGAAAGACAGGACCCATCTCGGCATCCATCTTCCCCGCCCTTTTGGAGTTCCTCAGTTCAAGTTTAGCGGTCCGTGCGTCGCTCCGATAGTGCATGTTCCTGCCCCTTGAGGTTGTGCCAGGTGCCTGCGCTTCGGTATCCGCCGAGCCCCCCTGCCTCCCATCAGCGGAGAGACCTGCTACCACTCAGACAGTGCATGCGGAACTGGTTCATCCCAAGTGAGAAAGATGGGAGAAAAGCTAGGTAGGTACAGATCAGTCAGCATGACGTGGCCATGCTGTGTCTGAATAATATGATGGCAGTTCCTTCAGACATGCTTCTCAACTGCTTGACTTTCCATTCCACTCCCCCTGGTGGCCTTTGAGTCCTGATTTGTGACTGAACCATTATAAAGGTTGGCGAATTAGATGGGGCCGGATAAGGTTGACTACCCCTAGGTACCTAACCTCTAGGTATTGTCCAGGGCAGCTCTTCCCACTACGAGCCAAGCCAAGCTAGACCAAGCTGAAACCAAGGCTGGGCGCAATGGATGCGACTTGCTAAACGCCCTCACTGCAACTGGTGAAGCCTGAAGCCTGAAGCCTAGACTGCCCACTGAAGCCTTGAGGTTGCATAGGTCATCACAGCCAGAACCACCTCAGCTCGGGACACGCCTGCCGGCGAAGCTGGTTGGCAGGGAACAGGTCAGGAAATAGATAGCGTGGCAGGGGTCGTCGTCACCACTCCACCAGGCGGGCAACGAAGCAGCGGCTCCAACCCAGGGACTAACAATTTCTCCTCCTGAACCCCCGATCTGGGTTGCTTCTTCGGTTTTCCCTATCATGACTCTTCCACTCTTCTCAGCATACAGCAGCAGTCGGTTTCAGGAGGTGGTCGCACAACAATAATGCCACCCCCAAGGGATTCGTCCCCGGAACGGGACTACAGGCCCAGGAGACAGTCGGCGCAGAGACGCAGCCGCAACTCTTCAGCGGTCAGGAATAGTGATGATAACGGTGAGCGTGCCGGTCGCGAGCCAAGGCGCAGAAGCAGGAGACCCGAACCCGGCACCAGCGTACCGCCAATCACCAGAGGAGAACCCAGAGGAGAATCGTCAAACGGCAGTTCAGCAACCCTTTCAGCAGCAGCTCTGGCCCAGCTCAACAAGCAGAATGCAAAGCGGAAAGCCAGCCCAAAGAAAGAGGTCAAACGAGCTCTGGAGCGAAGCTATGATGCTCAGAGCGAGAGGGATGTAGCATGGGAACGGGAGCAGGAAATGGAAAGGGAACGCATGCGCGAGGCCCGGAGAGAGTCGAGGATGCGACGCGAGAAGGAGCGGGAGAGAGAGCAGCAGGAAAAGGAGCGTGAACGGGAGAGGGAGCGAGTCCGGGAAAGGGATCGCGAAAGGGAGAGACAGAGAGCAAGGGCCAAGCCACCAAGGGTGGCAACGGTGGAAAGTGAGGACGAGTACCGATACGCTCCCTCAAGGAGGCCGAGGGATTCCAGAGATGCGGCCAGGGATGACAGAACACGACCTAAGCCCAGAATGGTGCCACCCGATAGCGACGATGAGTACCAGTATCTTACGGCTAAGAAGAGAGAAGAAAGGGCGAGGAAAAGGGCCCCGGCAATGGAGAGTGACGACGAGTACCAACGACTTACCCCGCATAGGAGAACAGACAGTGACGACAAGGGTTACCGAGTTGTGGATGCCCGGCCTGACAAACCCAAAAGTTATGAGCGGTTACGGCCAGATAACAGAGCAGGAGAGGACAGAAGCCGGCTCAGGGTTGCAAGCGGTCCTATGCTTGAGCAGGGGATAAGGGCACGGAACGTCAGCGGTGGCATGCTAGAGAAAGGCAGCTTCATGGCGAGATTTCAGAATCTCCGTGGTGGCCATGGCGGGCCAAGTATGTCGTCCAGCAGTGGTTATGAATCCGTGGACAAGATGAGCGATGATATAGGGTCCTCACCACCCAAGAAGAAACGGAAGAAGCTGTGGATTGCGGTTGGTATCGGTGTGGTTATCGTCATCATTATCATCATTATCGCCGTGACTGTCAGCAAAAAGAAGTCCGACGACGGCGACGGCAAGGGTAGCAACGACACGCCTTCACAGGGCTTGGGCGATATTTCACCCGACGACATCCCCGCCGACGCACCAACCTGGCTAAATCCCTTCAAGTGGGCCGACACGACCGACTTCAACCTGACCTACACGGCCCAGACAGTCGGCGACCTACCTGTCATGGGTCTCTTCTCCCAGTGGGACGACTCCAAAGCCGCCAACGACCAGGTCCCAGCTCTCAACAAGCCCTGGGGGGACTACTCCAAGCGACCCGCCCGAGGCGTCAACGTCGGCGGCTGGCTCAGTCTCGAGCCCTTCATCACCCCTTCCCTCTTCGCCTACGACCTGCGTTTGGGCATCGTCGACGAATACACGCTCTGCACTCACCTTGGCTCTCGGTGCGAGTCCGTATTCGAAAAACACTACGCCACCTTTGTAACCGAACAGACCTTCAAGGAGATCGCCGATGCCGGACTCGATCACGTCCGCATACCTTTTTCCTACTGGGCCGTGCAGACCTATGACGGCGACCCGTACGTCTTCCGCACCTCATGGCGCTACCTCCTGCGCGCCATCGAGTGGTGCCGCAAGTACGGCCTGCGCGTCAACCTGGACCTGCACGGCCTCCCCGGTTCCCAAAATGGGTGGAACCACTCCGGCCGCCAGGGCTACATCGGCTGGCTAAATGGAACAGACGGCGACCTCAACGCCAAGCGTTCCCTGGAAATCCACGACCGACTTTCAAAGTTCTTTGCCCAGGACCGATACAAGAACATCATCTCCCACTATGGCCTGGCCAACGAGCCGAAAATGACTTTTTTATCCGTCGACGCCGTTCTCCAATGGATCGAAGACGCCTATGCGCTCGTACGCAAAAACGGCGTCAAAGACGCCATCGTCGTCTTTGGCGATGGCTTCCGCGGCCTCGCCAACTGGCAGGGTGAATTGCAAGACCTGGGCGACGGCGCCGCACTCGACGTGCACCAGTACGTCATTTTCAACACCAACCAGATTGTGTACAAGCATCACGACAAGATCAAGTACGCGTGCGAGGGGTGGACGGAGCAGACGGAGCTGTCGATGGATCGTTCCAGGGGTTACGGTCCGACGCTGGTGGCTGAGTGGTCCCAGGCTGACACGGATTGTGCAAAGTACTTGACGAATGTCGGTTGGGGGAATCGGTGGACGGGGACGCTGCTTACGGGAAGTGAGAGCAGCGATGTGTCGACGCCAAGGTGTCCTTACACGGACAGCAGGTGTGATTGTATTGCTGCCAATGCGCCGCCGGATCAGTGGAGTGATGATTACAAGACCTTTTTGAAAATGTTTGCGGAGGCGCAGATGTATAGCTTTGAAAAAGGGTGGGGGTGGTTTTATTGGCTTTGGGATACTGAGGATGCGTAAGTTGAATTTTTAATTTTTTTTTTTTTTTTAATTTTTTTTCTTTTTTTTCTTCCTCCTTTCTACTTCTTGTCTTCAACTCATCCGACTCGCTAAACTCCATTCCTTCGCCTAACTCTTGTAACTCTTTACTGATGAAGTGCCATAATAGGTATCAATGGAGCTACAAAAAGGGTTTGGCTGCCGGTGTCTTGCCTGAGAAGGCGTATCAGAGAGATTTCAACTGCGACGTGTCCAAGATCCCGTCGTTCGATAACCTCTCAGAGGCTTTTTGAACAAATAGCGAAAGGCGGAGACGAGGCCCGGTGTCTGATTGAGCGATACATGATGCTCTATATATAATGGATAATTTCTCTGATGTCAATCTAGAAGGGAGCATGGGGTACGGCGTTGTCTTGATCTGTTATACACTTGAATTTTTCATGAACACGACATCAGTGATATCCAATCTACAAGCATCACTCGCTCACGAATAAGTACATGGCGTACGTAGAAAAGATCAGTTCCACTCCACCCAACCTTAATATGTCCAAAACTAACGCCTGGTAATGGAAAAATCCACCGATATGCAAACCGCTATGCAAAGCCCCACGAAAACCTTCGGATACTACTACGCTAACATTTCCAGGACATATTCTCATGTAACAAACCACTCACAGTTACACTGGCTTCCATACGAAACAGCGCCATCACTTGCGTATGACAACCCTCCGTCCCCCCCACCCCTCCGCAAAACCTCCGGGCTCCAAATCGGACTATCATCCTCTTCATCGAAATCAAGGTCCCAGTCCGTGAACCTCTTGTCCGAGCGACGTGATGAGCGTGGTGAGCTAGTCTGGGTAGCCTCAGGTGGATACATGGTGACGACAACCATATTTCCGTTTGCATCGCGAACGGGCTGAGCGGCTTGTCCATTGGGAAGTATTTCGAACTGTGTGCATTCCGGAATCGGCGCATCGGAATAGCGGCGTTCCTCCATTTTGATGACTCGAGGATAACCTGGGGGCGGAGGAGCGAACCCGTCGCCACGGGGCCCAGTGCCTAGCAGACCTGACGCGAAAGAAGGCGCAGGCCCGGAGGTTGATGATGGTGTGTCACTCGAGAAGGACTCTTGGCCGTGATGGTCGGCCTCAAATTGACGGTGTCTATGGGGATGATAGTCCACATCGCCATCCCGAAGGTGTTGTCCAAGTGACTTTGTTATGTAGTGGTTGTAGCCGTCCGGTGGCCAAGTCGACGATGGAAACGGGCTTGCTGTCGGTGATACTACGTGGTCGGTCTCTGTTTTCGTGACCACTACTGTCATTGTCGTGGAGTCCGTCGAAGCTGGGACAGAGGAGGTTACCGAGGGCGGCGGAAGGCTTTGAGTGTTGACCGACCAGCTCGAGTTCTGTTGAGCAAAAATAAAGAGCTCGAACGTCGTCTGGGGCCAGTTGCAGATCCAAGGTTTGTCTCCTGGTTGCGCTTCGTTGCCTTTGCTTTTATTGAAATTCTTGCTACCCCATCCACGGCGCATCTTCGCCGTACCTCCTGTAGTGGTAATGTTGAGTGAATCGTGGGGAAGAATGACGGTCTTCATGTAAGGGACGGCCTGGAACCAAGCAGGGCCCCGATTAACTTCAGACGTGTCATTGACCAGCACCAGTGCCCGAGGATTCACGAGCAAAGCTGGCTGCTCGCCGTATGAATAGACGTTGTTGAACATGGTGAGAGAGTGGTTACAATTGATCGTGAATGTATAACCGTTTTGGGCGGAATGTTCAAGCGACAAGTACATGCCCGAGGGGACGAAATGGCAGTCCCAACTTTTCGACTGTGTAGGATCCTTGAAGCAGTTACTAGAGGCTTTGTCGAGCATCATAGGTATACCCCAGGTTCCTGTTGGAAGCGGAGCAAGATCTGTTGGAGTTGGTATGGGGACCACGTTGCTGGGAAAGGTTGTTCCCGATGAGGGTTTTCTGTTTTTATTTTAGCATGGTAATTAGTATGATGTCGGATTATCAGGGCCATGGCTTATCAACTTACGGATGGCTCTCCTTGGGTGGTGGTTTTCCATGATTGCTCAGCAAAACTCCGGCAACCGTGCCGGCAACGATCCCCACAATCACCAGAAGGCATAACGAGAGAACCAAAGCCCAATTAGGAACCACCCCAAAACACCACTGCTTTCTCATCCAACGCTTGAAAGGTGTTTCTTTTTCTGACAAGACGGCTTTTTCCCTATCGATCTGGTCGTTACTGTGGGTTGAATTGAAACTTCGCGTCGAAGCACGGGGGCGAGGAGCTCGCAGATCGTCCAGTGAGTCAAATTCCGGATTTCTGGTTGCAAGTCCTAGACCTCCAGCGCCAGTAAGAACCTCTGCTTGCCCCGATTGCGCTGCCGGCCCTGTCTCCTCCGTCTGACCTGTCTGTGCTGTTGCTACCGTCTGTGTTGTCGGTGATGCCTGCGTGGTGGGTAGTGTCTGAGTTGACGGAAGTGGTGCCTGTGTTGGCTGCGCTGTCGGTATTGTTCGACCCTCCGACACTTCCTCAACGGGGTCAGGACCCAATGCAGGGGAAGACGCGGGGGCAGAAGCGGGAGCTGGAGAAGAAACGACAGCAGCAAAGGCAATGGGCGGACCGGAACTAGGAGCGCTGTCAGCAATCGGCGCAGGGGAAGGGTCGACAGAGTTCGAGCTGCTTCCTCCTAGGCCTGTATTGTCTCGCTCGGTGTAGGGTGGCAGCGGCTCGTGATGCCCGTACGGGCCATAGTAGTCGACTACTGGGACTTCGCCTTGCTGAGTTACGACTCGTCCGTATTGGGGGGCGTGATGCACATCTTGGGGATAGATGTGATAAGGAGAAGGATCGGATGGTCCGTGATAGGGATAACCCCTTGGTAGAGGATCAGAAGAGAGACCCAGTGGTGGCCCAAAGGGTAAGTTGCGGGTATATTGCTCGTAGACGTGAGAGGGACCTGACGGCTGTATTGGGCCATGTACACTGGCGGAATGAGCGGCATCTATGCCCATATGTTGGGATGATAAGTTTGGGCTCGTTGCGCCATCGTGTCTCAAGGCCAGGGGATCTGCTGCTGAGCTTGCTGGTTTTGTTGGGCTTGGTGGACGAAGAGGGGCCTGTGGTAGTTCCGGAGAGAATGTGGTCAACGTTGATAGAGGAGTTGTCGCTGCCATACCGGCGTTCGCCCCAGATGAACTTTCTTGAGCTGGCCGCAATTCTGCCTGCAAAAAGGGCTGCGCTGGTAGTATCGGTGTAGATGTTGGCGACGTTGTCGTTATCCTTGCCCTACTCTGACGACCTCCTTGGCCCACGCCCTCGTCTCCCAATTCCTGCCCCAGTGCCACCACCGCTGGGCTGGGGTCATGCGGTAAACTGCGTCGCATGTCATGGTCTGCTACCGAAGCCAGAGCCGGGTCCTCTGGAGGAGGAAATTCGTCCATTCCTTCAGTCCGTAGAGTCAGCGAATGCCTCACTGACGTCCTCCGTGATCGCCTCCTCTCTGGCAAACCAAGCTTGCTGTCGCTGGGATCCATGGCCGCTGCAGACTTGGATTTGGTGTGCGCTGGCGCTCAGCGGCCCCGATGCGAAAAGTCGATAACGTCAATCGATGTCAAAAGTACATCGGGCCTCTAAAGGCCATTGACCGCCCGCTTGGGAGACAATGGCACAGTCCTCCCCCTATGTTATGCGCCTCGCCGTAAGAAAGGAGTGTCGTTGAAATATAAGGCGGTAGAGCGGTAGCGAGGGAGGGAGGTGAGTGGAGTAGACTGGGTGAGCTTTCGACTGCCTCTGGCTGAGCAAAGTGGTGAAATCGCCAAGAGAGGGCATGAAATGGAAGGTCCGACCGAATTCAATGAAAGCTGGGAAGGATCGGGCTGCGGAAACTGGGGGTTGCACGGATCGGGAAGGCGCAAAACAGACTGAAAATTGCGATGGGGCCAAATTGCACTGCAGAATGGATCATTCCCGTAGGTCCTCCCTCTGCTTTCTGGCCGGTTGTGTGTCCAAGGAAAAGGACGAGATCAAGCAAGAGAAAACCAGCTCCACGTTGTGGAAAGGGTGGAAAGAGAGAAAGACAGACCGAACGGCACAACCCCCCGGGTCCGAACAATTCAGGAACAAGTGTTGTTAGGGAGGGTTGCACTCCTTGTGGCTCCATTTGAGGTTGCAGCGGTGCCGTTCCTGGCGGGCTGGGGGGGTCCGGCCGCCAAGCATTTTATGTTCTTCTCTCCAGTCCCCGAGGGGAAAAGGCTTGGCGAGATGAACCGGCCGCTCCCTCTTGCCAGTCAAGAACCCCAGAGTAACAAAAGTCCATTGAGTTTAGCTTGGCGGCACTTGAAGGTTGAAGATGATGGGCGGAAGGGGCGCCGAGCTGCACATTGCAAGGTAATGATGCATGCCAGCATCGGCTGGACTTGGACATTGCATTCAGCTGGGCTTCGTGTTGAAACTGGTGCTTTGGGTGACATTCAACGGACATGTACACTACCTGATTCCCGCCACATGGTGTGGGTAGATACCTACACTACCAGGGCTTGGAAAGATGGATAAAATTAAACCAGTGAACCGTTCAAGAGACTTCGTGATGGCCGAAGATCGTCGAGATTTCCCATTGTACACTACGCTAGTAGGCAATGTCCGTGGAATTAATCTGTTGTTGGCCATTCCCTTCGTGCTTCCCGTGTCCTGGCTATGCCATGAAATGCCAAGGCCCACAGGCTCCGTTTTGGCTTTCCGCTTCTCGACATCGATTTGATGTTTCAATGTGGCTAGACCCACTCCACTCCTTCAGCGCCATATTTGTGGGTTCAGAAACATGCTCTCGGTGGAGTCCATTTCCAGCACAACTTGACCCAGCGCCAAAACCGCAGTTCCGCCTGTCAAAGTGTCGAGTCAAGCTGTGGACTGAATGTCACCCAACAACAACAACTCCCTGTCGCAACTATTCTCTCCAGCTTGGCGGCGCATTTCCTCGTTTGGCTCGAGCCTTATTTGACTTGGGCAAGTTGGAGACCCACGAAGACAAGATCATGATACAAACTTATACATATGTCCCGTCCATTCCATCGCCGGTCTTCCGGTCTAGGTGACACGAGAGCTCACCGGGCTTCCCAGCCGGTACACCCGGAGGTCTGGGCACTTGACCATGAAGAGACTTAAAGGAACAATACCATGTAATAGACTGGGAGACGACCCTGCTTGGTACCGATAGATGTCTCTGGGATCTCTTCTTTGCCCACGCATGGCCATGACTGGCTCAAAAGTCTGGTCAGAGACGACAGAGTTGGGCCCGTTGTTACGGTCTTACAGACTGCCGAACCGCACCCCAGGTTAATATTCCTTTGGTCAGTAGCAATCTGTTCGGCTATTTTGCCTGTCACCCACGCGAATTGGGCTTACTTGGTGCAAACACTACACATTCGTTCTCTCTGCTGTAAGTAAAGACTTCTCCACTTATTCTCAAGCCTTTCGTGTTTCAGAGTTCAAGGGGTTTCGAGTCCCTCAACTAGTAACGGACTAGAGCAGAAAGATGAGAGCCATACGAAGCCGGCTCTCTTTTCCGCCTCAAGTTCCATCAGAATTCATGACTGATTTCCCGGCCCACTGAGCTTGTGCTCCCTGTGACTAAACAGCTGATACTCCAACCAAGACGCCGACTGTTTATCTTACCTGCAAGTGTGTGTGATTCACCCCCGCCAAGGAAAGAAAGACGAGGCAAAGGGCGATAATAAGAATGGATCAAGGGAAAACTGAGCGCTTTGCTAAGCCAGATGGTCCTGACATGACCGTAGCTCGCTCATCACGTCATGCCCCATACTCCATCCCGCAACGAAAAGAAATAAAACACTCTTAGAGATTTCACGCAAAACTGCTCTCTGCGTCAACAGGTACGCCAGCCACCACTCAACTTGAACAAGCAAGCATAGTAGCAGCATGTTACATACAAAAACCTCGAAGGCGGGCGAGTCTCTAATTGGGTGCCAGCAACCTGGAATGTAGCTGCCCGTCTGGCCCTAGAGGGCCCTCGTTCTCCCACCTCTTCTCCATCAATTCTCTATGGTTTCTCGTATGCACAGCTTTCGGCGCTTGAGGCTTGTGTCTATGAGCACGTCCTTGAGAAGTAGGCGGGCAAGCGGGCAGAAGTGTTGATAATTGGATGTATGCCCATCCGGTTGGAATCCTGTATCTCCAGTCAGTGGCCTTGGGAATAGGCGCTTGCCCTTAGAGGTAGCTTCCGCCCTGATTCCAGTCAAAGAATCAGTTTGCTACCTACGCCATAGATATGGGAAGTACAAGTTTGGGATGGTGCTGAAAGAGTGGCGGTCACAGCCATCCTTCCTGGTTATGAAGCGGGTAAAACAATCAAAACAAGAAGACTTTTTGGACTGACCTCAATTGCTGTCTCACTAATTCATTGGGTGGCTCGCCCGAGTTCACTTGCTCGATCCTGGAAGCCTTCTGAATGGAAGTGCACCTTGAGACCAATATGGGTAAGCAATGCGATACCCCTCAGCTTGAATCGACAGCCTCAACATTTCTGGTCGAAATTTAAGTGGCAAGATTATGAAGCATCTGGCTAATTGTCACGCTTCGTCTTTCCTCGGATTGATAGACAAAGTCATTCACCTAATCTTCTGACGGGGTCCTGGATTACCCCGCAAGTACACCCAAAAAGGGATCTGACATGAGTTCACAGGCATCCAGACAGGCACCGGAAAAAAAAAAAAAAAAAAAAAAAAAAAAAAAAAAAAAAAAAAAAAAAAAAAAAAAAGGAACTAAAGCATGCAGACGGATAACCGCATCTTGACCGCCAAGCTTGTGATCAGAACGAATGCACCCACCCTTTAAGCCGCTCTACGTCTGTTATCAGATACCAGGACGGCCGCGCACCTTTTCCTGGCTTTCAAGTTCTTCATCAAAGCAGATGGCATCAAAGCGAGTGAATGTCATGCTTTTTGTGTTTTATTTTCCGACATGCGCCATGTAGTCCGGATGGTGTTGCCAGTGTCTTGATATCGGAGCGTGGCACGGTGAGCGCCGGCTTAAGATCTGGCTTCAATCCAGCTCGTTACCCAGCACGCCTGACTGAGGAGCACTCTCTTCCCTTGCAACACCCTTACAACACCCTCCTGATCCTGCCGCCATCCACGGGAGTGGACATCCCAACTAGACATTTCCAAACGGCGACGAACCAGATGGCCGATGACGAACCACACATACAACTTGAAAGTCCAGTCTAGTCCCGTTGCCTGAGGGCCAGGAGCTGTATGTACCTGCACAAATGCAGGTATTTCCAACAACACCCCCTTGACGTTGACGCTGGTCTGTCTCTCGGTCTCCGTCTCCATCATCCCCATGCCTCCGTTGTAGGAAACATGCAGATGAACGGGCAGGCAGGCAGAAAACACACCATTCCTCCCAGTCGGGCAAGGCCTGCTCCTTTCCAAATGACGCTATATACAGGGGCAAGGCTGTAAGACAATTTCGTCATGACTCGAATGCGGGCGCGGTGGTTTCGGTTGATTGCTCCGTCACGGCAGGTGTGTTCCAAGGGGACACTCGTGCAATAGTGCGGTCCGTGTTTGTGTCTGAATATTTACCTCCGTCCCCAGCTATCTTACACTGCTGTTCTTGACCTTTTTCTTCACATCCAACAAGCTTGTCATTGTCAGTTGTGTCGTTGAGGTTTTATATTCTGCTCTTCGTCCTATCCGCAAAGCTTTGTAGGGGAATTGGCCCTGTGTCTCATTTCTGAGACTGATTTTGCTCGAACGAACACAAGTACCTGACCCTAAAACCAACACTTCTCACGACCAGAACTGGACGCCCTCCTTCGCTATTACAAAGAGACACATAACATCCAACTGCGCTTGATCTTTTTCCTCACTGCTACATATTATACTTATATTTTCTTTATACCCAAAACCGATCAAACAAAATGTCATGCCGACCTTCAAGCCGCTCGTCTGCCTCCTCCACATCCTCCGGCTCCTCCATTCGCACCTGCCGCGAAAAGCGTCTTCCCGATTGCGCAGCTGTCGGTGCGCTCGTCTACTTTTGCGGTCGAAACCCGCGTAAGGTCAAAGCCGTGCGTGTTTACGAGACAACATACCTCGATAACGACACATCGGGAGATCTGGATTGCGAGATGAGGAGCAGCGCCAGTAGTTCCAAACGCTCTAGACGATCGGGGCACTCGTGGGTCAGTAGCGACAGTAACTGTGGAAGAGTAAAGCAGGAGTTTTACTTTATTGAGTCAAGGACTAGTGGCTATGGGTCTGGTGCTGGTTACGAAGGGGGAGAGCAGCAGCAGCAGCAACCAGCGCAGGTAACAGCGGCAAGGCAATGGAAGCCGCCCAAGAGTGGGAGTGAGAGGAAATCCCGTTCCTCGAAACACTCGAGTAAGAGCGGTGGTAGCCACAGTCACAGTCATGGACATGGACATCGGGGGCGACAGGGACCGCCGAGTGCTACATCAGAAGAAGAAGACGAGGGGAAATATGATGAAGAAGAAACGGACGACGGAAGTCGAAGTGTTTTCAATGAATTCAATTATCAAGGAGGAGGTTCCGGAGGCCCTGGTGCTAGCCCAAGTCCATTCCCACCTGGTCCTCCGGGTATGGTGCCCCCTCCTCCTACTTCTCATCCTCCCACTGGCGGGTACCCGGGGCAACCGATGTTCAATATGGGTGGTCCTCCTCCGCCACCGATACCACCAATGACACCACATGGACACGGGAGCTTTCATCATCCTCCGCATATTTTAACACCGGGAACTCATCCTCCGGTGATGTCAGGTGGTGGTGGTGGTGGTGGTGGAGGGAGAGGAGGAGGAGGTCATTTCTAGCAGGATGGAGTTGGGATTCAGGTGTTTATGCCTGAGTGAACACTGACATTGTTTTATAAATAGCTTAACAATGGGCAACATGGATGAAAAGACGAGGTTGACTGCTGATTGAGTAGGACGTGTGGTTTTACATTTGCTGAGGATGAGTCACACTGTAATTATAGACTTGGAATGACTTGGTCTTGGGTATATATGCGGTCAGGACCCGCTGCGAGGGGCTATATGCCTATGTGGTAGAGATCCTGTGTTCGAGTACGTTTTTGTAGAATTACCACACGCAATGATTAAGTGATTCCCATAAACTGTTTATTGGTTACACTAGATTACCAACTATCAAGCCCCCCCCCCCCCCCCCCCTTTTTTTTTCTCCTCTCGCTCTCTCTTCATCTTATCTTCGTCCGTCATACATCATCATACCTTTGGCAAACGTCAACTAGGTACTTTCTTTGTTTGCTCCATGTAAACTGCCGACTCTACGGAAAATTCTCATTTGATTTTTGCAGATGTATTAAATTGGTTAAACGATGGAAGAAAACAACCAACTACCGTTATTTGGTAGGAACTTGGCGGTAAGTGAAATAATCAGCTGAAGCTGTGAGAGAAGTCGGGTGAATACTTTGGAGGATCTTCTGCGTTGATCAGTTGTATTGATATACAATCCAGCCGTGGTTGGTATGTTAGGTCGGTACAGTAAAGCCAGATCTGATTAGACTCGGAAGAGCGGCCAAGATTCTCGCGGATAGATGCTGTGAGCTGGTATCTTGACGTTCTGAATGGGAACCCTCATCATTGTAAGAAGAACCAAGAAGCAAACAAACTAGTCCTGTATTGTACGTTAGTGAAATGGGATCTATATTAGTTATCAAACGAATATTACGTAGTGTAGACTTGAGTTGAATATTCAGTGTCAGGCATTGCTGGGTTGTACTTGAATGAGTAACTCGGTGTGATAAGCGGGGTCATCGAGAGGTGTCTGGTCAGTGGTGATCCGGGAGTAGTGGCGAAGTGGGGCCGAACTTGACCCAAAAATGCGGAGGCCGCCAGTTGCACTTGCCGAGGTGACGGGGCCGGCGATGACGGCGAGGATTGCAATTGCACTGCACTGCCGCGGCCTCAAAGGTCCCGAAGCAGGGTTTATCGTTCATCGGGACCATATGGGACTCATTATTGGTCAAAGTATAGGTAGCGAGGTAAAATGTGGGGTAATAAGGTAGGTACACAGCAATACTGTAGCGGCCTCCAAACGCTTGAACGCTTTCGCAAACACCTCGATACCAAATCTCATCCATTCAGCCCTACCACTTAGCGAGATGTGACAAGTCACTGAGGCTGGTTCGTTCTCTTTGAGATGCAACAGTCTGTTTGGTTCCATGCCTGAACGATGATGCCATTGATGGATGTGCCAGAATACGCGCAGTGTCGGACTCGGCTAGTATCAGGAGTTGAAAAAAGCAAGCCACCTCATTTCCGGGGAGCAACTCGGGGATATTATCAAAACGTTCTAGGCCCCGTCAAAGGGTCTCTTTCCGCCGGTTAAAACAGGCTTTGATAGGGGTTATCGTCCACTGGAACAATTCGATGTCAGGAAATCAGAAAGACCCATTATGGAGGGCAGGTGAGACAAAGACAACCACCTTCCACACATCACATCCCCTCTACCCCACACTATTCTGCCAACCAGCATTTGAATCTTTCAGCCTGTTGCAGAGCTTCACTGCCTCAAACCTCAAACCGCACTGCCATCCGTTCGTCATACGCCAAGGCACGACACGAGCAGTGGTTGTCACTGTCGTCTTCAGCACCCTACGGACATACGTCGCACCCCAGCAGATTGATTGACTGGGGACTGCCCGGGAGGTTGCCCTTCAAAGGAACGAGTAACGGCGTGGGAGTCCACTCTCGGTGGGTGGTCAGCAAAGACACCAACCATGTTCCCGAATGAGGACGGCCGCGATTCACACAACCGGGACAGAGCTACATTCCGAACTTGCACCATGCGTCATGCCGCGGTATCGCCAAGTTTCCAACGTTTCCTGTTTCGCTGTCACCGCCGGCCTGCAATTCGTGCGGGTGCTTCTGCCATGCAGTTTCGTCCCGTCTTGCGCTGTACGGGTTACTGGACGGTTGCATGTGACGATGAATTGAGAGCTGTTGAGGATTTCCCCTTTCTGACTTTGGAGACCCGGCCACCACTGCAGTATCCTTGCAAGGCCAAATCACGGTTGCAAGCCACCGTTCAATCATGTCCAGTGGCATTGCTTTGCAACTGGTTGTCCTAACCTACAGCAATACTGCATTGCATGCTGCATTTCTCTTGGGACCCGGTGCTGACGGGAGCCCTTGCGTTAGGTATGCTGATGTGTGCTGCGGCTGATTCTGATTCGCACCTTACCCGATACGTGGAGACCAGTTCTTCGTTCTAGTCAACATCATGCTAGACCCTTTCCCAATTCTCTTTACATCACATGCATGGGATGACAAGGGACTATGTGTACCCTGATACCTTCACGGCGCGTACACTCTCCTGGCCGTGTCCAAGTGGCGGCCCAGGAGATTATTACTCGGTTTGATTATTTGCTCTCTTTCTCTGCTCACCTCCTGCTGAGGTACTTCTTTTAGAGGTATTTTAACCCAGCTACTACCATGCTGACTGTATTGCTGCCTGGCGGTTAACGTATCCTTACTCTTCATGAATCCATACACCAAGAGTATATAAGGGCTCAACGCCCGATGTTTTCTTCATGTCGACTTGACCATTCATCCCAAGCATCCTCCATTCGGGAGTTCCGACAATCTGGAGCATAAATCCACTCACCCAAACGAACCCGGTATATAAAGTCGATTGACTCTGCCTTTGCTGGAACACCTCGTTCAACTACGCCTCTTCAGGGACATTGAAGGGGAACACAAGTTCGGTTACGCCACCCTCTTCGTATTGTACCATAGGTGTATCCAGTTTGCAACTCGGCACTCTCACACGCTACACCGAACAATTCTCAAGCTCGTCACCGTTAACCTGTTTCTCGTTTCACTACTGGTTGACTATTTTTCTCCGGCTTGTCCAATTCGGCGCAACGGGCGGGCCTGTGCCACGGCAAACCAACTTCGAAAGAGAACGAGAGGCGGGACTCTTACGGCTACAGATACACATACACCACCTCAAAGGATACAACAAACCGAAACTGAGAAGTGACGACAAGCAAACAGAACCGATAATATAAGAGCACCATTCCTTCTTCCGCTGTTTCTTTCCCGGCTCAAATTCCAGACAACATCACCACAGACAGCGGTCTTCAGACCCGCTGCCCAGAAAACCAACATGGACACTCTACTTCAACACATGGCCGGGCAAACGGTCTCATGCTCCGATGGTACCTCTTCTACCGTGTCGAATCCTGCCGCCTCTACTACTGGCGCTCCTGTGACCGGCCAAATGGTCCTCTTGGACATGTTCTTCCCCGGCTTCTCAACATTCTCAGCTTTCGTCCAAAAGAACCTCAACATCGATCTCAACGTATACATCCCGCTCGTCCTAATATGCGGCGCCCTCACGTTTGCCTGGCAGTATTTTAGCGATTACTGCTGGGACCTGATCGACCGTTATATGATGTCAGTCGTGGATGTGCGCACCGACGACGAGATCTACAACATGCTGATGGGCTGGGTGGCCGCGCAAAAGTTTGCCCAGGGCGCGCGGCGCTTTGTCGTCAATACGAACCTGAATTCGCGCTTCTGGTGGCTGTGGCGCTACGACTACGACGACGAGGATGAAGACGGGACCGAAGAAGATGACCATGACCAGCCCGCCAAGGGAGGGAAGAAAGCCTTAGCGTACACGCCCACGTTTGGCAGCCACTGGTTTTGGTACAAGGGGCGCCTGCTGTGCTTCCGCCGGCAGCAGAGCCGTGACATGGCTGGGTATTCGCTCTCCAGCGAGCGGGAAGAGATTTCCATCAAGTGCTTTGGCAGAGATCCTTGGATCCTGAAGGAGCTGTTGCTGGAGGCCAGAGAGGTATACATGAAGCGCGACGAGGCCAAGACGCTCATCTACCGCGGAACGACTAAAGGATCGGGTAGTGAACCCACCTGGCAGCGATGCATGGCGCGCACCTCGCGTCCTTTTTCCACCGTCATCCTGAACGAGAAGGTCAAGAAAGAGCTGATTGATGATGTGACGGATTACCTCAACCCGGCAACGCGCAGATGGTACGCCAACCGTGGGATTCCCTACCGCAGGGGCTACCTCCTCCATGGACCTCCTGGCACAGGCAAGTCTTCGTTGAGTTTGGCGCTAGCCGGGTTTTTCAAGATGAGGATTTACATCGTCAGCCTGTCCTCCATCGCCGCCAATGAGGAGAACCTCGCGTCTCTCTTTTCCGAGCTTCCACGTCGATGCGTTGTTTTGCTGGAGGATATCGACACGGCCGGCCTTACCCATACACGCGAAGATGGCAAGGTTGCGGCCATCGATGGCGGCAGCGATGACATGGTTCCCGGTCAAATAACCGCAGGAGATGGTACAGCCACCACCCCCACCCCAAGCGGCCGCCTCTCCCTCTCGGGCCTCCTCAATATCCTGGATGGCGTCGCCTCGCAGGAGGGCCGCGTTCTCATCATGACCACCAACCACCTCAAGAAGCTAGACAAGGCCCTGATCCGGCCGGGGCGAGTCGACATGATCGTTGAGTTTGGGCGTGCAGATAAGGAGATGACGGCGGCCATTTTCCGGGCAATATTTGCCCCGCTTGAAGGCGACGAGGTTGACGCACCCTCTGATGCCGATTCCAAGGACCTTTTCAAAACCCCATCTATTTCAACAAGCCCAGCAGGAGCAGCAGCAGCAGCAGCAGCAGCAGCAGCCGAAGCGCGGCGCGAACTCGCTCGCGACGAAGCCACTCTCAAAGTAGTCGAGTTAGCCGACCAGTTCGCGGACAAGATCCCCGCGCACGAGTTCAGTCCCGCCGAGATTCAGGGGTTTTTGTTGAAACACAAGCGGAACGCAGCCGCGGCAGTGGAGGGGGCAGAACAGTGGGTTGTGGACACACGAAAGGAGAAGATGGAGAAGGACTTGAGGGAGGCGAGGGAGCGGAGGGAGAAGGAGGAGAAAGCAGAGGCTGAGAAGAAGGGGACGAAAAAGGAGGAGAAGGGTGAGAAAGATAAAACGGAAACGAAAAAGTCAAAAAAGAGCAGTAAACACAACAAAGTAACCTCCAAAAAGTCGTCGTCCAAAAAGTCAACAAGGAAAGCAGCAATCAGTGACGCTGACTCCTCCGACGATTCTTCGTCATCATCGTCATCATCATCATCATCATCATCATCATCAACCAAATCCTCTTCATCCGAATCCGAATCCGAGTCTGAACCAGAACGATTCAAGGAGAAGAAGTCCAAGAGGAAACACTCGAAGAAGGAAAAGACCGACATCACTGCACCTCCACCTCTTCTGGTTAAGGAGGATTCCATCAGGGTTCAAGTTGTTCCCGTCCAGCAAGAGGTTCAGACCATCGCCAATTGTATTGCGCCGGGGGCAAAGAAAACGGACGATCTTGCCAAGGCGGTTGTGGTAGTGGAGGATATACTCGTTCCCCAGATCTCGGTAATAGAAGTAAATGAAACGAGGTCGACGGGGTCGGAGGATGGAAAAGATTCTGGGTATGGAACGCCTTAGTAGTTGCCGGGCTCCTGGCTCCTGGAGAAGAAGGCGTTGCTGGTAGTACGCTTGAGGCGTTTGTGGACCTTTCGACTCGGGTTTTATACGATTCGTCATGACCCTGGGTACAAAGAGGGTGGTAATATAGGATAATACAGATGTACGGCTGGATTGGAGTTTTAGTTTACTTCAATTGGATGAAAGTAACGACACAATTCTCAATAACTGCCTGTGCTTGGTTTTTTCTCTTTTTTTTCCCCCAGACATCATAAACCATAGGTCCACTACATCAACTTGCGTGCTAACGTCTTCAGTAATGAGCATGACCAGATTTAATTATTTAACATGTATATTCACATAAAATCCCCGGTCCTCATGAGCCATCAACCGGCCCATGATCGCCGATGAGTATTAGTATAAGGTGTATGTGTAATATGTAAGAAGAATCGCAAAGCTTTCTTGCCCTTTAGCCTTTGCTTGTTTTCTTCCTGTCTTTCCCTTATTTCCCTTTCCTTCCCAAATCTCTCACTTTCTAGAGCCCGTTTGGATATCATACCAGCAACCCCTTTGCCTGAACCTTCCCAGTTCTAGCAGTTAGACATCCGGACTTCTGGTTTCACTTACTCCATAAAGTCATGACAAAGTGTACGTGATATCATCGTGGTCTCCAACTCTCAATGCCTGACTTTCGCCATCCTTATTAGTGTATAGTGGTATAATGCAAATTCCTCCCTTCCTTTTCTTTTGTGAAAGACGTTTAAGCCTTGATGGAGTATGTCCTCTTGAACATGTCATCAACGTTTTCGAGGTAGTAAGTGCCGGGCTCGAGAGTAGAGACCTCACCCTTGGGGGTGTAGTTCTTCTGGAGATGGGCCTGCTTGCGGAGGTCGCACATCTGTACAATCGTTAGCATCTTGACTAGTATTCTTGACTTGATTGGTCAGTCGTAAATACTCACAGCATCGTAAGACTCGGGGGGAACGGCCCGGCGAGCGGCAAGTCTGGCGGGGAGGTTGAGAGTCTTGGCAAGCTTCTCGGTGCTGCCAGTGACGCGGAAAGAGCAGAAAGAGGCAGCGAGACCGGAGCCGTAAGAGAAGAGACCTATCCTCTTGCCCTCAAGCTGGGCGCTGTCGACATGGCCAATGATGGAGGCGAGACCGCCCCAGACGCTACCGCAGTACATGTTGCCGCAGAGGGTAGGGACCTGGATGGCGGGGTTGACGCGCTCCTGGAAGCGCTTCTTGGTGAGAGTCATGAAGGTCTTCTCAACGACCTTGTCGGTCAGGGACTTCTTGTAGTCCATGTCGCGAACCTCGGGAGGAACGTCGGCGAAGACGGGGCTCTCGGGGTTGGCGAGGTAGTCGTGGTAAAGGAGGCGAGCATACGACTTCTGAACGAGCTTGCAGGTAGGGGCGTGGAAGGCAAGGTAGTCGAAGCGGTCCAAGGGGGTCTTGGTGCTATCCTCAGAGTGGCCGTTAACACCATTGGTGAGGAGCTTCTCGCGCTGGTTGTAGGCGCGGTAGGCGCCGTCAAGAGCCTCGGTGTAGCAGTTGACGGAGTAGTGGCCATCGACGTAGGGGTACTCGCTGGTCAGGTCGGGCTTGTAGAAATCGTAGGCGTGGGCCATGTAGCTGCCGCGGAGACCGGGCTCGACGGCAATAGGGGCGTTAGGGCCAACAAGCATGGCGACACAGCCAGCACCACCGGTAGGGCGGGCATTACCCTTGGCGTAAAGGGCGATATCACCGGCGACGACAATTGCGTCACGGCCGTCCCAGGCGGAAGACTCGATCCAGTTGACGGAGTTGAAGAACGCGTTGGTACCACCGTAGCAGGCGTTGATGGTGTCAACGCCCTCGATGTTGGTGTTCTCGCCGAAAAGCTGCATCAGGACGGACTTGACGGACTTGGACTTGTCGAGAAGAGTTTCTGTACCAACCTCGAGGCGACCGATCGTGTTGGTGTCGATCTCGTAGTTCTTGAGGAGGCGGGAGACGGCAGTCAAGGCAAGAGAGTAGATGTCTGGAAGGGCACATGGCAAGTCAGCCCCTGAAAAGGCGCGCAGAGGTGGATCGAAATATGAGGGAAGGGAAAAACTCACCCTCACGATCGTCGCAGAAAGCCATCTTGGTCTGGCCGAGACCGATGGTGTACTTGCCCGTGCTAACGCCATCGAACTTTTCGAGCTCGGATTGCTCCACATACTACAGTTAAGATGACAGCTGTCAGTTGATGTGCTTGGAATGCGAGGCAGAAGCTCAGGGAGCAAAGTCCGGCAAAAAGCAGAATATGTGTTGCTGCTGCTGCGATAGCTATGCAGCGTTGCTGAGGGAATCTCGTGTGTTTCTTTGGATTGTTGCAAAAAGGGGGAGGGGCGTCATCCGGAGCTAACGCGGCCAGCGGGAGATGTGCGTGTACGGAGCGCGTGTTGGACGTACCTGGCTGGGGAAGTAGATTTCGATGGCCTTGATGCCAATGTTCTGGGGACGGGTAGCCATCTTGTGCGGGCAATTGGGGTCTGGCGATGAAGGTCAAGGGGGGATTGAGGGAAGTAAGGAGGGGGAAGTAACGGAGGAGGAGAGGAAGAGGAGAGAAGGGCAAGAAAGCTGGAGGAAAAAAGAAGGAAGAGACGGAAGATTGCCGTGTCCCGTTCAGGGGAGGGGTTGCTTTGAGAGATTGGGGGTCCTGGCGTCAAAAAGTGCCTGTGCTCCTGTCTACGGAGGGGTAGGTTTGGGGTTAGCGCGTGTCGTCCTATCTTTCCACTCTGGCAGAGGCCATCTCGTCCGACGACCCAACCCCAACTCTGGCCCCCTTTTCACCGCTGTTTGTTGGCGCCGTTGTTGCCAGCGAGATCTCTTCTTCTTGACTCCCGTCGAGACGAGGTCCAGAAGGCTGGGGTCACTTTTTGGGGTGCCAGGTGATTCCATTCTCAGCAGAAAAACATAGGTAGGTAGTGACGGGACCAAGGGACCTGCCAATCCTGCCACCACGCCAGTCCCACACACAGTCTATGTAGTGTGCTCCTGCCAATGCTGCCGCCCCTGGATTGGGTTGCCCCTTTCCCATGTCTCTCTTGACAACAAACCCAAGCTATCAGACTTTGGCCAAGCCGCCGCAACCACGCCCAACAAAAAGGGCGTGGACCGAGCTTCTCCGGCGCCGGCACATTGGACTGGCTGGTGGACAGGGGGGAAGGGTGATGTGCAAAGAATCATTGATAGGTTATTGCCGGTTTGGATATACACACCTTTTTTGGTTGATATCTCGATCGAGGATCAAGATGTGACGTCTTTTGCTGTTCGTCTTGGGGATCAAACCTGAAGAAGGATGGAAAGAAGAAATCTAAACAAGAAGAGATCCAAAACCAGATGAGGATGGGGGGACATTGGAGGTTCATATAGCATTCACTGTTCCTCGAGAACGGCCACTTGCTGGCAAGGGAACAATGCGTAAAAAGGGGTCCAGACAATGCCAATCGAGCGTGGCTCCCGACCAAGCCAAGGCCATCTACTGCACGACCAGCGATACTCAAAGCTGGCCGGGACAAGGGTATTGATGGGTCGCAGATAGATTTGAAGGACGATGTCGGAGAATCCTCACCAAAAGGGTTGCATTCACGTCAAGAGGACATCTGTTTTTTTTTTTTTTTTTTTTTTTTTTTTTTTTTTTCTTTTTGTGGGTTTGGGACAATGTGGGCGAACCGCAGCACACGTTGGAAGGGAAGCCATCACCGGGTAAGCTGCCTCAGCTGGAGCAGTCACAGGAAGCAAGCACGGGCGGTTAGGCCACCTGCCACTTTACCATAACAGATGCCTACGCGCACCTACCTACTTGTACCGATGCAATCCAAACAGAAACTTCAACCAACGTAAATTCCCGTCCAACTTTGAAGAGCCTAAGGTCTTGAAAGAGGTGGCAGGTCGGACGGAACAAAACCTGTGCCAAAACCGTCAGTGCTGTTGGTATCTTTACTTTATGCTCATTTCAATGGTACCTTGTCTGGTTAACACGCCTGTGTTAAAGTCCGGAATCTGGGTTTGACCTTCGAAGTCTTCAGTTCAGGTTTTTTTTCTTTTTTTTTCTTAGGAATTGTCTCCTTTTCTTTTCTATATTATATGGTCCTCATATGACGAAACCATTTGTATAGCGAAGAACGTCTGGTTTTCTTCATTGTAGTTGGGATATGTATGATTTCGTACGACTGACGTTGGGGCCAAAGTTTGTCTGCGAAAATGAAGGTTCAGGTTTTCCTCCGGATTTTCTTCCGAAGTTTATTCAGTGATGATGTAAAGGGTGCAGCACAGTTGACACAGATGATGGCCAAGCAAAGGAATAACAAATGTCCTTGCTGTGCTTGTGCCGTGCATGCCCTTTGTTGCTGCCCCTCGATGCACGGCGCCTTTCAGAGGTCAACATGACATCGATGTAAACAAATGCAGCCCCAACCCCCAGCTTCCTTTTTCCACTTCTTCAAGTTCCCACCCCACTTCCAATATCTTCCTCGGACATGATCTTCAGTCCGGCCTCGGGGGCCCTTAACATGATCTTTGATATATGATACCTTCGAAATTAAGTTTTGGGCACTTCCTAAGGGAAGAATCCCTAGGTGACTCCGGCCGATGCGCTTTCAGAATATCATGTCCCTATCACAGTTATGTAACGGTCTCTTCTAGCTAAAGCGAGCTGTATTGAGCTGTCCATGTTCACTTTGCTTTTACGACCATTTCGTGCGGGAACACTCTCCTGCTACGGAGCTCCACCGGCGAGTTATCAGATCTTGCTCTCCTTGCTCGTCCCATCAACAGTGGGCGTTCCTCAGCTGCGCAACACGAGAAGAGTGGAAACGTGGAAGGTGTGAGTGGAAAGAAAGTGGAGATTCTGCCCACTTTACACTACATCTTACACTACACACAGACATACAGTACGGATGAAAAATCTGATAACAGTTTGTCGCCCAGTCGTTCGCATGGAAGGCACGGATCTTGGTGGAGTTTTTGGCGGCTCGGATCGTGGAGATGCGATGAACGTTGTCTGTGCTTGTTTTGTTCAGTGGAGTCAGTTTGGAAACTGAGCAAAAGTAATTCTTTTATTTTTCTCGCTTCAAGCTCAGTGTCTTTGTGATGATTTGCGAGCCTTCTCGTATCCCTCAAGGTCGGACGTCTAGAGTATCATCTGCTCTCGAAACTGCAAACGTGCAAATAGGGCATGAGTGAAAATGATTGGTGAAAGCTTGTCACACCGCCCACCGCGCTGCAGAAACCGTTCGACAGACGAGACACACACAAGACAATCCCGTGAACGGGACGGCAGTGTCACCCATCTTCATCAGGCACACTCGCATGTAGTGTAACTGCTGAAGACATGTCTAACAGTCTCCTCCAATGGCGTGGCTGAAGCTGTTGTGGGCCTGTAACTAGGTACATACTGACTACGTGCCATCATTTACTTTTCAACACCATTTCCGGGAGGGAAAATATGACTGCGCCCTTTCCAATCTCGCCTCGTTACCTGTCATCGCGGGTTGTCACCCAGGCCCGATTTCGAGCTTTGCTTTAAGTTGTATGATCAGCTCATTCTCACCACCAGCCTTTGCTTTTCACATAGCGTCCGTATCCTTCTTATCCTCGTTGCCTAAAGCTACCAACCTCATGTTGGATACTGCTCCCCCCATCATCATCCTCACACTCAGCATCGCACGGGAAAATGTCACTGTAGGGGGTCATTCAAAGTGGGTCGCCATCGGGCAATCAGCACAAGTTCTCACACGCTCGGAACTTTGCAAGTCGGGAATGTCGCCGGTTCTCGGCCGATTCATATGTCCTCTTCCATTCCTTCCACTGCAGTGCGACAGAAACGTGGCCCCGGCGGAGAATCAGAAAAGAAAATCTCTCAACTGTTGCTCCCACTCCGACTTGGCTGCGCCGCTCGGCGTGCAAGTTGTTTAGCTATGGTGAGACCGCGTTACATACCTACACTACATACATAGCCACATGGGTTGAGGGACCGGGACGCACAGCACACTCGTATGGAGTCCATGGTGGAGCTACATGACGAACTTGGCCGAGCGTTTCGCCAAGATTTGGTACACTACACTAGAACTACGCAGTATGTACACTAGTATCATCGTGAACGAAGATGGGTCCCCTTTCGAGAAAGACGATGATGCTGAACAGATGAAGGAGTATGTCGCACACGAAGAGACGTGCCTATGGTGATACCATGATTCGCTATGATGGTGAATAATATTTGAACTATTCGATGGACATAAATGGGGATATTTACATATGTCGATCAACCGTTTAGAATGCAAAGAAAAAGACGTTCCAGAACGGGATTCTCCAATTCAACCAGTCGCGCCGGTGAACATTGATAACACTTTACCCACCCACGCTACTCCAGCCTGCCACCCCTTCCAAGAACCAAAAGAAATTGATAATAAAAGGAACAATGAAATAAAGGCGAACAACAGTGTAAAAGAACACATTGATCACAATAAAATGCCCACATTCACACTATCCTTGCCTACTGATGATCCTCAGAATGGCGGATTCTCAGCAAAGTACCTAACCGCCAAATACCTAGGATCAAACGTCAACTCCTGCTTCATTGCCACATCCAACAACCAATCCGACACCACAATCCTCGGTTCCATGTTTCCCTTCTTTGCCATCTCCTCAAACTTGGGCCACAGCGCCTTCTCAGCCGGGCTGGGAGACGTCAGCAAGTAAACTGGATCAGGCGGTGCCCCTCCATCTTCCTCGGGCGTAGTGGGCTTGATCACCGACCCACCGCGACCACGGAAAACCCTGAAGATGGCCCCGTTGGCCTCGGCAATGGTTTGGTAGCTCTGGACTCCATTCTTGATCTCCTCTGTGCAGAAGATGGGCACGCCCCAGAGAAGGCGGCCGCGGTTGGCGCGGGCGCGAGAGATGGCTGTCTGGAGGGTGACGCCAAAACGGTCTTCGCTTTCCTTGTCGACAAGCAGGTAGTCCTTGGGGGGCAAAACCTTGCCGGCTTCGACGCAGGCGGTGACATAGTCGGACGAGATGATCTCGGGGCCGCGAGCCAGACAACGGAGAAACTTCATAGTTCTAACCATACGCGGTGCGGCGAGGTAGTCGCAGGGAACATTGTCTTGGACGATCTGTATGCCCATGGAGCGCAGTTTTCGCTGGTGAAAAGGTTAGTTTGGCAATGTAATGCACGTATCAGGCTAAAGTAATCACTCACCCTGTCCGCCTCCTCTCGAATCTTGTCGTTTACCCATCTCTTGTAGCCGGTCAAGCAGATGCGCATCTCTGGGCTTGACGAGACCCTAGCCTTCTTGGCCGGACGCTTCTGTTCTGTCTCGTCCTCTTCGCCCCCGTCTTCGGCTGGACTTGACTCCTTTGCGGCCCGATCCCGGTCAATCTGGTCTGCTGCCCGCTTGCCGCCCCACGGACCATCCTTCGCTGTGCGCTTCTTTTCCTTCTCATACAGAGCGATATCTGGTGCCAGTTGGTGGAGCTTGGACAACGCCTTATCTTTGGCGCTCCGGCTACCGCTGGACATTACTGATGGTGTGTCATTTTCCTTTCCACGTGTAGTCCGGGTGGTCTTTGCTGGTGTTTGGATATTTTGCTTATTCTGCGTCCCTCGTGGTGGCTTACTGGCTGTCTTTCCACCAACTGGACTCGATTTACTCGCGGTTCCGGCGTCGGTCTCTGCAAAATTGGAGGCATACACGTTCTTGTTCGCAGCGTCATTAGCCTTGCGCCTTTTCTTCGCTGCCGTGCTGAGTACTTCTTCGCCACCGGGGAAATACACCTCGCGCAGCCTCTGTTCGTCGAAAAAGGTGCTGCCAATGATCTCGCCTAGATTTGTCCTAGGCGGGAAGTGTTGGTACCTGGGGTTAGAAAAGGTCTGGACTTCGCACTTGGCGTAGCTGTCTTCTATCCAAAGATGGTTGATAATCTCAATGTTCCATTCCTTGGCTGCCTCACACTTCTCACCATTCATCCGAGCCGTGATCAGGTGAGTATTGTCGGCCTTCATGGTCTTGGTATATGTTGCGCCCGCCGCAGTAATGAGATTTTCGAGGTAGACTCTAGCGTCACCCCCATAGTTCGATAGTGTGATCTTCATGCCCGTGAATCCAGGAATCCCGTCTCGTGGTATCGGGTAGTGCAGAAGTCGTCGTGTCGGCCTCGTCCATTCATTATGTACGATGAGGTAGTAGAGCCACGCAAGGTTGCCCACGTCTTTCCCTTGCTGTGCCGCCCGTATATACTCATCCCCGTCGCGATACTGACACACATACATATCGCATGCATCAACATCATTCACGACCTCGCCGTCGCTTTGCTCGATCAGGTTGTTCAAGATGTTCCGCAGCCGGGCGTTGATAGGGAGATCTTGAGATATCATGACCTTTTTCTGAGCGAAGACGACAATCTTTTCCCTCTCCCTCCCCGGCATTGCAGCACTAGGTATAACGGACGTGGCACCTTCCACGGCCTCGCTCGGTGGGATTGTGATGTCTTCGTCGGGCCCTGTGCGCAAGATCTCGGGGTCAGGGAGCATATAGGGTGCCTCGCTGATTCGCCTCCCTAGCCTAAAGCAGTCATCGAACCAGTGTGGAAGGACAATCTTGCACTTGGGGTTCCTTTTCTGGGCCTCCTGGCATTTTTCGTGGTCCATGGACAGGGCGCAAATATGGGTGGTTTGACGCGTCAGGTCCTTTGATTCCATGCCACCAAGCGCCATGGTCGCACCAATAATGGTCTCCTTGTCGGACTCGGGAATATCGGCACAGGTGAGGATGACGTTGGAGAAGATCATTCTAGGATCGGGGGAGTACGGCCTCACTTGGGCGACCTTATTCCGTGCGAGCGTGATTTTGATCCAGTTGGAGTTGACGACGGGGATCATGTATTGGAGGGCATCGTGGTATTGCTCGAAGTCGATCGTGTTCGAGACAATATGGGTCGCGTGTTCCAGAGGAATTTTGCCGTCTTTGGTTGGCTCGAGAAGTTGGGCGCCATGCTTGTGTACAAGCTTGGAAAACTACAAATTGCCGAGGTGTTTAGGAGGTTGTGGACCGCGCATCAGGTAGAGTAAAGGGAAGACATACTTCTGAGATGAGACTAGCCGACAGTGACTTGCTTTGCACAAAGTAGATGGAGCAGCCATCGAGCAGACCCGGCTTCTCGTTTTCTCCGGCCATTTTGGCGATGTAAACGCGGTTTCGCTGGATTGATGATGATACGGGTTCTACAGGAAGCGTCGAAGCGCCGAGTCTTGAGTCGAGTCTGTGTATTCGAGTTCCATGGGCGATTTGTGGCCAGAAGTGAGGGTGGTGGTTTGCAAAAGCGATAGACAGATGCAACTTGGCGATGCACCAGCGGATGAGTGTTGATTGGAAGAACGGTCAACGGTCTTTTTGTTTGTCTCGTCCTCCATGCCACTGGCAAATTGGAGCCACTGCAGGCGACGCGATCGGAAAAAGCCAGGGTGGGGCCATGACGCGAACTAGGCACGCTGTATCACATGACCGTGTAATTACCCTGTTGCTGCAGTTTGATGGATTGCTGTCGGTATCTTGTCAAATTCATTGTGTACAAGTATGGAAGTAGTGTACTTGCATCTCCCCGCTTTCCATGTTGGTGTTCGGTAGTATTGATAATGTGACACTCTCGACAACTTCGACAAGCCACGAACTAGAATACACTAGCGAAAAACACCGAAAAGTTACCACAGTGGAACTTCGTCGAATCCGGAAAAGGGGAGATTGGTTGATCACTTTCTATCTATTTCCGACTAACCTTTTTTCGATCACTGTCTTATGGCCGTGCCTGGTACGTACCCGACTTACACGCCGACTACGTATAATAATTAGAGATAAGTTCCAGTTTGATGGATTGCCGATCACCGCTACAACCAAAAAGAGCGTTGGTACAACGCCAAGCACTACTGGCGAGCAATAGTCACATATGTAGTATCTTCGTTATCCAATTCAGAAATGGTTCTCAATCATAAACAATGGGTTGTTGAAAATGAAGTACTGTAGGGTATCACACAATGGAACCCGGAGGTCGATTTCCGAGCTAGTTGCAGTCGCTACCACAACAGCCGGCGCCACGATGGCTTTGTGCCTCGGCAACCTGGCCCGTAACAGTCGGCTCTGTAACCCTTGAACAACCCCACGATCGACAACCCCGGAGATTTAGTTAACACTTTCCTTGTTTGATCTCTCTGTGAACCCCATTTGATCGTGCTACCGGAATCTCCTTAGTCCGACTCGTCAGTTTCGGCATCATACCAGAGTTCTTGTTTGTCCCATCTGATCGGCACGCCTAAAGTGTGACAAGACAACTACCTATCCACATATCAGCTTGACTCAAACACCAGCGGTTATCAGAGCAGGCAGTCAATTCATAGCTGGTATACCGCCACAATGGCCTCCTCCTTCGTCATCAAGGAGCACAAAGTCGAAGGTCAACACATCCGTGAGTATGCCCGAGCTACCGCCAACTCCCAAGAAGAGGTCCTGTATCTCTCCGTAAAGCAATACATTCCCAAGAGCAACCCCAATCCTCAACCGGGCGACCTGACCATCATCGGTGCTCATGCCAATGGCTTTGTCAAGGTCAGTTATTCTCACTAACAAGAGCTACACCCAAGTTTGTGTTTGTCATTCACTAATTCCACTCTGTAGGAACTTTACGAGCCCCTCTGGGAAGACCTGCTCAGGGCCCTCTCCGCCCGCGGCATCAGATTCCGCTCCATCTTCATCGCCGACGCCGCCTGGCAAGGCCAATCCGGGCTTATCAACGAGTCCAGTCTAGGCAACGACCCATCCTGGTATGACCACGCGCGTGACCTCCTCTGCGTCGTCAACGCTTTGCGGCGTGAGATGCCGCGCCCGCTAGTCGGAATCGGCCACTCCTTTGGCGGCAACACCATTGCCTCTTTGTCGCTGATGCACCCTCGCCTCTTTTCTTCTCTGGTTCTGCTTGACCCGGTCATCTCCAAATTTGCCAAGCGCGGTCCCTCCTACGGCTTCCTGCCTATGAAGCAGTCGGCCTATCGGCGGGACGTCTGGCCTTCACGACAGGCGGCCGCTGAGGGGTTCCGGAAGAACAAATTCTATCAGACTTGGGACCCGAGATGTCTAGAGGTATTGATCAGCCATGGCCTGCACCAGGTTTCTCCAGAAAAGGAGGAAGTGACGCTCACGACGTCCAAACACCAGGAGTGCTTCACCTATTACCGCCCTAAAAAACAAGATCAGCCGGTGCCAGACTTGCCCCCGGATCAGGCTGTTGATCCCAACTTTCAGTTTTATCGCGCTGAGGCCATGATGACTACCCACTTCCTGCCGCACCTGCGCCCCGGTGTGCTTTATGTGTTTGGATCCACGTCCGACGTCTGTCCTCCTGATACCCGCGAGGAGAAGCTGGAGCTTACGGGCACGGGGTGGAACGGTAGTGGCGGAGCGAAGGCGGGCAGGGTGAAGGTACGCACCGTGGAAGGGTTCGGGCATTTGGTGCCGATGGAGGCGACGACGAGGTGTGCTGAGGAGGCGGCCGAGTTCATTGCTAAGGATTTGGAGAAGGTGTGGAGGAAGGAGGATGAGGACTTCAGGAAGGTTTGGAAGTATAAGGAGGGGACAGAGAAGAGGGTGCTCAGTAAGGCCTTTTTGGAGTTGATGGGACCGCCGCCGGGGGGGAAGAAGACAGGGAAGGAGGAGGCGAAGTTGTGAGCTGTGAAATGGGGGTGCCTCGTATCCTTTCCGTCAGTAGTTGTGCGTTAGCCAAGGTTTTTCAATTCTCAGCGAGCTTCTTCGCTATCTGCCTCCTACAATCTGCATCTTCCTGCGCCATCTTAGTAACGGCTGTGAGCATCTGCGATGATTGGTATCATATCGGTCATTCCAGTGTAACGATCCGCCAATCTTCCGCCAATTTTATCATTATCATTATCATTATTATCATCCCTTTTTAGCGCCTTCCACACACACCTTTTCTACCTATCCAGGGGAGACAGATACTCACCCTGAACTTGCTTCGTCCACTGATACAGGTCTCGCCGTTTATCACAGGACTAACATGCCTATATAGTGTTCACTTCCGAGTTGCGAGTTCTGCTGGCAAGCCGGAACTCGTCCTATCTTTTGTGGGTTTGGCCGATCTGGTCATTGTGCACACCAGGCCTGTGGTACTGTCCGTCGTTTCAGTAACGATGCTATGTGGCAGCGGAAAGATGACCCTCTATGTATCGCATGCGCTCTATGTGCTGCGAGGTTGTATGAAATGATGATGATGGAGAGTGGGCTTCAGCTGTCGTTGTACGGTGGTGATATTGCTTAAGACATCGACAGCCCCCACGGAACTCGACAGGAACAAACTGTGCCTAGTCCGAAAATCCGCTTGTGGAATTCTTAGTAACCATGCCGCAGACGGCACAATACGTGAGTTCCACGTTTACGCCATAGTGAAGGTGTATGCAAGCTCTCTTAAAAGATGGAACTCCACATGTCGAAATTAAGTTGTATGAATCGCCGCCCTGGTCATGCAATACCAACTGAACCGCCAACAGTGAAGCCTAGTCAAGATCCCGCTGGCGGCGATCCTGAACTGTCTCTCTTTGGGGCACTTTGGCTTGCTCCAACTCTCGCTGAAAGCTCTTCTCAACATTCCTGAGGTCTTGCAAGTGCTGCTGCTTGCGTAACTCGTCTGGATAGCAAGTTAGCGTCATCCAGTCAAACAAGGTCACGCGCTCCGAATCGGGCACCGGGAATGGTGGTGGTGAGTACGGTGGAAGATCTTTGAGCTTGAGCGGACCTTGGGCGACTAGTTCTAACGAGCGTGCGATTGCTTCGGTCAATTTCCTGGGTGAATGGGTGTCAGCTGTCTAGCCAGGAACATTGGGGTTACGATTGAGAGGACAAATGATCAATGGGCGAGAAACCTACCCTAGCCTACCATACACAGCGTCTCCTGTAGACTCCAACTCTTGAGCAAGCTCAGCTTGGTGGTTGTCCATCAGAGTTGGGTTGGGGACTACCACCAATGGTACCTGAAGCCGGAGTACTTCGAGAATTGTTCCAGAGCCTAGCCGTTTGGTTATTTAAAATGATCTCAGTGAGACAAATGATGACAAAAGGGGATAATCTCACCAGCGTGAGCAACCACCACACCCGGCATTCTCACGGACTTCTCGCCCCGTGACCTAATATAATGTTTGGTCATGTTCTCTGTAAAGGCAAAGCGTTCTATCGTGACAGGACTAGAAGGCAAAGATTTGACTTGTTCATCGAACCACTCGAAATCCTCGCCGCATTGTACTTTGAGAAGGTCAAAGTGGCTAATGGCTAGACAGTTGAGGAACTCTGGTTTGATAACCTCTGAAAGCAACGGCCGAAATCCGGCGGTAGCTCCCACTGTAACGAAGCATTGCCGGCCTTCCATGCTGGTTTCCTCGATCAAAGTCATGTTATTATCACTGCGGTTGCTGCTCGTCTGCTCTTCGCCGAGCTTTGGGCGTTTGGCTTCGCCTTCTCCTTTGCTTTCCTTGCGAATTTCCAGACCCTCACCAGAACTTGTAGAAGATTCCCGAGAGCTGATTGTTGTGATTGCGCTGGCGTCCCGTTTCTGTCCAGCAATCTGTTGCGTGTCTGTTGCCTCAGTGTCGGTGGTATGCTTTGTTGTCGTCAAGTGATCCATTTCGTCCGTGGTGCGTGGGTCAGTAAGGTGTCGTCTAGGTAGATATTCGTGAACCAAGAGGGCAATCCCAAATGACATTTGATATCCAATAAAAACGCGTGAGAATGATAGATCTTGTTGGGTATGTGTGTTCGAGTAAATGAAGGGATGTGAAGTATGCAGTGTGAGGTTAATGCTGAATGTTGAATCGAACAAGGGGGTGCGGTAAGGGTACCTGATCACGGTACCTGTGAGGGAGGTACCTGAAGCTCGACCAGACACTTATTACTGGTGGGTCGCGGCGGAGAAGGTACTCGTAGCGAGGTATCTCGAATCTGGGGAAGCTACAGTTGTTAAACTGTGGCGGGGTACCTCTCTCCAGCGCTGTCTTTCTGTGGCTTACGCTCTCCTCCGGACCCCTCCGGCTATGCTGCCCGCCCGCAATTGAGGCTGAGCCCAAATTTTTTGGATAGCTCTGGGCGCGATTGCGAGAAGCCCGGCGCCCGAGCGCCCGTGTCTCCGTCCCGAGTTGTTGCTCGGTCGCCCTTTGCTATCGAGCCCCGATCCCGACTCCCCCCGCGCGCCAGATTCCCACACACCAAGCTGCGTCACGGCCGCCCCTCCTCCGTCCGGATACCACAAACGACGACCCCCCGGGATGGCTTCCTCCGCCAATGCGCTCCGGCTCGGTCTCCGGACATGCAGTCGCCAAACACAAACATCCAATCTCCGCATCGCCGCCATCCAGCGCCGGGCCCTCTCCGCCACTGCGACACGATGTGAAGGCGTCCCCGTACCAAAGAGGGAAGATGACGCCAAACTCGAGTTCACCCGCCCCTACAACCCCGGCGAATTTCTGTCCGAAAAGCTGAGGTCGGACGACCTTCAAGACTGGGAGCGCGAGCGCTACGAGCGCGCCCTCACCTCGTGGGAGCAGACGCCCGACGATCTCAAGAGGGGGTGGTCGACCATGATCAGAGACATTGAGCAGGCGGCGGCGCCGCTAAGAAGGGTGGTCATGCCCAGGAGATCCACTTTCTGGTACGAGGAGGAGAAGGACACGGATCTCATCACCAACGAGGACGGCGAAGACGACTTCCACGAGAACGACATTATGAGTTTGGGTCACGGCAAGCTGGAGGAGCACCGAGAGTTCCGCGAGTATGCGCGCATCGCCGTCTGGGAGATGCCGCTGCTGTCCAAGTACGCCAAGCCGTTCGTGCCGCCGACGAGCGAGGAGGTCTTGCGCTTCCGCTACACCACATACATGGGCGAATTCCACCCCGCCGACAGGAAGGTCGTAGTTGAGTTCTGCCCCAAGGATCTCCGAGACCTCAGCGAGGTCCAGCAGCGCAAGCTTATGAAGCTGGCCGGACCCCGTTACAACCCCGAAAAGGATATTATCAAGATGAGCTGCGAGAAGTTTGAGCACCAGGCCCAGAACAAGCGCTACCTTGGCGATTTGATTGAGAAGATGATTGCTGCTGCCAAGGTACTGTTTGCATTGCGCCCTTTTTTTTTTTTTTTTTTTTTCTGGTATGGTCATCCCAAATACAGTTGCTAATGAAACCCCTCTACTACTACTATAGGATCCCAAGGATACCTTCGAGGACATCCCTCTTGATACCCGTCACCACACGTTCACCAAGAAGATCTCGTTCCCCAAGGAGTGGCTCCTCACGGAGGAGCGCAAGAAGGAGCTTGAAGCCGCCAGGCAACAGGCCCTTTTGAAGGATGCTGAGAAGGTTGTCCAAGGCGCATTGGTGGATGGCGCTGATGTTGTCAAGCAGTACCTGGAATCTGGCGCTGCTGAGGCTCTGCACGCCGTGCCTGTCATGGCGGGCCGCGGCGGCAAGGCTCTTCCCGGAGGCAAGGGTGGAAAGATGCAGCGCAGCAAGAGGTGAGGTGAGGTGGAGCGACGATGAAGCAAGAGGGGTAAGTGTGTGCTGAATGAAAGAAATAAACGAATGAAGGGGCGAAGCCAGGGAGGGCTGGACTGGGAAAAGAACAGGCAGCCAATTTTATGTTACGGCTGTTGCTGGCTTCGCTCCCGCAAACTGAGTTTGTTTCAGCCAGTGAAGCTTCTGGGGCGGAAAGGGGAAGCTGGCTAGTGTATGAAAATCTAGTGTACACCATCTGTCTGTATTAACATGTGAAGAAAGTCTGGCAGGCTTCGGGACGGACAAGAAGAAGTAAGCGGTGCCTCTTTACAGTTGCATGCCATGCCCATTGACGAAGGTCGGTCAAGTGGAAAGACGATGTTCAAACGCACGAAACAAAGATGATCTAAAGCCCAAATGAACGACATCAACTTTCCGAACGGAACCGAACCGTAATACGATACCCCGTTTCCCCATATTCAAGATGACGGCCGGCATCATTTCGGTATTTTCGCGCCGAGATGGTCGCGCTTATACCGGATAGCGGCATATCTGTGGCATTCTTCCAATTTGGAAGCGCGCGGTTATGGCAAGGACTTTGTGGCTGTCTTGCCATTGGTTTGGGCCGACAGCAACGCCAAAGAAGAGCCTGAGACAAGCCACAACCCCAGGATCATTCCTCCGAGAGTTGATCCTTATCCGCGGCAATTTTCATTCCAGTCTGGGATTAGAATTTAGTCATTCCGCTTGAAATGCTCGGCCAAGGACCAAGTGAACGGGATAAATACGAGAAAACCAAGTACCTACTCATTGGGCTGGCATATTTGGCGACCCTAGCCCTGACGAATGTGTACAACATGCCACGCGGCGGGAATACACCAGAGGTAACTTCCGTTCCGTCAGTAGATGTGGCGGTCTTAACGTTCGCTCAACCCAACTCTTGTTGTGAATGCGTACTTAGTTTCCTACTTTAAACTCGTCACACACGCATTGTTATTGGGTTGTACCCGGATCTGGGATATCCTCTCTCAAGAAATTTGGTTGGAAGATGACGCCGTGTCACACTTCGGAGCTTACACACAGCGGGGGGGAAAGCTCGAAGGTCTTGGATGTCATGAGCCAATCACTAATATCAGCTAGTGGTGGTACGTAAAGAGAATCTGGTGTCTGCACTAGCCAGGGCTAGCTACTACAGGATATTGAACATTCAAGAGGATATTCAAAGTATTATTGTGTAACCCCATCAACGGCAACGTGCTTCCCCACAGCTGGACACCGAATTCGATGATGCAGGGGTTGAACCTCAAGGTCAGACGGTACCTACCTTAGGTAGTGTGGCTCGGGGTTGCACCCAAGCCATTCCCTTGGCGTGCACATCGACGCCGCCTCGGCCTCGCACTGGCCCCTTTCGTCTTGGTACCTGACGTTCCTGGCGTTCCTGGCGACTGGGTGTGCAAAAATGAGACAAGACCCTTGCTTGCGGTGCATCCGCAGAATCTCATCTTCGGCCACTCTTCTCTGGGCATCTCCTCGCTCCCATTTCACTTGATCCCTTCTCACCAATTTTTATGTGTCTTTTCTGCTCTGTTCGGCGGCCCTCCCCTGGCATTCCCTTACATACCACGTTCCTTCATGTTCGTTCCAATCGTAGAAGGTGTTTCATCTGGATACGCGCAAAGGGATTTGCCCAGTCTCTCATTTTATTTCCGTCTGTCTCTCTTGGGACTCGCAGCCAGCGAGTCGCCTACAATAGCAATCAACAACATCAGCCACCAAGTCCTTCACTTGACTTTCATCCCGTCTCCCAATTGAACTACCTCGGCCACAATAGCAATCGGGTCGACCATAACTTGCGACGTCGCAAGCACGCAAACCCACTTTTGACCTGGCGATCAAACGTCAATCCGGTCGCCGTGGCCCACGGTCCCTTCTCCAATCCTCGAAACTCAACCTGTCGATCCGGGCTCATCACTGCCCATCACTTTGCCAATCGCTGGCCCCGTCCCCGTCCTCTGCGCACGCCCTCCGCAGTCTGCACCCCGCGAACGAGCCAACGAGTACACAATCAGTCAATCATCGAATTAGTCGGACATTTGAATTGCTCGCTTGCTTGCTTGCTTGCTTGCTTGCCGCCCGCATGCAGGCTGAACCTTCCCGATTCCAATCCGCAGACGCACGCAAATCCTCGGCGGCGCTTCCACAACCATTCTGAACCACCTGCGGCAATGCGACTCCAGTTGGAATAGGGCTCGACGGTTCCTCCACACAGCGAAGGAAACGACCCACTCATTCACCAACCAACTGCTTCTTCTCCTTCTTCTTCTTCTTCTTCTTTCTTTACATCGATTATCCTTTCTCTTCTTTCCACTCTCCAAGTTCATCGTCGTCGTCGATACCTTCATCGACGTCACGAATCTGGAGTGTCTTACCCCTTCACAGAGGTAGGCACAGTCAACACCATCGCTGGACGAGGGACGACTTGTGCCGACGGCGGGTCCGGGAGCATTCCACTCATAATCTTCTTTACTCTTTTCGGGTTTATTTCAATTGGTATCGACTGTGTCGATTGACCTAACTCTCCTTTCTTTACTCTTACCCGACTAGGACTTCTTTTGGGCAGCTCTACTTGCCCTTCAACTTGTTGACAAGATGGGGTTTTTTGATTTGTTCCGGCGAAAGGTGACTGTCCAACCGGAACAAAAGTGGGATTTTATCGTGAGCCTCCCTTACCCAGAAGCCAATTGATGGTCTCTTGCATCTACTAACCGCCATCAAGAGTCTTAATGACTTCAAATCCACATCAGTCTTCACCCCTTTAGCGTACGCCTACCTATGGGTTTCCATCTTTATCTCGTGCGCCGTCTACATCGTCGATATTTTCACCATGGTTCAACTGTTGGCTTTCCAGAAATGGTCTTCTCAGGTTCAACCAACCTCACTCATTCCTATCGTCGTATCAAAGTGGATTTTCACCATCTGCATTATCCTTTCTGCGGTCAACCTCATATACGAGCATATTCGTGCCAACCGAGCTATGCGCAGCGGAAGTGTCGCCGAATCCTTCCTTGATCACCTGGCTGCGAAACTCGAGAGTTTGCGAATTTTTGGCGGAAAAGGATGGAAGCGGTTCCTGGTTTTCGCCGCGTTGACCGAGAGTAAAAAGGGCGCTGAGTATATTGCACTGTTCTGCTACTTCAACTTCCAATGTAAGCCTCCCTCATCACCCCTCCCCCTTTTGTTGCCGTTGACCCAAATCATACTCATCAACGTGCCTATTAGCATGGATCCGTGTCCTTTTCTGTTCTGGACCTCGACAGGTTGTCAACGCATTCACCCTATACTCTTTTTACAACAGTAACCTCAGAGTAGATGGGCAGGATTTTGGAACCTCGATGATGGATTTCTTCAGAAAAATCGAGGCTTTTGCTGAGAACGACTACCGCCAAGCTGCTACTCTATCCGGCATGTGCTTTACACTGCTCATCTGGATCTTCTCATTCCTACAATTGCTGCTCTCCGGAGTCCTCTTCGTCTGCTTCTTGTGGTGTTATATCCCTCGTGCGGATGGCGGCTTGACTGGATTCTGCGAGCGCAAGGTCAACAAGCGCTTAAAGCAGATTGTGTCGGCCAAGATCAACGCGGCAATGGCCGAGGAGGAAGAAAAGAGGAAGAAGGCGCAAATGAAAGCGGCCAAGAAGAAGGGCGAAGATAGGCCGATGACAATGAAGGCGACACTACCGAATGTCGGCGCTAGCGTTGAAAGCAAAACCGAGAAGTTGCCCGAAATGCCATCGCTCAGCAGGCAAGATACGATGGCTACACTTCCGGCCTACACCTCTCGACCCTCCACCCCGGGGGGCTACGAGCTTGGGTCGATCGAAAAGAGACCGATGCCGCCATCCCGTGCAGGAACCTTTGCGACGCAATTCTCTGGCGCCTCCAGTACGTCACTCATCGGGGCAGCTGCCGAGCCCGCTAGGCAGCGCGCCAATGATGCTCCTACTGTTCCCAAGATCGATATATATAATATCCCACCGACAAGAACAGCAACTATGCTTTCACAGAGCAGCTATGGAACTGCGTCGCAGTCGAACTTCGAACCGCGTCCTCTTGGTAGGGCCGCTACTGGGCTGTCTAACTACGATACTGCGTCGTCGCAGTCAGACTTTCAACCTCGTCCCCCTATTAGAACGGCCACTGGGATATCCAACGTCAGTTCTGTGCCTTCACAGCAACCGAGCTTTCAGCCACGGCCACTTACAAGAGCTGCGACTGGCATGTCCAACATGGGCCCTGGGCCTCAGTCGCAGTTCCAGCCGAATCAGCCTCGGCCTTTTACTCGGGCTGCGACTGGGTTGTCTAACACGAGTGCTGGACCCCAGTCCCAAGCGGACTATCAGCCTCCTAGGGCTGGAACAGTTCCACCCCAGAACAACTTTAGACCTGGCATGCAACAGCCACCTCCTCCTAGGGCTGGAACAGCCCCTCCAAGAAATGATTTCGGGCCTCCAATGCAACAGCCAAATTCCACGTTTGGACCTGGCTACACTGATAGTCCCGCGACTTACTCGACCGCAACGATGCCCGCTTTCCAGCTACCCGCTAGGGCGCCGACTGCTCCTCCGATGAGCTATTCTAACAACAACTACAGGGGCGCCGAGCCGAGACCGATTGAGCGTGCGTATACTGGTAACGTCGGAAACCAAAGTCAATACGACAACTTCTCGGCAGGTAGCCATGTACCTCGAACCAACAACCCCTATGGTGGTTTTAGTGGCCACATGTCGAACGGGTACGATCAGGATGGCTACGGTGGTGGTTACGGCCAGGATATCTATAGGCAGGACAATTACGGACAACAAGGTTATATGTATGATGATAACGGCCATGACAACTACGGGCAGGATGGCTATGGGTATCCAGCGCAGAACAACTCACAGATGCCTCCAAGGCTGGGAAGCGCTCCACCACCACAGACGCAACCAGGATACCAACCGTACATTCCCCAGAGGACCATGACCGCTCCGCCGGAGGGGCAGCCCTACTATCACCATCAGCAGAAACCTAGCAAGAGTTCTCTGAGTAGTGTGGCTGAACTACCAGCTGAATTGCCGGTCGAAACCTCGAGTGAACAGCTGCCCCCCGCCAGAGCAGGAAGTGTCACCTCAGATTATCTCGAGTACATGATGGACGGCTCGCCTAGCTCGAGGAAGACGGATGCTCCTCCCAAGACGAGAACTGGAAGCGTAAGCAGCCAGGGCAGTAGTGGTGCTGCTACTCAGGAAACCAAGAGTAGCGGGACGCACTCTAGGCAAGGAAGCGCCGGTAGTGTTTCCAAGGCTGTTGGTGCTGGCAATAATAGCACAAGCAGCAGCAGGAAAGGAAGCGTGGCTTCTTCCGTCAGCAGTAGCAGCAGTTCTCATCAGAGGCAAGGCAGTGTCGGCAGCGTTGCATCTACTGCTTCTTCTCGTCGAGATCCGGAGACTACTACTGCTCATGCCAGGCAAGCCAGCAACGATAGCGTCGCTGCTACCCCATCTCCCGCCAGCCGTGAGGATTACTTGGCCAACAACACCCTTGCTCGACAAGCAAGTAACGATGCTGCTTCCAGTGATCACCTCGGTGGTAACAGCGATAATGATGTCAGGCCAGAGAGCAGCGCCAGCAACAGCCGCGCTACGGCACAGCAGCAGGAGGAGGAAGATGAAGAGGACGATTACTTCGGCATCAACCGCGCTCTCTCTCAGGACCAGCAACAGCGCCAGCAGCCCGCCTCTTCTGACCGCGAAGTCGACAACGACGCCGAAGATCTTTTCGGCCCCACCACCTTCGGCAACACCTTTATGCGGACCAACACGGCTCCCATTGCTTTAGACAGCAACAGTAGTGATGGTGATATCAGACCGATAGCAAGGACGGCTACTGCTCCTGCTTTCCTTCAGCATCCACAACAACCGCAACAGCAGCAGCAGCACCAAAAGCAGGATGAGGATGAGGACTATTTCAGCCAACCGAGCTATCAATCGAGCTACCAACCGAGCTACAACAATTACAACAACAATAACGTCAATAACTACAATCAAAGTAACAACACTATCAATAGCAACAACAATAATAGCAACTACCACAACAATAACGGATGGAACGAGGACATTGAGCGAGGAGAAAGGATCATGGACATGAGGCAGAATCAGATACCCCACAACAATGGAGGAGGAAACGGAGAAAACGGACGATATGCCGGAGGGGGGTATGGAGGACAAGGAAGGGGAGGAGGAGATTATGACTATGATGGTAGTGGTTACGGTGGTGGCAGATGGTAGTGTGTCTTTGAGCTATCTTACGCCCAACCCAACTGCCTAAACAAGATATTACTGTTTACAGTATGTTTTGGTTCAGTTGGTAACTGGTAATTACGAACAACAGCAACACTGTGTATTTTTCTTTCTTGCTTCCTCTACAAAAACCTCGTTGGTTTTATTAGTTTATGATAGGCACGCACAATACCCCTGTTTCTTTGTGTTTACCAACTGCACAACGCTTATAGATGAAAGACGGCGAACAGAAAGGCGGGTATAAGGATATCATACTAACTGACTTCTTGGGAAAGCACAACGATGCAAAACTACCTGATACTGGCGTAAACATGTAGGGTATCCTATCTCAATCCCCTTTTCTTCTTCCCTTCTAATGAATGAATGCCAAACAATGCTAGTTTGTCCCATCCGCTTGACCTTACCATAGTGGCTAGGATGAGTGTCTTCTGGCCTCCTCCTCTTTCCCTTTGCAAGGTGTCATTACGATTACCCCTTCTCATGTCCTAACCGACTCCTCTCAAACAATGCTCGGGCGAGGCTAGGTTATTTCCCATCAAGACAATCCGAAATCTCCTTCGAGTACTTTTCCTTCACCGCTCTCCTATTAATCTTTTGCGTAGCAGTAACAAAACCCTATCATGAAAATCTGTTAGTATCATTATCGCCATAAATCGTGTCATCACGGACCGAGAGAAAACAATAAATAAAAAAGAACTCACATTCACCGGCGTCCACTCATCATCAACCAACACCACGCCCGCCACCGTCTCCATTCCACTTAACCCAGCCCTCCTCCCCACACTCTGCAACTCCTTCAAAACCGCATCCCTCAACTTCCTATTCCTGTGCATCTCACCCGGCGCTTCCGCGCCTAGTCCCAACTCCTTTGCTTTCTCTGTCAACGCCTTCTCATTAGGTACCACCACCGCGATCGGCCTCGGGGCACTATTGTCACCATGCACCATAATATTATGCACAAATACCGCTCCTCTATACACAGCCTCGAGTTTCTCCAGGGCAATGTACTCGCCGCCCTGGAGCTTGACGAGGTTCTTGACGCGGTCGATTACCCGCAAATGGCCGTTGGCGTCGATCTCGCCAATGTCGCCGGATTTGAACCACCCGTCGGGGGTGATGGCTTTGGCGGTTTCTTGGGGGTTTTCGTAGTACTCTTTTATGACGCAGGCGCCACGGAAGAGGATTTCTCCCTGGGGCGGAACCGTGTCGGTGTGGTAGTTGAGTTCGGGGAGGGAGACGAGTTTCATTTCCACGGCGGCGGGCATCGCGCCGATGGCGTTGGAGGTCCATTGCATGGGGGAGCCGAGGGCGCCGTTGCCGCAGGTCTCGGTTAGGCTGTTTTTGACTTGGTGAGCAACGCGTTTTTAACAAAGTGAAATAATACTGATTTAAGACAGACAGAAAATCACTTACCCATATCCGTTTAGCATGGGCGCAACCACCATGGACATGAAATGCTGCGTGGAGGCGGCGATACCACTGGCGCCGTTGACAATGAAGCGCAGCTCGCCACCCGTCATGGTGCGCACCTGGCCAAAGACGAGATCATCGAAGATGGTCTTTCCCGGTAGGTTATTGGAGACGAGGAAGGACTTGATGTTGTAGGCGCCCCAGAACAGGGCCTTGGTGAGGGCGCCGGCGCTGTTGACCTTGCCCTCGATGCCCTTCTTGACGGTCTCCCAAACCTGCGGAACGCCAACCATGATGGTGGGCTTGAAGGCGCGCATGTCGCCCGGGCAGTTGCGCATGCTGGTGTCGGAAAGGGTACGGGCATTTGAGTACCCAAGGGTTCCTCCAACGAAGACGCCGAGGTTCTCGAGGACGAGTTCGAAGATGTGGGCAAGCGGCAGGTAGGCGAGGACTCGGTCGCGGTGGGTGACGGATTCCTCCATGACGGCGTAGAGACCGGCTACGGCGGCGACAAAGCCAGCGTGACTGACGGGAACGCCCTTCGGTGGACCGGTGCTGCCGGAGGTGTACATGATGCAGTAGGTATCGTCCGGATTGGGGGGTGTGAGTGGGACGGGGTTCTCTTCGCCGAGAGCACGAAGCTCTTCGAAAGAGAGCACGGTAAGGTCCGGGTGCTCGGCCTTGAAGGCATCAATCTTGTCTTGGGACACGGGCTGCGTAGTGTGGTTGTTGTAGATGACGACCTTGACGGATGTAGCCTCCTTGAGCGGGTTCGTAGCTGTCTTGAGAAGGTGAGGGTCGGTGAACATGGCGCTCGCCTTGCTCTGGACAAGGGAGTGTTGGACGCCGCTCTCACCGAGGGTGTCGTATGCGGTAACAATGGTGAGAGACTGGGACGAGGCGGCATGCGACATGCCGAGCCATTGGGGGCTGTGGTGTGCATAAAGACAGCATTAGCAAAGTGCAGATGCAAGAAGGAGTAGGTAAAAAGTGGGAGCGTACCTCGTAGTAGCAAAGATGTGCAATTTGTCCTTGGGTTCCAAGCCGAGCTTGCGAAGACCAGCGCCTGTCTGCTTCACGATGGTGAAATATTCTCCATAGGTGATGTACGAATACGGAGTAAGCTCAAAGTACTGCCATTCCTTGTCCACCATGACGGTCTCGCCGTCGACGACCTTGGGGACCTTTTTGATGTCCTTGTGAAGCTTGATCAGCTTGCGGCTTCCTATGGCGCGCTCATCACCGTACAGCTCCACGGTTCTAGTAAGGAGGTCTAGAGTGGTGTTGACTCCGGGGGCAGGGCGAGTCGCGAGGCCATTCTTAGCCTTGGGATGTCGGCGGGGAATGGTCTCGCCTGGGATCGGTTGGGCATTGGGGTCCTCGACGGTAAAGGGAGGTTTCTGAATGAAGTGCAAAGGCACGTTTCCGGGCCCTGTGTTCGCCATGGTAGTCAAGTTGTGTGTGATGAATTCGAGTGGTTAGAGGAGGAGGAGGTGTTGCCCGAGGGTATTATACAGATAGGTCATTAGGTCGGGTCGGGCCGAGGCTTGTGGAAGTGTCAATCAAAGCGGAACCGGGAGACGGTCAAGGATTGTTGTTGGGCCGGGATTGCGAATAGGGTAGCTGTCAGACGTGTATCCGACATGGAGTCAGGCAGCTTGTTGAGGTTGAAGTAAAAGCGAAATTGATTGCTCCGAGCCAGAGTGCTCAGACGGTAAGTACCTAAGGGAGAGCTACGGCTGTCGCGGATGGTCTCTTCCGTTGTTGCCGTCGTGTGACAACTTGACGGACATACTACTGTAGAGGATGTACGTAGAAGAGGTTCACAATAACCTGGAATTAGGGAGTGGAGAGGACGTGGACCGTGTTGTCCAACGTTACGGGGTGTACACTTACAGTACATGACGGTTGTACAGATGACCTCAGTAGAACATGCTGCTGACATTCAAGGCAACACGTATCTTCGTGGGCCATCATCATCATCATCATCATCATCAAGATTCGGTTGTCGAGGTCCGCTCGTCTCACTTCCGGCGACCGCGTCACCTACCATCCACTTTGTGCCCCGCGGCGCCGTGTGACGTCGCTTTGCATCGATGTAAGCTCGCTGGAAAGTTCATTAGCACGGGACTTCACTACCTAGGTATGTAGGTACTCTGCTCAACAGCCTCAACTCGGGCAACCACCACCACGGCACTTCATCGATTGTCAAGCAAAGAGTTAGGTTGGTACTCACTCTGTACCTCTACGTTTCGAGGATTTCAGAGTCTCTCCAACTTTTTTGCCTTGAAGGAGGTTGTTTCGTTCCTTTTCCTTACACATTGTTTTGCAGACCCCTGCCACAAGAACCGCGCTAACAAACGAACCAGCATTGAGCTGTGAAAGCTCCATTGTCACGAGCTTCAAACTGTCAGTGGGTGCCACTAAAACGAGCGGAGGCTGTCAGCGGCTTAGCACGGTAAGCACTTGTAAACAGACTAAGTAACAGGGGTCCTATAACTTTAAATTCGTTGAGTGCTCTGTTCCATTCCGAGCTGCCTGCCGAGGCATCTCCAACTGAGAACATCCACATTGACGACTTCGTTCCTTGTTCAAGAGAGGAAAAGCGGAAGCATGTGAAGTTTCTTAGTGAGGACCGACGGGGAATATATCTTTGAACGAAACACAATGCACGGTGGACAGGCTGGAGTTCTGACCTTGCTCAATCCGGATTGCACCAACTATCAACACCAGTAATGAATTGTAGCCCTCCTCGCTTCGTAGCTTGCTGACAGAAGCTGCTGTTAATTTGGTTAACGCTGCCTAGCCTGGACGATATGATTCATGATTGGGTAGACCAGCATCAACATAGCCTCTTTTCACCAAATCCTTCACCATTGACGGCACAACATGGTTGCCTCCACACCATCACCGACTTGCTTTTATTCCCAACAAGATCGCCAAGTTTTGGTGATGGCTGCCTCACTGTTTCCTGTTGGGATTCACTACGTACCTTTGGACATTCGCGCCTGGGCCAGAAGATATCCAGATGACCGGCTTTGGAAACAACACGCCAGAAGGGTTCAAACTCCCTGAGCAGACTTTCAGCTTCGATACCCTTGAGAATCACTTCCTCACACCATCTGACATCGGCCACGCTTCGCACAACAATGCGTATACACAAACCCGTTACTCCAGCTCCGACTCCGTCTCCGGTTCGGGCTGCGAGTCGACCTCGGACACCACCGTCTCCGCAACCGTCACTGTGCGGCGTAACAAGCCCATCCCGCGAAAAGGTCACACCAAATCCCGACGTGGTTGCTATACCTGTAAACGCCGGAGAGTCAAGTGTTCCGAGAAACTGCCCGAGTGCGACAACTGCACCCGCATAGGCCTGATTTGCGAATATCCCGAACCGCCCAACCCGTCTGCTCTGTCACGTTTGGTCACTAGATCAGGAACAGGACAGCAAGCTCGACTGGCCAATTCTTCACCAGCAATGATCCTGCAACAAAATCCCACTTCTCTCGCCCCTGTATTCACCATGGAAGACCTCCGCTTCTTCCACCACTTCCTAATTGCCGCTTACCCGCCTCTCCCCGTACAAGCACACAGTGTCTGGGATAATGTGGCAGCTTTATCCCATGGTTACGACTACCTAGTCCACGCCATGCTCGGCCTGGCCGCCTCACACCTCTCCCTTGTCACCTCCTCCCCCTCTTCCTTCTGCTCATCCCGCTCCTCCGGCTCCCAAGCAGCCCTCTCTCATCGAATAAAGTCCATCTCCCTCCTCAACCGCTCCCTCAGCACGCCCTGCTCTTCGCCAGCCGAAGGCGACGCCCGCTTCGCTTCCATTCTGATTCTTGCCTTCCAGGCAAGGTGCTTACCGGACGGCATGACCGAGTTCCTGTCCATGATCAGGCTGTGTAGCGTCATTGCTGGTGCGGGCGAGAACTCGATCTTCAAGGATTTGGCGGAGAGAGGGTATTTGGATAGCATGAGGAAGATGACGGCCAAAACGAAGGCGGAGGAGCTGTCAAGGAAAGGGTTCATGTTGGAGCCGGAGCAGGAGAGGTTGGTTGATGGGTTTCTGGCGAGTTTGGGGAGACTTAGGGTCAGGATACTGGAAACGGGAAGGAGGAATGAGGATGGGGAGGAGGAGGGCGTGGGCTCGGGCTCAGGCCAGGACTTGGGCTTGGGCTTGAGCTTGGTCGAAGAAAAACAAGAAAGGGGGAGGGAATTGCAGATGAGGATATTGGAAGGGTTGGAAGACGCTGCAAAGACGACTAAAGTGTCACCGGCTGAAGGTCAGTGTTGCTCTCGACCCCCTTGTCCCCCTTCTTTGCCTCATCTTTATCTGTCGGTGCTTTGCGAATCCAGGCAAGCTGTGAAGCTGACTGACCATCCGCACTGCAGCGTTCCGAGAATTAACAAGCCTTTACTCGCACATGATTAGAGCTTCAAACGCCGATTTTGCCTTCATCACCGACCCTGCAAATTACCGAGCCCAGATTCTTATTCTGCACTTCTTTCTTATGGAACATGCTCTGGGCGATCTGAGTCTGGGCGCCTTCCGGTCGCGCTTCGGATTTCGACGAAAGGTCTGCTTTGCCTGGCTAAACGAGGTCACTACGCGGTTACCCAAAACAACCGAATACGCCGAGCTGATAGAGTGGCCGCTGGAGTTTGGGCAAAAGTTTTTAATTCCAAGGGAGTCCATCTGATGGGAGTGTACGGCGGTCAGGAAGCCCTGCAGAGAATGCAACTTGACATCAATTCGTTGGTCATTTTTCAGCATCACCTAGAGGTACATGTCCAACTTCTTTACGAAAACCATGTAGTCTCTCCTCGCACCCAAGTCGTAGATCTCTCCGTTCAGTTACGTTTAATATTCGTTCCAATATTTAACTGATTTTAATCACCTGCTCGTATCATGGAATTGCCCTGCCATGCAATAGACTGGCTAGCGGTTCAAGAATAGAGAGCTGGTGGCTTCAGAGACGCGCATCTTGCCCGGAGAGACTGAGAGGTCTGGGTCAGGATGAGGAAACACATTGGAAGTGAAGAAGGATGAAACTGGACGGCAACAGCAGGTACATATTAGAGTTAAGATTCACTCAATAAGGAGAACTGCACGAAACATGGGAATGACTAGAGGTATTTCATTAAGTGCTCGTCGGAAGGAAAGATCCAGGAGAGACAATGCGCGCCGAGCTGAGTGAACAGACAATGGTTTGGTAGTGAGTGGGCGACGACTGCCACAGCTCGATAAGAGAAAGAACAAACTCAGAAAATGACCGAGACCAAGGGCGAAAAAAAAAAAAAAAAAAAAAAAGAACATACAACACCAGGGATTCGCTGGTCGTCACCGACCCAACTAGTAGTCTGGCCCTCACTGGCTTATCTATGGGAGAGCGGACGGGATCCCGAGTTTTCCAGTGGGTATGGTCGTATGTGACAGAACTTCCATAGCTGTGTGCCTTATATTCATACCTTTGACTTTGTAGATGACGATTATGCTTTCTTGTTCACCCATCAACCGTGCGATTACCGACACGTCGCAGCGAACAATGTGGCGAGTCGCCCACCTTAAAGCATAAGTACCAACAGGGGCATCATTGCCTTTTATCGTTGGAAAACGTTTCTGACTTTTTCACGGGGCGATCTTACTTCTTCTCCTCCACATCCTCTTCCCTCTCCCTTTTTCGTCCGCCGCCACCACTCCCGGCTGCAGCAGCATCTCCTCCCAGAAGCTCCTCACCCAACCCTTCCAAGAAGTTATCCGCCATCTTTCTTGCCCTCCTCTCCTTGATCTCCTTCCTCCTCTCTTCAATCTCTCTCTTCCTCTTCTCCAAGATTTCCTCCCGCTCCCTCCTCTTCTCCTCCGTCTTCTTGCGTTCTTCCTCTAGCGCCCTCATTTCCTCCTCTCTCTTCTTCTCGTCCTTGCTGAACTGGAAAAATCCCACACCCTTGGTGCGGATCTCCCAGTTCGCGTCGTAATGGGTCGGCGGAGGCGGCGTCGCGCTCCTGTCGCGCTTGGCGGCTAGCTCATTGATAGTTTCCAACCGGTCCGCAGTCACAGTGGCGGCAAAGGCTTCCGTCTGGATGGTATCGCCTACGATCAGCTGCTCGGGCTCGGCAGGGCGAGCGGACATTTGCGTGAGTTCGGCGGCGGAGGAGCGGGAGCGCTCCAGCTTGGCCTTTTGGGCTGGCGTGACGAGGCGGGTGCGGCCAAAGTCGTCGGTGTACTCTATTAACTCTTCCTTTTCTTCCTCGGACCCTTCATCCTCTGATGAAGATGACACCTCGCCAGTGTGGCCTGTTTTCTTCTCTTGCTCCTCCGCCCATTTCCGATCAAAGTCAACCAGGCCGATTTCCTTGCCGATATAATCCCCGCGTTGCATGGCGGCATAGAGACGGGCCTTGTGCTCCATATTCCGGCGGGCGCGTTCAAGCTCCCTCTTCTCATCTTCGGTGCCCACGGGCTCTTTGAGCGTCAGCTTGCCGTCTCTGTCCTCGTTAACGGTCTTCGCGCCAGGCTTAGTCTTCTTTTTCACCCCAGAAAAGATGTCCTTGCCAGCTTTAGAGGGCCGCGCACGACCGGTTGTGGCTGTTGTGCTGGCAGGTGATGATGTTGATGACGCTGAGGACGCGGCGAGAAGTGAGCTAAGCTGGGACGAGAAGGTTAGAGAACCAGAAAGATTCAACTCCTTCTTTTGTTTCTTGGGCGCTGGTTGCCCGTAGAGATTCGGATCTTGCAGAGGCATTATTTCGGAAGTTTGTGTGTTTCTCGCCGTGTTGATGCGCAGATATCTGGAAAGCCGAAGCCTCGTTGGGTGAGTTTCAAGGCTGCCCGTGCAGTTGATATTTCAAGTAATGTGTTGGAATAAAAATGACTATACGATCTCGATTCCTCCGATCCACGGTTGCAGGGTTATGAGCTCTGGAATCTAGGGTAGGATTTGCGTATGATTAAGTTTCGAGCTGCAGTGCCGTTGTGAAAGAATGGCGACGGGAAGTTTCAGTTGTGAGCAGGTCGTGCCGGTCCAGGCTTCCGAGAATAGAAGCAGTCACAGCACTGAAGCTCTATCAATTATCAGTAGCGTGTGTCATCTCCGTGGAATCTGGGGTTGTTCGCCCCGCACTGTAAGCGCAATGGAAGCAGGATGTTGCGGGACCCTTTCCTTTTCAATACAGCCTTACATACCTGGTAACGCCAGTGAACAATACCATACATAAGTAAGCATGTAAATTACACTCTCGACATGATGGGTGTTAGTTACCTATTGTCAACGCCCCAGCATTATCCATCGCAAGACAAGAGGTGGTCAAGCACGTATTGCCCCTGTGACTGGTTCTGTCTGTGACGTGGAAGGAGAAAAAGGGCGTCATAACTGTTTTCTGTTTGGACGAACCTACCACCCACTCATTGTCCTCTCCACCCGATCGAGCGGTGCTAGACTGCTGAGTTTGCCAGTGGTGGCCTCGCCCCTGAAGTGTCAATGTCAACCTAATGCTTCCACCTCCATTCTGAGAAACTGTCATGGTGTCCCACCTTTCCAATCAGTCATGGATTCCATGCCTTTAACCTTGGGTACCCCGAGTTGTGCCTGTCTACATACAGGTAGCTTGTAGCCCAACTTAAACCTTATCTCCGCCGATCTCCTTTTCTGACCACAACAACGAACTGAACCCCAACACGCCTTCTTCCTCATCCTCCCCGCCTTTAACTGCATTTGTTTTATGTCACACTGCGTCCACGTTCTGCGTTTTTCCTGGATGTAACACCTTGATACCCGGCATTCGTTATCTACAATCCCAGACACTTCATGTGCTGCTCCCCGCGTTCTACTTCACGCATCGCTTTCCGGTACTCGTTGGCTTCAGTTTTTCCGACAAGCGACATCACTGATCTGCAACAAACAAAGGGCGCTTACCACTTCTTCCTCATTGACCTCTCTGCTCACCTCACATCGGATTTGGCTTCCTGGTGGGAAGTTTATCTTGTCCTCCAAACACCGAGTCACGATAATGATCAGCTTCGAATCCAACCCGAACTATTAGACAAGGCAGCCACCCGACACTTACACCACCTTGTCTTCCCATCGACGTGCTGTGCCTCCTTGACCGAGGTTCAGCCCGGACAACAACGACAACGGCCACAACAACAACAAAAGCTAGAAACATATATATAAATATATCCTACAGCTACGAATACTTCAGACACTCTGAGAGCTGCATCCACTTGCGGCCTGCACCCAGGAAAGATCTCCATCAAAAGTATCATTATTCCAATTTCGGCTGCTGTCCGCGTCCCTCGGCTTTAGAACGTACGCGCGACCCAGGTTTTGGACATTGATCTCCTAACTTGAGGTAACATAGGGTGACAGTGACGGCGACGGACAGAAGACCGGATGGGCTCCAACTTTTTTTTTTCTTATAACGGCACGTCACCTTCTTCAACGTCCATCTGCACAGCAGCACTCTGTTGGTTACCTTCGTTTCACCACCAACTTGTTCACCAAGAGTTGGCCGGTTCGGATTGGTGCTCTCTGGACATACCTGAAAGTAGAAGAGACGAAAGACCTCTACCATTCTACCGCCAATCCGAAGCACTGATACATAACCCACCACCCCCCCCCCCCCCCCCCCATCTCCAACCAGCAAAAATGTCCGAATCTGAACTTGCAAGCTGGTACAGCTGGATCACCGGAGCGAGCCTGCTCCCAACAGAGTGGAGCTACGGCTTGGAGGTATTGACTGGGATTTTTGTAGGTTTGCTTCCGTCTTCCATCCGATCTCAGAGTTGGGCGCAGGCCATCAAATCACATGCTAATCTTGACTGTCGTGAACCAGAAAACGCTGGCTCTGGTACCCATGCTCCCTATCATCGCATTGGTCGTGTACGACTTCACCCTCTGGATGTGGAGGCTCCTCGTCATCGGCAGGAACCCGCAGCGAGAAGCCATCGAGTATATGACGGGAGGCAGCGTCGCAGCTAGCCCGAGTGGCAGCTTACCTACAACGCCTTTGCACATTGGTTCGCCGACCAAAGGATCGCTATCGCCGACAGGAAGCAATTCGGCCTACAAGGACGTGGCGACAAAGGGCACAACGACAGGCTTGGCGATGAATGGTTCAACGCCAATTGTTCTGAGGAAAGGAGGGGATGGTGGAGATGTCAAGGTCACACAGGAAGGAGTGAGATCGCGATCATGATGGATGAAACATGGGCGCAGGCATGGAAAGAGTAACGAGTGGTGCTATCAAACGAAATGGTTTACAGAACAGCGCAACAAGAGCCGAGAAAAAAAATCGTTATCTATTGATCATTACACTGCGGACGCTTTGGGGACAAGCGCCGGTTTATAGCTGAGCAAGCACCTTGAGGAGATCGCTGGTGACGCCCATGGCGGTTACGTCACCTCCGGCGCCGGCACCCTGGATGATGAGGGGGTTGCTTCCATACCGCTTAGTGTAGAAGCTAATGATGTTGTCACTGCCCTTGAGGGCCGCGATGGGGTGAGAGAGGTCAAACTTCTCCAGCCCGACCTTGACCTGCTTGCTGGCCACGTCGATGCTGCCGACGAAGCGGACAACCTTGCCCTCCTTCTGCGCCTCGGCCTTGACCTCCTCCATCTCGGCATCGAACTCGGGCAGGCGGGCGAGGAACTCGTCGCCGCTGGCGACCGACTCGAGCTGCTTGGGGATCAGGCTCTGCACGGGGAAGGACGTGGGCGACTCGACCTCGAGGCCAGCGTAGCGGGCGAGGATGGTCAGCTTGCGCGCAACATCGAGACCGTTGAGGTCATCGCGCGGGTCGGGCTCCGTGTAGCCCAGCTCCTTGGCCTTGGCCACCTCGGCGGACCACTTGCCGCCGCCCGAGCCCGATGTCGGAGCGAACGAATTGAACAGGAAGGACATGGTGCCGCTAAAGACGCCCTCGATCTTGGTTACCTCGTCGCCCGTCTCAACCAGGTCCTTGATGGTGGAGATGACGGGCAGGCCGGCACCGCACGAGGCCTCATGGTACAGCAAAGAACCACCCTCCTCCTTGGCGGCGAAGATGTCCTGCCACAACTTGTACGAGCCCGAGAAGGCCTTCTTGTTAGGCGTCACGATGCTGATGCCGCGGCGAAGGAAGCTGGGGTAGGCATCGGCGATGTCCTGGGAGCTGGTGTTGTCGACGAGGACCGTCTTGGTGCCCGAGGCGGCGAGGTAGTCGACGAGCTTAGGGAGGGCAAGGGGGGCCTGCGACGAGGAGGAGAGGGTCGAGACGACGCTGTCGAGGGCGATGGGCGAGTATGCGTCGCTGTAGACGGCCTTCTTGCTGGTGGCAATGTAGGTGAGCACCAGCTTCTGGTTCTGGCGGCGAGCGGCCAGCGACTCGAGCTGGGAGAGGAAGCACTTTCCTACTCCACCGGCGCCTGGAAGATGGGAAGGTCAAGGTTAGCAGCGAGGGACGTCGGGGTTGGACGGTCTGAGCTGATGTGGCGCAATTGGGGTACAGGTAATTGCCTACCGATGATGGCAATGTTGACTTGACGAGCTGAAGCCATTGTGTCTATGTAATCTTGATTACGTAGTATAAGAGGGATGGGAATGATCAAGTAAGGTACACTTCTTGATCCGCTTGATTGAGATGGAAATAGTTGACGACCCTGACTCAACTGATAACTGATACTGCAATCTCGTGGGGTTCTTGGTCACCTACCTACCGTGCTAGGTTTTAATGGAAAAGTGTCGCCATGTGGACTGCCGATAGCGGGGCGGCCGTCCGAATCCAGGCCCGAGTTTCGGGAGCTTCATCCTTGTAACCTTGCTTCAGAGGAAGATGTTTGTAACGGTGGGTATTGCATAGTTTACACGTAAGTTACCTACGCTCAGGATTTTTGAATCTTACGAGTACCGCTTTTCCATTGCAGGAACACCCCTGTGGGTATTTTTTTGCAGCAACACGGGAACCTTGGCTTCCAGATTTGCTTCGTTACACTGCACCGGGGATGAAACTTTTGTGAGAGTCGATTCTGGAGTCGCTCTCAGTCTCACTTTTTTCCCTACTGGATCCAACAGACTTATTGACTGCACAACAACCGACAGACTTCAGTTTTATTAGACCACAAAACCATTGTATTCAGCAGCCGTCATGTCCGAACCCAAGAACAAGCGTCAAAAGCGCGAGGATTACCGTGCCGCCCTCCGCGCCAATGGAGTCACTGAGCTGCCGCGCAAGAAGTTCTACCGTCAGAGGGCCCATGCCAACCCTTTCTCTGATCACTCTTTGATTTAGTAAGATGATTTCCACGTGAAGAGATCATTGTTTCCATGCTCTTGAATTAACGTCGATCTAGTCCCCCTACGCCAGAGCAGATGGATTGGGCTTCTCTCTATCCTCATTATGCAGTTGAAGAGCCGATTGCGCAAAAGACCGAGACAACTGAGTTCGAGGAAACCACGGGTCAAGAGTTGTCGGCTCCTGCCATCAGGAAGTTGACCAAGCAGGTTGAGGTTGCAGATATTGGCTGCGGTTTCGGTGGTCTGCTCATAGCTCTGGCTCCCGTACTTCCCGAGACTCTTGTTCTAGGTGAGAGTGTTTGGCACCCTTGATTCCATCGATCTCATACTGACTGTATGAACTCAGGCCTGGAGATTCGTGTCTCGGTAACACAGTTTGTGGAAGACAGAATCAAAGCCCTGCGTGTACAAAACGAGGAGCAAAAGCTGTACCGCAACATTGCCGTACTGCGCGCCAACACGATGAAGTTTATGCCCAACTTTTTCAACAAGGGCCAACTGAACAAGATCTTCATCTGCTTCCCGGATCCGCACTTCAAGGCGCGCAAGCACAAGCAGAGAATTGTTTCCACGACGCTCAACTCAGAGTACGCGTACGTGCTGCGCCCCGGCGGCATTGTGTATACCATCACGGATGTGCCCGACCTGCACGAGTGGATGGTTGGACACTTCAACGCGCACCCGGCCTTTGAAAGGGTGTCGGTAGAGGAGCAGGAGGCTGATCCGCTAGTCGAGATTATGCGCAACGAGACTGAAGAAGGGAAGAAGGTGACCAGGCATAATGGGCAGAAGCATGTTGCTCTTTTCAGGAGGCTGGAGGATCCTCAGTGGCCAGAGGATGTTTCTGCTTGAGCGCGCTCTGGGACATGGAAGAGAGGCTATGGATGTGGACAAAATGCACAATGTTGGTGATACCCACGTTGATTGGGCTACTACGAGAGTAAAGTACCTCGAGGTGGAAGCCTTCCTATATGGCGCCCTGTGCTGGGGTATGATGTCCGGTGTTCACGATATGGTGATGGTGAAGCGGCATGTCTCTACAGTAAATGACCCCAACTGACCCCCACCCGGGTTACGGACAAGATGACATGTAACTTTGCGCGTAAAATACAGAAACTCGACGGTGGTGTAACGGTGCCCACCGGACGTTCAGTGACTGGACCCCTGGAGAACCCGCGGGCCTCTTGGTCAGACATTTGGCATCGCACCACTGGCTCACTAACGCGGTTTAGCATGGCGGCGGCAATGGACTTGCCGGCTAGTGTTAGTGTCTAGTAGAGGCCAGAGCTCTAGAGTATCCATGGTACTAAACAGCCCACGAATGTCTATGGCCCAACCCCCCCCCCCCCCCCCCCCCCCCCCGCCTGCCTCACCCGCGACACTCCTCACACCGAACCACTTCCACATCGAACTGGCGATAAAACCATGCGGCGACGACAAGCGCCAAATGTCTGCGCTGGAGTATGGCAATGGTTCTTCAAGGGAGAGACATAGCCCTTGCTGCAATTGCTGCTTTCATTTCCTGGGGATATGCTGTCCATTGGTTCCCCGCCATCCGCTGGGCTAACTATGCCTTTGCCGCCGGCGTCCTCGTTACCCTCGTCGGCCTGCTTGCCCTGCTCATGCTTACCTCTCGTGGACCGCATCACCACCGACTCCGACCATCACCACGGCCCCATGGCGCGGCCTTCGTTGCCCCAGGCTCTTGGTCAAAGGAGGTGGCCGCTCTTCGGGCACGCCAGACGTCCACCAAAGCACCGCTCTACCCCGAGTCCCCCAAGGTCTCGGCAGCTCTCGACGAGGTTCTGGGCTACGTCATCCGCGATTTCATACAAGTGTGGTATTCGAGCATCAGCAAGAACCCTGTCTTTACGGATGAGGTAGACAAGGCAATACGGGGCGCCATCTTGACCGTCCGGGACCGCCTTGCGCAGCTCGACCTTGCTACCATCCTGACCACCCGTTTGGTGCCCATCCTGACAGCCCATTTCCGCGATGTGTACGAGGCCGAGAAGTCGGTCAGGGGGCGCAAACTGAATCGATCAGTCACAGAGACGGACGAACTGGACCTGGCGATTGCTTCCAAGTACAGAGATGGCAAGCTCCATCCCGCCGCCACCCTGTCCTTTTCCGACACCAAGACCACTCAGCAAGACTACCTCCGCAAGGTTATGGTGAGGATTCTTCCCAAGATCTTGCCCAAGAGCATGTTGGCTTCCGGTGCAGTTTCAGCCATTGTCCGCGAGATCACTGCCTGCGCTGTCATGTTTCCCATCATGCGGATGCTTTCGGATCCCGATACCTGGAACCAGCTGATGGAGAACTACGGGCGGAGCATGCTTCAGGATCGCTCGACAGTCCGCAAGCTTCGGGCGGCTCTGGACCAGCACGCTTCGCCAGCGCCAAGAGTCAACAAACCTGTAGCGTTTCCTCGAATGATTCCTGGCGATAATGAGAGGAAGTTCGAAAAGTTCATCCGCGCCATTCGGAAAACCAACAACCTCTCGGATGCGAGGCGGTTCCGGAGCGAAGTTGCTATTCAGATCAAGCGAGATTCTCAGCAGGAGAATGTCGACCAGGTCTACTTGCGTCGTCTTGAGATGGGAAAGAGACTGCTCGACCAAAAGGTGCATCACCTGGCGGCCGGTGGGGATCGTCGGGCTCTCCCACCACAAACTACGGCTTTGCCAACACCAACCGTGTCTCGTTTGGAGAATGCGTCCCTGACGGATGTCTTGCGTGATCCTTCCAGTTTGTCCTATTTTATGGAGTACATGGATAGGCAACGTCTCATGCCTTTGGTTCAGTTTTGGCTTGTGGTGGATGGGTTTCGTAATCCGCTGGAGGACGATGGGCCAGAAGGAGAACAGCTTCCGCTGCAGCTTCCGCCCTGGACGGACTCAGACCGTTTGGACCTCGCTCAGATTGAGGCTGCATATCTCTCGAGGCCTGAGCTCAAAGTACCCGATTCGTCCAAGCGGACCATTCAGGAGTTTCTGAGAGCAGGAAGAAGGGCCTCGCCTGAACAATATTACAAGGCACGGAGGGCTGTTCTGCGTGCTCAAAGCGCTGTGCTGGAGGAAATGAAGGCCAAGCATTTTGGAAACTTCAAGAAGTCTGACTTGTTTTACAAAGCGCTGGCTTCCGAGGAGGCATCAAAGAGCATGGTAGCACCAGTCTCTGGATCATCAACGCCCGGACCTTCAGTAGCCAGGGCATCCTCATTTACCTCCAAGCCAAATCCGCAACTACGCATGGCCCTTCGCCTCCCTCCTGGTGCCCGCAACAGGGGCGCCGGGTCATCCCTTGACCTGCGTGCAGGGACGCAGAGCATAGATGCTCTAATGGGGACTCGTCGATCTATGGAAGATGATTCATCCATCACACCTATGTTTGACGACGATGATCTGGGGGAGGATGGCTTGGCAGATTCGGTACAAAGCCTCGAGCAGGAGCCAGCGCCGCCGGCCCCAGATACTCGTGTCGTTCAGGCGATGGAGCAGGCTCTAAATAATATTTTGGAGGACAGCCAGCCGCCAACAGCAGAGGATCTGCGTGCATCTCTTTTCGGTGACGACGGGAACAACTCAAGTCTTTTTTCGTCTCCGACGAAGTCCGGGCCTACAAGAGCAATGTCTGCTACACCACGTTCGAACCATGGCTCCGTTGATTTGGGGCGGCCCAGTAGAGGTTCTGCTGACATGCCGAGACCGATGACAGCGAAAGAGCCGGAGAAGCCCAGTCTGGCATCCCTGGGTCTTGTGAGCGCTGCGTCTCGTATAGGCGTCTTTATCGACGACGATCTGTTTGCAGACGAGAACAGATTTCTGTCAGATGAGCATGAGTATTCTGATGAGAACAAGGATGATGACGAGATTGATGAAGTTCACGAAGCAGCGCCTGGCGATCTGGGGCTAGCGGAGGCAATCACCGTCCTCAGCAATGACATTGATCGCCTGGTTGCTCAGGATGCTGTCGTGGATTCTCTTCTGAAGAAAGCCGAACTGACAAATAACACTGCCGAGCTAAGGATCCTTCGAAAGTCGAAAGCAAGCTTACAAAGAGAAATCCGAAGGAAGGAGTTGCAACGACAACAATATGTCATTCAGGAGAGTGATAACAGTCTCTATGGCCGGTCCACGATCAAGATTAAGAATATCCATGTCGGCCGAGAAGAGGATGGGAAAGAGTTCGCTATGTACGCCATTGAGGTGCTGCGGAATGCTGGAGAGAAGATGCCGGCAGCGACATGGACCGTCACCCGCCGTTACAGCGAGTTTCTCGAGCTCCACCAAAAGCTGCGGTCGCAGTATCCGTCCGTCCGCAACCTGGACTTCCCTCGGCGGCGCATGGTGATGAAGCTACAAAACGACTTTCTGCAGAAGCGCCGCGTCGCACTCGAAAAGTATCTCAACCAACTCCTTCTTCTTCCCGACGTCTGCCACAGCCGGGAACTCCGCACCTTTCTCTCCCAAAGCGCCATCACGCCCGCCACAGCCACCCAAGGCCAAACCTCTTCACTAGAAGACAGCAAAAAGGACATGATGACTCGCCTCTACGACTCGGTCGCTGACGGCATGGAGGACATTCTCGGGAACATCCCTGTGCTCGACCAGCTCTCGCTAGCCGGCCAGAACCTCCTGGCCGCAGCCACCAACCAACAGCTGGCGGCCGCCAGCGCAGCTGGAGCCGGGGGCGAAGACGTAGTCACGGCCGCCGAGGCCGAGGCGGAGCTGAACGCGTTCGAGCTCACCAACGACAAGGAGCTCGAGCCCTTCGTCAAGCCCATTTGCGACATCTTCCTCGAGGTTTTCGAACTAAACCGCGGCAACAATTGGCTTCGCGGCCGCGCCGTCGTCGTGGTGCTGCATCAGCTCCTGGGCGGCACGATTGAGCGCAAGCTGCGCGACAACGTCAGGATGCTAGTGGCCGAGGACGCGCTGCTGCGGTACATCAACCTCGTCAAAGATGGCATGTGGCCCGGCGGCGAGCTGCCTAGTAACAAACCGCCGCGGACAGCGCAGGAAAAAGCCAGGACCAAGACGGAGGCGAGTCTGATGCTCGCTACGCTGGTACCGGATTTGGCGGCTAGTGTGGTGGGACGGCTCAATGCGCAGGCGGCGAGTAGGCGGATTTTTGCAACGTTTAATAATGAGCGGCTGAAGTAAGTTTTTGCTACCCCTACCTAACCATCAGTTTGTTTGACGGATGAAGTTCATGAGCTAACTTGGTATCCCTGTGCAGTGCGCATTTAGCGTTCACCTTTTTAGACGAAGTCATCGATATTCTGTTTGGTGAAATCCAGGCCAGGAAATAGCAGCCAGTGGGGTAGGTAATGAAAACAAGCAGGTAGTCGATTTGACAGGCAGATAGACAGACAGACAGACAGACAGACAGACAGACAGACAGACAGACAGCAGACAGACAGGAGCAGAAGAAGGCATTGAGTGCGCCACATCAAACACATGAGATACAGGAATGGTATCAGATCAACAGATTCATTACCCTAAAAAACTAAAAACCGATGTAAATCCAGAGAATATCTGTCATGCAAAATCATGTCATAGGTGGCTTTGACAATGGTGATGCGGTGGTGGTGGTGGTGGTGGTGGTGACTACTTGTAAACGTGTTTACAGCGTGACCTTCAAGTAGTAGACTACCCACTCCAAATCATTTCGTATCTCTTGATCAAAACAATTTGCGATCACAGCAAGTACATGCAACCATAGATGGTAGAAAACTGGGGATTCCGTCCGCTCTTCCCTAGGCTACCAATTGCTCGACTAGTAGTTACGTTGGTTGACGACCAACGAATCCCAGGTGTTGTGGGTTTTTCAGGGGGTTTTTCTTTTTTTTTTCTCTTCATTTTTCATCAGACCTTATTTCAATTTCATGCACGATACTGTAGACAGCCAGATATGCGATGTCTATTACCGAGAACAATAACGACGGACATTGACAACAATGGAACTTGATTGCTGTTTGTGGTAAAGGTATCAGTCATAGGAAGAGAATAGAGGGTTTCGCGATGAACCCAGCGAAGCAGTCGAAGAAAAAAGAAGAGAAAAATGTAAAGAAAAAGGCAGTAATGAATATCCAAAGCAAAACGCCAACCCATGATTTGGTTACCAAACCTATTCGAGCTTTCCCTATTCCGCTATTCTGGAAACATTCCCAATGGTCAAATCAAATGCCAAAACTTTGATGCACCTTTGCTCCCTACTGTTCAATGAAAATGTCCGGTATGCACTCCTTCTTCTCCGCCTGCAGCCTTTCTTGTGTCTCCTTGTCTCCCTGTCTCGCACTTGCCCCACTCAAACATTCCGCATAACGAACGGAAAAGAAAAGGAAAACATGACTGACTCATCCACTAAAGGCACTCACCCTAGACATCCACTAGTGCCATTATACGCATGAACACATATTATCGACCACCCCCTCTCTCAATGATTGTCTTGTTTGTTCTAGACGGCAGTACTGTTTTTAATCATACAGCTAGTTGGTTATGACTACGGTAGTAACACGGGAGAAACTGTATTGTCGGTTAGCTTTGTGTACAGGATTTTGGGGGGAAAGGTTTTTGGACTCTTGGTAGTGGGGCTTTAAGAAGAAGAGCGGGCTAGGGTAGGATGTGAAGAATATAGAAAGAAGAAGCGCAGGTGTTTGAATGATGAGGAGGGAAGGACCAAACGGGGGCATGTAGTAGTGAAACGGGAGAAGTGTCCCGGACCGATACGGAGGGAAAGCAAATTGTAGAACAAAGAAGAAAAGGGCGAAAAGAGAAAAGGACCGTCAGACACCACTTACATTGATCATTATAATCATGGGTATATCAAACACATCCCGCTTGATGGTCCACGTATAGCTGCATTCTAGCTTACCATCTCGTTCCAGTTTCGAGATGCCGTGTTCTCCGTCGATCTTGGCGACCCTGTTGCTCAAGATACTATTGCTGGCAACATTCACGCCCGTCGGTCGTTCTTTCTCCGTCTTTCCAGCTGGGCTGCTATCTGGCCCTCCATTGACAACGGTGCCGTTACTGCTACCACTGCCGCCTGAAGCTGTGGGGGCAGAAGCAGCAGCAGCCGCGGCGGCGGCGGCGTCCATGTTCTCTTGGGTGCGGTACTTGAGAAGTCGGCATTTTCTCACCACTGTACCTCGGCTGTGTGTAAACGCTAGCTGGGCGTAATCCTCGTAAAACTGCGTCACGCTCGCTTCGTCCATGAGCTCCGCAAGGAATACCGGTTGTGGTTGTTCCTTGTGTTGCTGCGATTGCTGTTGCTGACTGTCGGCGTTCGTGCCCTGTTCTGGATGCAAAGGTTTTAGCCTGGGTGTTGTTCCCACAATGCCTCCTCTGCCTCCTTTGCTGCTGATGGAAAGGGTATCCGAGTTAGTGCCACCCATATTCGCATTGAGGTTCAGCGTCTTCCCAAGAAGCACATCCTTTGTCCACCCTGTTAGCGCTGTGAACTCCTTGTTAACGGCGGCTATTTCGCCGGTTCGACGGCAAGCGATGGCTGGGCTTGGCGATTGGTGCATGAACTCCTCATGCTCGAAAAGGGCACGCTGGAAGCTTTTCTCCATGAAGATGAGGTCGGCCCTGTTGAGCGTTTTCATACATGACATGAAAGATGGGCGAATGCTGGCTAATGACCTTACGATGCTGATCGTGCTCGCGCCCGAAAATCGGTTCTGAAGTAGACTGATGAGCTTGTGGAAACTAGCCACATATTGGAATGGTTCCTTGACTGCCTCGTAGATAGATGATGGATCTCGCTGCCTCTTACCCAGAACTGACTGTGGCCCGAGCTTCCCCAAGGCCGGCGTCTTTGGTTTCTGCGCCCGTGGCTGCTGGGAGCCCGGCTGATTCCCTGCAGCACCTGGAACCCCCGTGTAGTTGGTGGTGGTGGGAGACTCAAAACCAAATCCTGTCGGTTGCGGACTGTTGTTCTCGGTACTAGGGCTTTGTAGACTAGTGGGACCAGCAGGGATAGCATAGGCATGCGGTAGACCATGTTGCAGGTTTCCTTGGGAGTACAAGCCATTGGAATGGGCATCCAGAGTCAGGAAGTCGCTTATCAAACCGGTGTTATTGTCATAAACCTTTTCAAACTGGTTCAGACTGTTTCCAAAGACTCCAGAGGGGTTAAATCCGACATCACTAGTGCCCTGCTGTGCTATGGACGGATCCCGCGGAGGAGTCTCAGCAGCACCCGAGGACATGTGGCCCAGCATACCAAACTCCATGGCGCCATACTGACTTCCGAAGTTGAGTCCCTCCAAATTGAAGTTGAAAATGGCAGGATTACTCGGATCAAATAGCGCTGGAGGGAAGCTATTCATAGGGCTGGAAACTGAATTGACCGCAATAGAACCGAGCTGAGGGTTGCCAGAGGCCTGGAAAGTTGGCGATACGGGAGATTGCTGGGGGAAGGGTAAGTTCTCCGGTATTGATCCTAATTGTGTTGCTGCAGACGAGAAGACTGGGTACTGGGTCGACTGCGAGTAGAAGGTACCAACAGAAGAGCCGGCATCTGACCCACCGTTGGAAGGATGCCGATGGCCATTCCGGACAGATACAGCGGCAGCAGGATTGTAGTTGGGTCCAAGTACGGGACGTAAGGCTTCCGGGGGAGCATCGTGGAGATACTTCGCCTTCTTCCGGACACCGTCCTGGCAAGCTTCAGCTAATCCACGTTTGATGCACCGTTGGCATGGTCGTTCGTCACCTAAATCAAAATCAACATTAGCATAATTGTTTTTTTTTTTTTTTTTTTTTTTTTTCGTGACATGCGAAAGGGGACGGAATATCGAGGTGATGGTAGTTTCCTTCCGTGTCGTACTCATTTTATGGTAAGGAAGGCTAACTTGAAGAAACAGTGAGCTGAAGTGAGCAAAAGTAAAAACTTACCGCAGGTCAAATGAGCTCTCTGACACGCATAGCAGGCTCTCCGGGCTTTTTTCCTCCTGGGCCGCAAAGGATCCTTGGGGTCATACTTCTTCTTCTGGTCACCGTTGGTTTCGACACCTTCGGAAGCAACGGATCGTTCGGCCATCTTTTCGTCGTCGTCGTCCTTGGTAGTGACCTCGGTTTCGTCGTACTCGTTGTCGCTCTCAGACACAGCACCCGAGACCTCTGCCTCGGCGGGTCCAACGTCGTCCGGCATCGTGCCTTAGCTCTATATATACAGACAGGGTCTTGGAGTCAAGACAGAGAGTGGTGGCAGGGTAGTGCAGAATGTGATAGGAGACACCCAAAGCAGCCAACTAGATTGCGAGACGAGACAGGGCAGGCAGAGAGGCAGGCAATCTGGCAGGCAAGGACGCGGGAGCTCTGAAGCAGGTAGGGACCAGGCTAGCAGAGACGTATCAGGTCCGATATGGGGGTCAGAGGGTGGAAACAAGCTTCAAAAACCCAAAGTCCTCCTGCAGCAATCCCACGGTGGTGGCACCTTTTCTGAAGAGGTTGATTGGCGCAGTCTGGGGCGCTTGGTCTACCAGGATGGAGCGCCTGACGAGCTGAGAATTTGGCGGGAGATGATGTACGTGTGGCAAAATCAATGGCGCCTCAATCAAAGCAGGGTAGCAGTGAAGATGGTGATGAGCGGCAGTGGTGGGCGGCGGCGAGGCGGGGGATAATGGAGCACAATGCGTGCGAGACCAGATATGGCATCCAAGGCTCTTGTCTCTTTGATACTGTGCCGGGACTGTGGGCTTCCGCAATATAGTCTGGGACGTGTTGACGATGGACTCGCCGACAAATGACTGCCCTCCCGCTGACGAGGCCTGATACACAATGACCAGCACGTCGTCTCGTATTCTCACTGGACTTGCTGTCCGCTCCAGCAGAACGGCCAATGGGCTCTGAGCCGGCTCTAGAGAGGCGTTTCTCTGTGCAACAGGCCAGGCGAGTTGGCCAGGTACCTCGTCGACTATACACGGTGGAGTGTCTCGCAGGACTGTCTCCTTCTTCCTTTCCACACTAATCCCCTCTCGTCCTCCTGGTGGCAGTCACGCGGCAGCGGATAAAGCACCCTTCTTTCTGACGGGGCGGTTGTGATTCCCTTGGAGGTTGAGGAGCCAAAGTTGCTATGGCGATGGTGAGACAAGGGCAGTCAACTGTAACCCGCTGCAGCTACCCGTTCTTTTATGCTTGTATGCACTTGGCGCCGTCTAACAGCAGCCCTCTCAATGACGGTTCGAGAGAGAACTTGAAGATGCGTGTAAGTGGTAGCCAGACCAAGGGGAAATGGGCCTCGACGTGAATCGGGGCTGACCTAGAACTGCGTCCAGGGCCCTCCAGACTCCAACGTGGTGGCGTATAAGCGCCTGTACGCGGGTGTGAAGTACTTGGGTTGGTATATGCGTTATGTCGGTAGTTTCCAGGGCAAGATGTATGGTGTCGGCTCCGAAGCTCCTGATTGTCCGTCTCTTGTCGGTTCCCCTTGAGGATTCGCACTTTGCAAACCAAAATCAACCCAGCCCCAACAATTACAGTGTCGACACCGGTATGGTGTTGTAGCGCGTCTGATTTCTCAATATCCGCCCTGGCAACAAACTATTGCGCGTGGCACTCCCGTGTCCACTTTGTGGTCGACCGTGAGCGGACCGTTAACGGCTTGGATTGCAGCACGAGAAGGCTAGCGCCAAGGTGAGAGAAGCAGTGCGCTGAACTAGGGATTGGTGGTGTGGTATGGGCGGGCGACGAGTGGTGTTGTAGATGGTGACGGAAACGACAACGGCTCCGGCGACGAGTGCGGTGTCGAGGATGGTTCGGTGTGGCAGGGTGTCCCTGATGTCTCTGATGGCTGTCCTTGATGTCTCTGGCGCCAATGACAGGAAAAGTGGCGGCTAGTCTCAGTTGTCGTAGTCGAAGAAGTAATATGCGTCGGCAAAGATACTAGAGGTAGTAGAGATAGCGGTAATGGTGGTATTGTGCTGGTGCCATTCCCGAGTCTGTGTTTTGACATGGCACTGGGGGGTGTGGTTTGTGGCGTTGCGGTTGTCTGGGAAGTGAGGTCGAAGGATATTCGATTGGAGATCCAATGAGGTTCGCCGAGTTTTTGCGATGCTTCAAGGATTGTCGGACGACCGACGACGATGACTCCATGCGACTGCGATTGCGACGAGACGGACAAGGGGGGGGGGGTCACAACCAAACAGCGCGCGCAGGCCACTGCAGCCTTGAATGGAGGAGGGGCGCGGGCAGTCGGGCAACTTGAACCAGGAACGAAAGTCAACTACTGTACTGCGCTGCGGGGTTTTTGCTAGGTGGGCGGGCAAGAAGCAAAACCGAGGCCCTTTGTTGTGCCGCCAACGAGTGAGGGCGGCGCAAGGGGAAGGAAGGGGCGATCAACTCACTCGCAGTCTCTGTCCCGCACTGCAAAATCTTGAATTGGCGGGCAGGAACCTCAGCGCGGGCAACGGGAGATGTCAGGAAGTCACTCGGTGTCAAAGAAAAGAGAGAACTTGAACAGAACAGACCGAGTTGCTCGCGTGCAAGTGTCGGTGGGCTCGGTACATCCAAACGGCTGGGCTTGTCGCCCGTACTTGGCCGGACAAGAAAATGTCACCCTTCATCCGTGTACTCGGTACTCGAAACAATACCCGACCCGAGTCATTCACACCCTCCGCACCATTTGCATGTGGATGTCCAGTCGCTGCAGCCAACCTATTCAACCTACACTACTGCATTGTACAGTAGTGTAGGGACGGGTGGTCCGTGCGTTTACAAATCCATCAAAGCCGTCTGGTCGTCACTGAGTGTAGAGCCCCGGCTCTCTGCATCTCCTGTCCAGGCTCCACAGTAAACAGTCTGCTGGTCCCACTGTCCCTGGCCCACTCATGCTGCCTGCGTGCGTGCATTGGGCTGATTGAAGATGACTGACTGCATCAGTGAGTTGATCCGCACCTCTGCTCAGGTACCGTCACTTTTCGGCGGGGATTTGATATCCAATCCCACCTAGATCTCTTGCTCACAACATTGGAAAGACCAAACCTCAGACAGCATCCGTGGACTGTGAACTGTGGTAGAGGTCATGTAAGGTAGGTACTTGCCCTTTTCTCGGTTTCTATTGGTACCTGTACAGTAAAAACCCCTGCTTTTGCAAAGGATTTTGACTGCCCGCGATCCCTCCAATAAGTAGCTGACATTGTGTTACTCACTCTTACAAAACCCCCCTTGTGCAGAGATTTTGGGCTGCCGGACTTATTTGCAAAAGCACGAGTTTTGATGTATGTACATGTTTTCAGTTGAGTCCACTTGGATCCACTGGCATAGCGGTACCTCTACGTACTATGTAACAATAATAATAATAATTGTAATAATGGAAATAATGACGCTGCCAACGTTACAATGGCTATGCACCAAAGGAAGGAAGCGCGCGGGCCGCAAAGTGGAATCTCTGTTCCTGTTCCCCTCCTTCCCGTCTCCCGAATTCCGACTTCCGTCTCTGTCAGTCGCTGGCCCATCCCGTCCACCGCTTAAAGTTCGTTCCATTCCGACAGTTCACTTGGCCAAAGGTTCCCGCTATCTTATCAGAGGAGTACAAGGAACACAACCTGAGGGAAACGAGCCTACTGTGCACGTAGTGTAGAGGTACATATCGAACTGAATCCAAACATGCAAACAATGGAGCTAAGTATACATTACAGCGCGACGGTAAACGGCGCATTGCCCCAATCTGGTCACCTTCAACCTGGCTTCCAGCTCGACACTTGCCTTGGAATTGTTCCAGGTCAATTTCTTCTTCTTCTTCTTTTTTTCCTTTTCTTTTCTTTTCCAAATTTCTCCTTGCCGCTATCGTTACCGCAATCTCGACAACGGCCACAATGCCCAGCGGTTGGCGGCGCATCTTGGTAGTGACAGGACGGAATGGAAGGGCGGGATGCATCCATGGGCCCGTCTTGTGGGCAGATGGTTCAGTTGAGCCAAACAGGAACGGCCAGGGCCCCAGACGGCGGCGATTGACGAACCACGATTGTCCATGACCATGTGGCGCCCCGAGATCAGCTGGCATGATCCGCCTTGATCGGCTCCAGGATTTCATGAGAACTCGATGCATCGTCAGGAACACTCGCTCAGGCCTTGGCATCCACTCACGTCAGTCTAGACAAAGTCATTGAGGCTGAACGTCCATTCAACAACCCCCTGCCAACATTGGCTGCTCGATACGACACAGTACAGTACGCAAGCCACGCCCGCATGCCGATACGGTCCAGTCTATACGACCTGAAAACCAAACGTCTGTCTTTGGAAAACACCACCACTACCGTCACCATCAAACCTCGGACACTCACACCCAGTACCTGTATACGGAACGTCTGCACCAAACAATCCCCATCATTCCCTTCAGTTGCCTCAGACCTTGTTTGCCTCACCGACTTCATCTCATCTCGCCTTGCCCAGCATGAACTGGGAGCTATCTCCATGGACGAACCCTAGCACTTTGTCGAACCTGAGACGCACCATTCAGCAGTATTCCAGCGGTTCGCGCGGATTGCGTCGACCCCTTCAACCAGACTAGTCCTTGTCCGGTGGACTTTGCGGTGTCCGAGACAATATCTCCATGTTTATCCGCAATCAGCCTAGCCGTGGCGCCTGTTGTGTAGTCCAAAAATTGCTGATCGGTGTGGAAGGTTGGTTAGAACTGAGGTCCACCGTGCCTCCGTTCGTCTTCCTACATGCTTGGGTAACCCGCCTTGGTCTTGTTGATGCCGCTATAGCAACACCATCCAAATATCTACCTGCCTCTCGTGCACACCCAACACTTGCCCCTGGTCTAGCAGGCATTCTGTCGTCTTCCGTACACGCACCACATGAGTCTGGGACGACAGGGCTGTAGTCACCACGACTGGTTGACCGCTGCTTGCTCACCCCTTGGGCTTTTGTGCAATGGAAACCCTCAATGAGACGATACAAGACCGCCATGTAACACGATTTACACTTCATCTTGCTCATGGCGGACTCTTACTTGCATTGTCTAGGCAGTGGCAACCTCCAGTTCACAACACAGCCGCTAGTTCCCACAATCGAGCGTGACGACAGCCGCCTAGACAGGCCATCACCGCAGTCGTCACTACAGGGTGAACGAGGCCAATGGCAGGAGAGCAAAGCAAGTGTGTAGCAAAGACACCACCTCGGGTGCAGTTCGCTATACCAAGCACGTCGATCTATCGGTGAGTGTCATGTAAAAAAAAAAAAAAAAACATTAAAAAAAATTAAAAAAAAAAAAAAAAACATTGCCTATGGGTATCATAGTACCACTACACACGGCTTTCCGGACAAAGGGTCAGATCCTGATCATCCCAGTCCCTTGTCATCCACTCCATCCAACTTTCACTCGAGATGGGACATTGTCGTTGCCGTAATAATGGGTGGTTACGTTGTTGAAGGGTGCATCAGCGGATGAAAGCGCCCGGCATTCTTATTACCCGAAGCAGCCTCCTGCAGATCGTACATGACACAGCTTCAAGCCCTCCCTTTCGGCAATCGCCGTCTACGACATGCCCTTCAATATCTTCAACTGACTCTGTAGACATGCGGGCCGTAATGGGTACCTACATGGCCCCCTTCTCACCGTCCAAGGCAGACTGATGTTGGGCATCAATGCAACCTCAGATCTTCGGCCTCGGTCCCGGTCTCCTTGACCATGGCCATGTTGAAGCCGCCGTACACACCTTGGTCATGCTCTTGCGAGTCTATTGTCAGAATCTGCCAAATGGCTACAATAATCCCATTACACAGGCACCTCCCGATCTTCCATTCTATACCATACCTCAAAAAGACACGTATCAGTAGGTCATGGCTGGCGAGACTGGCACAGTTGACCCCATACTTACAACAAAAACAAGTTGGGAAGACGATCATTGCACATTCATGGATATCAGATCATGATGCCACCCCCTTTTCTCCAAAGTGGAGAGGTAATCTTCGCCTCTTTGCCATTCTATCATGATCTAGTTGAGTCATTCACAACACTTCAAAGGGTCGCGGGCACGCAGCATGCAATTTTCCAGGCAACGGCCCTGAATCATCATCGCTTTTTGCTTTTCTATCGTCTTTACCCTTCCGTCTTGGCATCATTTCACCGTCCATCTCATTACCATTCCTATTATATACCAATGTCTCAGACGACATGCAGATTATGCTTGTAATATGCTTTGCTGCGTCGTTGTGGTGCTCTATGTGCCAACCATTCACTGCCTTAGACAGCGACACATGGCACTCCTTGCTTATTTCCTCCTGGTTGTTGCAGTTATAACTTGTCTTAGTGCGGGAGGGACGGAAGGTCCCATATGCCGGTCGAAGGTGTCTCTGAAGAAAGAAGAAATATTTTCGGTGGGTGTTTATCCAGCCACTCGCAACTCTCAACCCTATGCGTTTTGCTCCCCGCTCATCTTACGAGCGGGTCGCAAATTTGCTTCTGGCCCGTATTCTCTTGCCAAACACGAAGAAGAGGTACGGGAAAGGCATCATTGCCAGGGTAAGGAAGGCGAGGAGGGCCGTGGCCCACTGGAAGCCCAGCTTCTCGTACATTTGAATCCCAAACAATGGGAAGGCAGCTGTATCCGGGTGTCAAAAAGTCAGCACAAAACCCCATGTCGAGAAACAAAGCACAAGACACAAGGGATCGCAGCGGATTGAACCCGGAAGATCCAGCTAGAATGAAGAGCGGCAGATGCATGTCCTGGGCGCTGCTGGGCCGGTATCACCAAGACACACACCGACACCCCCAACGCCGCATAAACGACACATACACCGGGGTCCATCTTCACTCGAGACTTACCTGCAAACGAACATCGCACAAGAGCATTCGTGGCTAAGGCACTCGCTGCGTATCGCGGGTATGCGTCAACCTGTATACGAAACGCCTTCTTGTCAGCACTGCCAACTTTGTCCAATCTTTGCTTTCGCTTTCTGCCCAATCAGGTGCCTCTAATGACTCTCCATATCTCTGCGTGTATGGTGTGCGAACACGGCAGGATAGTTGTCGTTTTGTACTCCCCACCCCTTCATTTTATTTCCCTTCTCTTAACTGACACTCACACAACCTTTTTCCACCTTGGCCATTCAAGTGAGCAAGGAGAGGCCAGGCATGAGGTCACGGGAGGAGAAAGTCAAAATGAGAGGCAAAATGACAACCCCATTCAGCAGTGATCATAACATCATGTTTTGACATGACTCGACATGATGGATGAGGCTGACACTGTTCCCCATTTTGATATTTCCCCCCCACACACAAGATGCATTTCTTGGGTTTGGGCCTGTTTCTGGATTGGAATAGGGAGCGTAACCCACTTACCAAGAACGTGAAGATGCCGGTGAAGGCGAAGGACATGCTATATGCAAGACAAGTCAGTTACCGGTTAACGACATCATGGGACTTTGCAGACGCGATATAAACAACAACCGGGGGCGGGAGGGAAGACGAAAGGAACCAAGTGGGAAATGGAGAAAAGAGAGAAGGGCGCAAGCCTTGAACCAGGCCCTGGAAGAGACGAGGGTAAGGAGGTGGCTATCCCCATTTCCCATTTTCAGCATCAACTTTGGCCAAGCCATGACTGAGACTTTGGGCTTGAAAGAAAGACGAAGAGGCAAAAACAGAGAGACGAGGAGGGGGGGAAGAGCCAGAACATAGAACGGCAGAGTCAGAGAAGTTCTCCGTCCGTTTCTGCGGCAATCGGTTTGGTAGCAGGGCTACTACACCATCCACGTACTCCCTAACCACTTCTGCCCCAGACCATAACCAGGCTTAGTCAATGAACCTAGGGAAAGAAGCCTGAGGGTGGGTGTCAGTTGACGCACCATCCTACATGCCATGTCTCTTGGACTCGCCCCCCACACCCTTCCACCTCTTCCCCCCTCTCCACTGTTTCTCTCTCAAACACGCAAGCAAGCGGAATATGGGTTTTCCCAAGAAGAAGGAATGAAGCTACCTCCTTCTTACTGTACCTTAACCCTCTTGATCTCAAAGCTTACTCCAGGGGGGAGGTAGATGACGGGGTAAACCAAGCCAAGCACAGCAGAAAGGGAAACACAAGCAAGTATGTACTTACCCCAGACCAAAGATCGACGACCCAATGATTGGCACGATCCAATGCACCCACGGATATGTGCTAAACCCGAACATAAACAGACCGCCCGTGATGAGCGGGGCACCCACAATCACGGGCGGCAGCTGGTCCTCAGGCTCGCCCTTCATGATTCCCGTCTTCTTGAATCGCTTCTCGGCCAGGCCATTTCTCACGCGCGTCCAGACGGGAGTGATGCAGCCGGCCAGGACCATGGACACGCCGAGGCCCATGAAGGTAAGTCCGACCTGCCAGAGATTGAAGCCGTGGTTGGTGCGGAAGACGAGGGGGAAGGCACCAAAGAAGAGATACAAAACGCCCAGGAGAACCGCGGAGTAGACATCCAGGATGAGACACATGGGCTCAAGCAGGAGCAGCTGAAACGGTCGCAGGAGGGAGTTGCCAAGGGTGGAGGCGACCGACTTGGTGGTGCGCTCGATGGGGGCGTGGTAGCGGTTGTCGCCGGTGGTTTTCCGGAGGTTGACAGCCTTGCGCTTTAGGAGGACGGGGTCTGTGTAGAGAAAAAGGATATGGTGAGTAAGAATGTAAGTCAGGGGGTTTGTTTACTTTTTTCTTCTTTCAGTCTCCTTGTCTTGGCTACTTTCTCAGGGCCTGGTATTCCTTTTCGGCTTCGTCATGCGGACCTTTTTTTTTTTTTTTCTCTCGTTCAAACCGCAAAGCCAACAACGCGCCTCAGAAACGATTGTTCGAGCCCTGGAAGTTTTGACAATTACTTCATTTGAAGGAAATGGAAAAGACGTACGATATGTTTCCGGCACCAGCACCATCACACACGCCAGCAATACTCCGGCCCAAATGATCAAGAAGTAATACGTCCACCTCCAGGTCGTGAATGTGTTGATCAATCCTCCCACCAACGGCCCCGTCGCCGGTCCAATAAACGGCGACAACGCAAAGATGGCCATGGGCAACTGGAACTTCTCCCTACTGAACAGGTCGCCCACGGTGCCACCGGACACGCTGAGAAACGCACTGCCCGCCAGACCCTGAAAGAACCTCGCAATGATCATAGTCTGGATATTCTTGGCCACCGCACTAGGGATCAGCCAGATCAGAAACCCGGCAAACGAGCAAATGTAGATGGGTCTCCGTCCGTAGAACTCAGCCAACGGCGACCAGAACGGTCCCATCGCAATCCCCAGCACGAAGAACGAGAGGCCCAGTGTCGCTACTATGCGAGAGCAGTGGAACTCGGCGTTCATCTGCGTGTACGTAGCCGTGTAGATGGCCGAGGCGTGCGTCACGGCGAAGGAGCCGATGCTCAGCACGGCGATGATGATCCACTTCCGCCAGGTCGGCATGCTTCGCGGGTTCAGAGGGTCCGAGTCGCCTCCTTCCCAGCCGACCTCGAAGCGCTTCTCTTCTTCGTCCTTGATGGTCTCGCCGGCGCCTGAGCGGGCTGCTGTTGCTTCCGCGTCGGCTCCTTCCTCCTCTTTTTCGGCTTCGTCTTCTAGGTCGTCTACACCAAAGCCGTTGTTGGAGCGCGAGCGAGAAATGTGGCTGAAGGTGGTGTTATGACTTTGTCGGCTCATGGGTCGGGGTTGGTGAGGGGGCTGCGTTTGGTGGGTTGAAATGGGCGCGAAACCAATGTCGTCTTCTGTCTGGGATGATGATGATGCCGAGTCGGAATCATTCTCCTTCTCGTTCTGTCCGGTCGCCGAGTGGGCAACCTGAGGCGTGGTTGAACCGCTGGTTCCATGGGTACCGCTGAACTGACCCTTTTCGATATCTACATCATGTGTCGGTGAGTTGATCTGAGTTGCATCTGAGTTAAGGTGGGTGGCGTGGTAGTTTTCCACCTTTTCCAGTTCGTTCATCGTGTGCTTCTAGCTGGCGTTGGCCAGCCTGTCGACGTAAAATATGTAGCTTGAAGATGTCAAGCAGTAGGATGGGCTGTGGATGGTCGAGTAGGTCGATCTTGGCCGGTTGTTGCGATGCTTCTCAAGTTCTGATTTTGGCTGATTTCTTTTTGCAAATTATATCAAAAGTTGAGTCGTCTTTATAGGGTAGCTCTTCGAAGATCCTAGGGATTTCTATCTGGAATAAGATGATACAAGACGCTGTCGGGCCCACAGGTTCTATTCCTCGCTGGTGTAGTTGGTAAAGGATTGAAGATTTCGTCTTTTTTCTTTTTTTACATATCGCTGGAAATAATTTGCGAGATGGCAGTTGGTTGCGGGCCCGGGGTTGCTGAGGGATGGGAAATGTAGGTAGGCGCAGGTAGGAACGGAATGAAGAAAAATCACAAACAAGAAAAGAACAAGGAAACAGCACGTAACTACCGCTTTTTCTTTGCAGAAAGAAGAGGGGGACGGAGTCGGGGATGGCTACCTCGGGTTTAAGCTTTTGGACACGATCAAGGAAATAGTAGTATCAGTGCAATTCCTCTCTACTGTGTACACTAGGTCTTTCCCTTTTTCATCGTTCGCAACATCCCAAACGGGAATGGCACAAAACGTGGAAGGTGGTGTGCCTGACTAACCATGACACTGACCCCATTTTTTCGGCGGAGGATGGACGGTTGATTGATAATGCTCCTGTCAAGTTTCCATCCTTTTGGCCTTTGTCGGTGTTTCCTAGCTGGGTTCCCTACACCGCGCTTTACTCATTTAGTACGTACCAATTACCAATCCGCACGAATAAATCACTCTAGGGAACAATGCTACCAGGAGTGCGTTTTCCAGAGGACAAGTTCGGTTCAGGTCATAGTTGTTTGGTTAGCTCATGTTTTGAATCCAGTATAGTAACCAAGGGTAGCCAGTCTGCCGGTCGAGAGAAATAACAAAGAAAATCGAGGAGGACGAAGTCCGAGAATGAGGACGGGAGAGGAGGAAGAAAGGGCCCAACCACTGCACTAACGGGTGGGCCGGATACCAGATACCAACCATGACTGATGTGATCGATCAACTGAAGGGTTCTTGCAAGAGATCAGCGGTAGGGACTTCCCAGAACCGACCATGGAATTGCAGAAGGCGAGGAGAAGAGAGCAACATCCGTAATTGGCCTTTTTTTATGACGTCCAAAATCGTTGATTCTAAAAGCAAACACGCAATTCACTAACACATTGTGTGATGCCTCGTGGTACCGGTTGATGGATAACTGGATCGAGAGGATATATAGACAGATAGGAGAAGAAGACGGTCGGTTTCGCCGCCACCTCATCCATCCCAAAGAGAAAAAAGAGTCGATGGATTGTTGGTATTGTATGTAAGAGCGGTGCGGGAATAGGAAATATCAAACGTTGGTGTCTGCTGTCTGAGTCGGCGAAGGGGTGCCAGTGTCATGTGCCTCGCCTCTGGCTCAGTCGCCTGCGGCTCTCACTAACGGTCTGTACACGTTGTGACCTCAACCCCGGTCACCCCCCACCCTCGGTCATGTAACTTCATCACCAGAAGCCAGATAGCATTGCAAACTGGCCACTTTTGCAGCGATTTTGATAGTTCAAAATATCATAATCTTATTCCTAATACTCCTCAATAATATAGAATATTAGCTAGAGGACTCTCCCTAACTCTTACAGCAATAATACCGTCGTTACCGTAATAACCCTCCTTCGCTTGGGGGCAGCCTCCTTTAAGGCATCACAAACTTTCAAAATCTCTTCTACCCTTGCAAATCTATCATTACCCCCTTCTTTAACCTTCCTTTTAAATCTAGGCTTTTAAGAAGCTAATTAACTCTATAAATATTAAATTTAGTAGTCTTTTACAGCGAACTCAACGTTCTTTACATCGAAAACCTTAACCGACTTTATCAACACCCTCCTAATAGTACGAATAAGACTAAATATCTCATTACCAATACCCTCATAAATATCCCTAAACTTCTAGGGGGTCTAGAAGACAACGTCCCAATTAACAAAGACTATTATTAGCGGCGTTATAGCCCGGACTAATTCGTCAAGGACGGCGGGCAAGGCACCATCGTCAAGGACAACCTCGGGATCGTCAATAACAGCGGATCTATTCATTAACCATATCCCAATCTTTTTAAACCCTAATCTAAAGTTTCTAAAGCTTACGCCTAATTGTAATACTTCTTAATAATACTTAAAGAACTATTATTTATTTACTAGTATAAATACTAGAAAGCTAGTGTAATCCTTCGTTGAGTCTCTAAAATACAATTTTACTACTAAAAAAACAAAGCGGTCAAGCGGTTGAATCTTATAAAAAGTATAGGGAGGCAAAAAGAATAATTAAATACGGTATTGAAATACCTCAATAATAAAATCATTAAATAAATAATTTGAATGCTTATCTAGTATAAGAAAGCGCCAGCCGTTATTTATCTAGGTCTCAGGAAGGTAAACCTCCTTCAACCAACGTAGAATAATCCCTAAATTACTCTAACTACTTAATAAACTATTAAATTTCCAACTTTTAAATTCATTATCCATATTATTAGGGAACTATTAACTTTAAAGAGTTACACCGGTAAAAACAACAACAGGAATCAACCTCTTACCCTCAACAATCCCACACTCAATAATAGTTACCTAAATCGTCGTATCAATCGTTATTAGGTATACCTTCTTTATTAGGGTAATCCCAAACACTTTACCATCCTTAAATTCCAACTCCTAAAGCCCATATTCGTCCATATTGGCAATATTAGCTAATATAATAGCCTTATCTCGAATCTAGGCTTCCAGAAAATCAAAGAACTTCGTAAAGACTTCTTGGGTAGACCCTCTAACTCTAACTAACTCGAGCGGCTTGGATAGCTTAGTCTTAATATCGGGGTTGCGTACTAGGAATCGATCGATCCAACGGGCGCCCAGCTTATCATTGTCACCTCCTCTTTTTAATATTAATATCGCAATCCCTAATACTTAACAATAATTAAAAGCCCGGCCAGCCTTCTCTTTATTCAATATCTATTTATATAAAAAGGATTCTTAGGCGGGGGACAGCCGTTGTTAAAGTATTTTAACTGTACGAAGGGAGGGAGTGCCTCGCATACGGTCGGAGATAGTAGATTGGGGTACGCCGTACTTCTTGGCTACTGCACACTAGGAAAGTCCATCACGGACCTCAGAGATCGCTTGATCGAACAAAGACAAAGCCATCGCAATAGAAACGAATTAAATCGAGGGTGTTTTAGTCGAATTATTATTGTTAAAAGAATGAGGGTATCCGGTTGCATAGGGAAATGGCGGTGTGGGGGATGCGACCGAGGGAGGGGAGTGACCGGGGTTGGGGTCGTGACGTCTAGTACTTGGCTGCCGAAGAAGCCTGTGCGTTGTGCATGTTCGCGCGGGGAATCTTATCGCCGGCGGTAACCCCGAGGTAGGTAGGAGTGACTGCCGGAGAGGAGGGGCCGAGGGGGCGAGAGGGGAGGGGGAGGTAGCGTTCAGCGATTGGAGGAGGATTGGAGATCGAAAAGGGACGGGACGAAACGCTCAATCAATGAACTCTGCAAATTTTCGATGGTTTGTGTCAATAGGAAGGCGTGGAAGTTGAATGGATATTAGTGTAAGCTGCCCGGAATGACGTGATGATATTGTGCTGCCTCTGCAACACCGGGGCTCGTTATCCAGATCCGAAAATTTCGCCTAATCGGGAATTCTTCTTGGGTTAGAGGTATACTACTTAGTCGATCGTTTATCGCTTGACATCGATGTCTCTCTAGCCTTTTCGCTCTGCAACCCAGAATGCAGCAATGCACCCGTAAAACTTCTTTTTGGGGCCAGCTGAGTTGGGGAAAATGATATTCAACATTGTGTGACGATGTCAATACTTTTTGTTTTGTGATTTCTTGACAAAAACAGGGCAAAGACTTACTATGTGGACGTTTGTCAAAAATGGAAATGTTTGAGGTACAACAGAAGCCTGCTTTCTTGCCACTTGATTACCACCTCGATGCTCGACACTGCAGTGCAGTATTGTGCAAAAAGCTGAGATACCATGTGGGTATACGTGTGTGAATATCTAATTGCACGTCAAGAGCAAAGAAAATTCCCCTTTGTTCGAGATTCAGAAGCAGACAGTTCCAAATTTCAACAATCCGGTGTCGCGGAGAACGGCAACAAGCCAGGGTCATCCACCAACTGTCTTCTAGCACTACAGAAGTTGCAGTCAACTGACGTCGATAGTTCCGTCCCCGGCCGTTTCAACTGCCTATTCTAAACTGCCTGGTTGCACATTGATTTTACGTTTTGCCAAATTCGCCTGTCTGAATGACAACCTGCAGCAAATACACGTACAGTTCTCTGGAGCCCTTAACCCTCGATCGAATTATTGGTACGGCACCTTTTCTACTTTGGCTTGTGCAAAGCAGATTATTCCAAGATATGACGAGACGTCTGAGTTTGCGATTGCATCTCCACCCCGATGCGCTCTGTCACTTCACGGACAGTATCTTCAATTTCGAAGGGATGGAATGTCCCTCGGCCATCCGCATACTTGTTTCTCACCAAGATATATTTAGAGTACAAGTTGATTGATATTAAAAAAAGACGGAGAAAGTTACAGATGGTGGGAGAAAGAAAAGAAACCCCGCCCCCCCTCTCTCCCCAAAAATAAAAAAA